AACGCCACTATAAAAACATATATCTTCACTTGAGCTTTAAATATGTCTAATGTAATGTATTTAAAATAAAGCTTATATTTCTATCCTTCTTAAGACGTGTAAAACATTTGTGTTTATTAACGAATTTACGTAAAATAAACATTTTTCTGAGAGTTGCTCTGTCGCTCAGTCTATGCGGGGGTCGGAGCTCGGCGATTATTAAAATACATGAATCTTCATTAGAACTTTAATTATGTCTATGATAAAGTGTTTAAAATGAGCCTTATATTCCTATCTTTCTTGAGGCATATAAAAAATTTACGATTATTTACAAATTTACGTGAAATAAGCATTGTTCTGAGAGAGAGTTGCTCCGTCGATCGATCTGTCCGGAGTCGGAGCTCGGCTATTATAAAAGAGTACACGTATCTTCGCTTTAAATTTAAATATGCCCATGGTAAGGTATTTAGAACGAAGCTTATATATCTGTCTTTCTTGTGACATATAAAACTCTTACGTTTATTAAGGAATCTGCGTGAAATAGGCATGGTTCTGAGATGAATGCTGCGGTTTTCGAGTTTGACGAGCGATGAAAACTGCCACTTTTATATAACTACAAATATCTTCGGTTTTACTTAAAATATTTGTCTGGTAGAGGTTTTACATATAGATCACGTTTCTGTCTTTCTTCAGACTAATAAATAATTTTGGTTTAATCAGTTATCAAGATGTTTTCAACAATATTCTTTCAGCGTTCGTCTTTTCCAACTTGGGTGACCCTTTTGGAAGCGCGATACTTGGGTTAACCCATCCTATAGTTGGGTCTGTTTCCAACTGGGGTTCGAATAGTGATAATGGGTCCTATTACATCTGTCCAGGGAGAGTTTCAGAGCATGGTTTGCATTTAAGAACAGGGTTTTGTAAATGTAGTTGACACAAGAGAATGTGTGGAGGGAGTTAATATTTAGCAAGTTTAGGGATTTAAACAAGGGAGCTGAGTGTTGTCTGAAAGCAGAGTTAGTTATTATTCTGATAGCAGATTTTTGCTGTGTGATGATGGGCTTAAGGTGGTTTGCAGTGGTAGACCCCCATGCACAGATACCATAATTAAGATAGGGGTAGATTAGTGCATAATATAGTGAGAGGAGAGCAGAGTTAGGAACATAATATCTGATTTTGAAGAGTATACCAACTGTCTTAGAGACTTTCTTAGTTATGTGTTGAATGTGGGTGCTGAAGTTGAGTCTCTTGTCTAGGAATAGGCCAAGAAAATTGCCATCACTTTTATTACTGATGTTAATGTTGTCTATCTGTAGCTGAATTGCATTTGATGATTTGCTTCCAAATAAGATGTAGTAAGTCTTTTCGATGTTTAATGTTAGTTTGTTCGTTGACATCCATAAGTGGACTTTTTTTAATTCATTATTCACAACATTATTTAGTGTATGTGGGTTGAGGTTTGAATAGATAAGGGTAGTATCGTCAGCAAACAATATAGGTTTGAGAATATTAGAGACATTAGGCAGTTCGTTTATATATATAAGAAATAGAAGAGGTCCTAAGATGCTGCCCTGTGGCACTCCAACGGTAATTGGTAGAGTGGAAGAAGTTGTATCATTGATGGTTACATATTGGTGTCTGTCACTAAGATAGGATCGGATGTAGTCAAGGGCAAGGCCTCGGATTCCATAATGCTGGAGTTTAAGTAAGAGGTAGTTGTGATTAACAGTATCAAAGGCTTTTCTTAGGTCAATGAAGAGTCCAATCGGAAACTCATTTTTGTCAAGGGCTGAGTAGATAACGTCAAGGAGACTAATGATTGCATCGTTGGTGCTCTTTTGGGACCGGAAGCCAAACTGGCAGGGGCTGAGTATGTCGAATTTTACGAGGTAGGAATAGAGCTGTTTGTAAATAATTTGTTCATATATTTTTGATAGAATGGGTAGATTTGATATTGGTCTATAATTGTTTATGTCTGCCGGATTGCCTCCTTTATGGACTGGCGTTACTCTTGCTTCTTTGAGGATATCAAGGAAGGTGTGACACACTATAGATTTGTCGAACAGTAGTGCTATGCATACAGGAGTTCATGCTGTTAAGGAAATAGTCAACTTGAGAGCAATTTTGTTGACCCAGGTCAATATTAAAGTCTCCTCCCAGAATGATGTGGTTTTTGTTGAGATTGTTGTTTATAATAAGATTCCTTAGGTTGTCTGAGAAAGAAGCTATGTTAGTATTGGGAAATCTATAGATGGCTCCAATAGTCAAAGAGGATTTAAGGGATTTAATTGTAAACTGAGCAAAAGTATATTCACAGTAGTCATCTCTGTCACTAATAACACTGTTGCAGATAAATGTATCTCGGTAATATATAGCTGTGCCTATCGTTTTGTGTGCTTGCAAATAACGCACTCGCGTGCACCCTTCACTTTAGTACTTGTAGGTGGTATGTAGCCAAGCTTGTAAAGCATAAGGTAGTATTGAAACGATTTTAGGAAAAGCTCAATTTGTAAGGTAGTCTTGAAAAGATCGCTTTGTAAGGTCCCACACAGGAAGAGATTCAGCTAGCCTCAAAGAGTGTCCATCAGTCAGGAAGAGATTCAGCTAGCCTCAAAGAGTGTCCATCAGTCAGGAAGAGATTCAGCTAGCCTCAAAGAGTGTCCATCAGTCAGGAAGAGATTCAGCTAGCCTCAAAGTGTGTCCATCAGTCAGGAAGAGATTCAGCTAGCCTCAAAGAGTGTCCATCAGTCAGGAAGAGATTCAGGTATTCTTGAAAATATCAATGAACAACACCACTATGGAAGCCGCTAACACTTCATCTATGCTACTTGTATCGGATGCATCGCCACTGAACGCAGAAAACGATTCATCTATGTATCATCTATATAAATTCGATATGGCAAGGGTGGGGCTCAGAGCTACACCTGGATACGCTCGCTGTATCATCCTCATAGGTGCTGTATCACTGGCATCCGACCGTTGTGTTAAGCCCTTATTGCGCCTAGCTTCACCAATGTTATGACCCTTATGTTCTTCAAACAATAGGGCCTGAATTTCACCGACTGAGCGCAGTCTTTCAACACCGTGTGGGACAGGTGTTTGAGAGCCAGAGGCACGTGTGCTACAAATGGTTGCTCACGCAGTACTAACCCAGCCAGCAGCCCTTGTCTTTCATATTCATTATAGCAAAAGGTTCGTTCAGTGTTTGTTGGGTAGGCTGCTCCATTATGACAATCTTTCTTTGTTTCAAATGTGTTCCATTTGTTTTGTATTTGTCACTTACGTCTCAATAATGGAGCAGCCTACCCGACAAACACTGAACGAACCTTTATGGCATTTGTCCATTTTTCAAATTGTTTCAACAGTTCTTTTATTTTTCGTTTTTTTTTATTTAAGAAACATGGAGCAGCTGACCTGTAGACAACCGAACGAACCTTTTTGACATTTGTACTGGTTTTCAAAATTCTTCATTTTTTTTATTATTTACGTTTTTTGTATGTAAGAAACATGGAGCAGCCTACCTGCCGACCACCGAACGAACCTTTTGCTATAAGACAAATGAAAAATAAATATTGAACACATTTGAAGAAAGGAAAATGTCATAATGGTTTATTCAGTGTATGTAAGGTAGGCTTCTCCATTATTGAGACATAAATGACAAATACAAAACAAATGGAACACATTTGAAACAAAGAAAGACTGTTATAATGGAGCAGCCTACCTGCCGAACACCGAACGAACCTTTTTGACATTTGTTGTATATCAGACATTTCATTTCTTTTTTCCTACAAAAACGTCAATGCTTTGCAACATCTCAGCAGTCACCCTTTTATATCCCAGCATCATTAGCATCTTTAAACAAGAACAACATAATTTATGTGCATCGTCGGAGGCGTCTAAGAATGTGCAAGCAGCAGCGCGACCCCACCGTGTGGTGTTGACGTTACTCAAACCACCGTTCGTCATACGGGACGATTTGACGCCGATCGGGCCGTTCGTTACCCAAAATGTTCGTCTTTTGGGGCGATCATTATGCGAGGTACCACTGTATTTTGACTTACCAAACTTCTATGTCACTTAATTTTCCTCATTACTATTTTTAAGAAGCTAATAATCAAATTGCAACAAACTCGTCTCTCAAGCCAGACATAATACTGTATATACATACTTAATAAGGGGATCAAAGTTAAATTATTGTGGATTTATTATTCACACATTGAGCTGTAAGAACACGAGAACGTTGCCAAGCTTGTGGTAAATAAATGCTTAAATGAACTCTTAAATGAATTTGAAGAAAAGTGTAAACAGAAACTAACATTCATAGTTAATCCCAATGAAATGTCACTTGGATTACTCAACCTTGACGACTAGCAGACATCTGAACAACTGCTCTGCCCTGCCAGTATCTGCCACAAGTCATGACAACTTGGGTCTTGGTACGGCCGTCAGGCATTCCTATTCAATAGCACGAATTGTTGTGTCTGATGCACTTATTGCTTGGGGTCACTGGGAAGCTGATCATTTGTTTTGTGGCTGGTTCTGGGATTTGGTTAAAGACATGGTCAGTTCTCCAGCCGAGCTGCCAAATGAAAGGTACGTGATCTCAAACCAAACCCTTAATAAGTTTACACAAAATATTTTCCGAATCATTAATAGAATTTTTAATCTTCCTAAGAAGCTTTGTGACAAAGCCACTTAGAAAAAGAAACATGGTGCTTAGTGAATCTAGAACCTTGTTGACCAGACCACACAGTAGACAGTGAAGGGACGACGACGTTTCGGTCCATCCTGGACCATTCTCAACATACTTCAGCCACGTTATTGTGACAGTCTAGAACCTGTTTTACTTACCTAAGTGTTTCGAGTACACACAACCCTTCCTGCTTCTCGGGGACTGTTTCTTGTTGCAGTGTACTTCCATTCTTCTTCAATATAGGTGAAAAAGAGCATTTTGGCAGTTCTATGCAACAATTTATATTTCATTTGCAAGAGAGGGAATATTTTTATGTAAATAAGAAATGTTTTAAACTATTTTCAATTATATGTATTTGGTTCTGGCTAAAAACAATAAAATGTGAAGTAGTCAATGTTTACAGTAATTATATTTAAAGTACAATATTTTACACAATTTTAAATTATCTCATTACATCAATATTCAATTGCCGATAAATTCCTTTAAAACTAATTTTTTCCTTGAGTAAGAAGCATCATGCTATTTAATTTTGGGTAATTTACAAAATGTTTAAACTTATCAGATGAAAAGTAGCAATTCCCACTAATTTAATCCTCAATAGTCGAAGTAATATTTAAATTAACTCTGGCACTAAATCTAATCAATAATATGAATTTAGTTAAGACTAACTGATGCCAAGAGAGCCACACCTCTCTCATAGAAGCTATGAGCGCTCTGGTTAGCAGCCATGTTGAGTTCCACGGTGAAGAGAATGTCACTCCTTGTGGCGTTAAGGTACACTGGCAGAGTTATCTTGTTGGTTTCGGTGACCTCAAGACGTACCCAATGCAGGATAACCATGGGCAGATCTGTCATTATTGTTTGGGCAAGCTGCAGGGCGTTGTTAACACACTCGGCACCTTGTAGCTTCAAGCCTGAAAGGAAACAATAATATTACTTAAATTAGATTGTAGTTGTAAATATTTGACATAATACAATCAACAACTGAAACGGTCAAGAGGTTGTATGCAATTAAAGTGTTGGCAGATGTGCATTCCGAAGGCTAGAACATGAATTTTGCATGTCACTCTCTATGCATCAACTATAATTATCAACTTTTGTGCATTTTTTCATACTGAATGGCATTAAGCTACTTTTGATCAATAGAGAGTAATTATTACAGTAGTATTATTGTCAGTAGTAGTGATGACCAAACCACTCGTCAGAAATTCTACAACGACAATGTTCCGGTCCGTTCTAGACCATTATCAAGTGTCATGAATAGTCCAGGACGGACCGAAACGTCGTCGTCCCTTCACTTTCTAGTGTATGGTCTGGTCAATATTTCAGCCATGTTATTGTGACTCCTCGTCTTCATATGGACTTTTACCAGCCCATGATTGGTAGCAAGTCTGAAGACATACAAGGGCTAAAGTTAGCAAGCAAATTTGCATTTAAAAATTATTTATAAATTAATAGGCATGGCAGTAATTAATACAAGTTTGTAATTAAGACTTATTTAAAACAGCGCAGTTCCAACATACCCTTGACATTAAATCCACCCCGAGCAGTAACTTGACCTTCTGCATCAGCAATTGAAACTTCCAGCATGAGTTCCTCCAGTGACCAGGAATTAGCCTGAGCAACACACTGGCATGTAGCCGTAATATAAGCTTCAGGATTAAAGAGCCCTCCAAGCCATACGGTAACATTCTGAAAAGGATATTTGCAATTTAGCTTAAAGAAATTAAAAAAAAACACTTGACACTTTAGAATCTTGGCTAAAAAAAAATTACTAAGAGCACAAAAAACTATAGGTAACCATTATATATATTTTTTACTAGTTATATCCTACCTTACATATAAACAAAAATTCCTAAGAATTCTCCCAATACAATAAACTGGCATTTACCTTGAGTTCAGAAGCTCCAAACTGTGCAACCTGTTGCGAGATTTCTTGAAGCTGTCGAACTCTCTGAGAAAAGTCCGTGACCCACTGAATAACAGTTGCTTCACGAGGAACTGTATAGGCTTTCCATTGGTCCGGAATGATGCCCTTCACCAGCTGACTGACCATCGTTCGGTGGTAGTTTGTTTGCTTCTTTTCACCCTGAAATGTAAGTGAGAAAAGGGGCTCAAAAGGAAGACTCCCAACTGCTACAAGGCTCATCAATTAACAACTTTTAAGTACACTAGAAAGTGAAGGGACGATGACGTTTCTGTCCGTCCTGGACCATTCTCTATCGACTTGAGAATGGTCCAGGACGGACCAAAACGTCGTCGTCCCTTCACCTTCTAGTGTGTGGTCTGGTCAACATACTTTAGCCACGTTATTGTGACTCATCGCCTGCAATTTTTCAGTAATTTCTACCTGGGGAAGGAGATGGCAGGTCACATTTGTGGCTGAGTAAACACAAGCAATGATAACTAGACTGCAAATTGGACAGGCTTGCAAATGGATGACAAAAACCTAGAGTTCACAGATGATATTGACATTTTGGGAATGAAGTTTGACTCTTCAGTGACAATGTAGACCCACATGCTTAACCTAACTCAGAAGGCAGCTAGGAAACTTACAGCCCTACAGCACATCTCGCACCTTCTTAACAGCAGGGGTTGTAAAACCTTATATGAAGCACAAGTTCACTCCCATCTAGAGTATGAACCCCTTTCCTGGATCACCTGCCCCCCCCCCTCTCATTCATCAGACTGTTGGACAAAGTGGAGAGACGGCAAGAAGGTTCATTTCAAGTCTCGATCACATCTTGTGTGAACGGTCTGAACATCAGAGCCTCCAACACTGTCATGACGTTGTTGGTCTTACTGTTATGTTCAAGGCTAACATTCTCAAAGTTCCGCACCTGGCCCAACTTTGTGCATAACCAGTAGTTGGTAATACTAGGGTTTCAACCTTCAACAGTCATGCTGGAACTGCCTTTTTCAAGAACACTCCATCACCATTCATTCATTCTTAGGCTGACTCACATCTGGAACTTTTTTTCTTAACAGGTTGATACATGGAAGATCAGGTCAACTAATCACATGAAGGCTCTAGCACAGTTGGGTACAGGCTCATCATGTTCCTTATATGACTGATACTTAAATGAAGTTAATTCCTAATGATGCTTATAAGGTACTGTTTTGTAGTGGCCATAGAACTGCCCTAACTGAAAAGCTTAGCACAGAGGCAAGGTCACTTGACCCAACCTGACCTTTGCCAGACCTGTGAACATTAACACTGAAGGTGTGACCTTTGAACGGCTGACAACCTGACACCGCCAATATCCTGTGTGAACTGTTTTTCATTATATGTCAATATTAAATACAACCATTTATGGTACAACAATCATTAGTGTATTTTAAATGTTCTTGTCATTTGAATTCTTTGTCTTACCTATTCTTGAAGTTGTAGATGGAAGAGGCTTATGACTTTTCCTTGCATTCTACTTACAACCCATTCATCTTAATGTTTATTGACTCATTTGCATTTTGTGCTTTCCAAAATGGAAATTTGGGCACAAAAAAATTGTGCCGTTTCCATGGAAACGTGTCAAATGTTTCATTTAAATTGTAGATAAAATAGGAGAGGATATTGTAGATTCTTTTAAACACAATGGAGTAAGAAACAAAGATAATTGTACTCTCTGTATGGATGGGAAAATAAGTGCATCTCTATCACCAGCAACTTGGTGATAGGAATGAGCATTTGTCATATGGACAAAGTATTACATTGAACATACCTTACAGATGAGTATGACATCACTGAGGTCACTTCTCACAATACGAAGTAGCCTGGCTCCAGAATTGACCTCGCGTTCAAAGTAACGATAGAGGGGATCCTTGATATTGTCCAACGTGCGACGCAATGTGCTAAGTGACTCGGGAAGGTGGGAGAGCCAAGTCACGGCAGACTGCTGAAGTGTCACCATCCACGAAGGTCGACCCTGAGGATGAAACATGTTTTAGTATCTATACAACAATATCTAGAATGGGAAATCTTTTTTTTTTATATTTCAGCTGCACTGCTGTAATTTCTTCAGATTATAATTTAACTATTGCCACTTCTTTACTTGTTGCCTCCATCATTCATCAGACTGGTGGAGAAACGGCAAGAAGGTTCATTTCAAGTCTCTACCACATCTTGCATCAATCCCAAGAAGTATTTTCTTTTGCTATTCTTACCTCCACATTCTTGCGCTCGGTGCCAGGGCTTTCATCTCCGCCGTAGGCCAGTTCATCATCATCTTCTAGCACCTGCATCTTTAACAACTTGCTTAACATGTCTGTACCTGTCGACAAAATATTAAAAAATATTGATCTGCAGTATTAAGGAACCAGTGGTCATTCTATATTTGGAACACACATAACTGATCCTTCTCTTGGGGTTTTAAAAGACTGTTTAGGCAATGTGGACAAAAGCTTTACTAAATGACAATTGAGAACAGTGAGGGAGCCGGTCGGCCGAGTGGACAGCATGCTGGACTTGTCATCCTGTGGTCCCGGGTTCGATCACGGGCGCCGGCGAGAAACAATGGGCAGAGTTTCTTTCACCCTATGCCCCTGTTACCTAGCAGTAAAATAGGTACCTGGGTGTTAGTCAGCTGTCACGGGCTGCTTCCTGGGGGTGGAGGCCTGGTCGAGGACCGGGCCGCAGGGACACTAAAGCCCCGAAATCATCTCAAGATAACCTCAAGAACAGTCAATAAAAAACGGAGCTAGGCTCCAGGAAGGTAATGTACCTCTACAAATTTTACAAGTGGTAAGGGGTTTAAAATACTCCGGCAGACACGAGGTCATGGAATTTAGCACTACATGTCTAATAATTGAATAGGAATTATACTAGTATTCAAAGATGCCAAAATGCAGTGCTAAATCCAGAAATGTTAGCTCGAGTATATAAATTTAAGGCAAGATCTGTGGTATAAAAAAATAGCACTGATGATGTAATATACAGTGTAAAATGTATATCAAAATGTAAACTTATAAGTTCTATGACATGACAAATTTTGACTTGACATGAGATTTACACCATGCATAATAACGCATAAATTACTGAACTGTTCAAATCACAACTTCAAAAGTGACGAACTGTTTTTCTTAATTATTTCCGGCTCATCGTGTGAGATAATATATGGCAGCTTTTTTTTTTTTAATGGAAACAAAAAATGACAAACAAAAATAATGGACTAGTGACAAAGATAATGAGTTCAGCTGAACACAAACCTCTGGTGGTGAGAAGAACCTTCTCGGCGTTGTTTGGCAACCCAAGCCATGATGGAGTCTGCCGATCACTCAGAGATTCAACCCAATGCAGGAACTGATCTCTCCTGATACCATCTGGCATTGTGATATTCTCACCCTCAATACCTGCATACAAAATATTACAATGCTTTAAATATAACAATGAGCGATAAATCTCTGCACCATTTATAGAATTTAATAATCGGACAACTTTTGATATTAAAACATTAATGGTACATTAACGGCCCTTGTGGATTTATACATTAATGGTATTTTAAATATTAATAAACTAACCATCGACATTGATGACAAGTGGGAAATCAGGGTCGAAACTCCTGGGTGTGAACAACTTTGAGAGGAACGAGGTAAGGAGTCTCTGGTCAAATTCGTTATCAATCTTGCCACCATAGATGCATTGGGACATTAGGGTGGCCAAAGCATCCCACGGTACTTTCTCAGGCGGAAGATTTGTTCGTCCCTAAAAACAAAATTTTATACAGAAACATTGATGACATTTACATTTTAATACATTATTCAGTCCTCTTTTATAATATTTAATTTATCCTAGTATAAAACCTTAAGTTTAACCCCTGCACTGCGCACCTGTTTTTGGCAAAAACTTCAATAGTGCAATTGTTAAGGACATAATTTTGTTGTTTCTGTAAATGTTCAGGTAAAGTTAATGTTAAAATGTTTCCAAACTCAACCATTTTCATTTCAAATCAGTAACATTAAAAAACATTAAAATGTAGCCTAATTAAAAAGAAAAAAAAAAAAAAGGCACAACTCTCAGAACAACATTTGTTGTTTGGTGCAGTGCAGTGGTTAATGTATTGTTGGACACCTACCATTGCTGTGGCCTCAATCCACGTGTCGAGTGTATCACAAGCTACTCTCAGATCCGACTCGTTGAACTCGTAATATTTGGCCCAACCAAGAGGAGCATAGCGCAATCGCTCCTGAGTGATGGCATGGAACCAGGCCAAGAGGAAGTACAGCCGCGCACGTTCGCTGGGGGCACGCATCATACGCGATGCTGGTACCTGTAAACATTTGTAACTTTACGCATGTGTAACTTAAAATACAATACTGTACTCTAGTTTCCCATGCACTGTATATATTTCAAATTTAGGCAAATGTGGCATGAACACAAAATATGCAATAATTGAAACTTGTATAAACACACATGCTTGTGAAGCATTACTATGAAAGTTTATGTCAAGTGAAATATCATGTATTTCTGTTTATTAGTTGAAAATGTTAACAATGCCATTTAATTTCTGGAGAGAAAACAGTCTAAAAATAGACTTGTGAGAGGTTGAGTATTTGAGTTTATATACAGTAACTTTAGCCACATGGAGAGTAATTAATGCGACACCAAAACGGTCAGTAGGAATGAGTCGGCAAACATTGGTGTCAGTTTTCTTTTAGTCTCTAATGCATGGAATGAAGGAGAATTCACATAACTCCAATAAAATATTTAAGATTACTTACGGTGCTGAAAGTTCGCATCAAATTAGCCCTCACGCCAGGTGGAGGCTCAAAGACAAACACGCGACCAGCACGCAAGAGGTTAACTGGTAAACGAGGAGTAATTTCCATTGTTAGGAATAGACGGAACTGAGGATGTGGATGGAGTGAATGCAATTTCTTCTCCAACTGCACAAGCCATCCAGGAGCAAGATGTACATTCTTCAGCATCACCCACCTATTTTAAGAAAAATTAATTACTGTACCGTATTATATATAATGGAAGAGTTCTCAATAACATTTACAAATAACTAAGCACAAGACAAAAGGTTAAGATTATACCAATGGTAACTAACCTTCCATTTTTAACTGCAGAGTTGATTACTTTCTCTGCTTGACTGAAGCCTTCAGCTGACCCAATAGCAATAGCTGTGATTGGTTTGTTCAGCTCAGTTGCCAAGTCGTCAACTCTAGCAGAGGCATCAAAGCCCTGAACAGCACACATAAGTACTGGAGTGTTGGCCTTAACTTCATTCTCAACGACTCCTGCCATATCTACCTCACGTTCTCCAATGGCTAAGAAACCATCACCTAACACCTGCAATAAGAATACAAATTCAATCACAGATATCACAGCTAACTGAAGAAGGTATCCCTTGTCCTTATACCAGCATCTTGATACACATTATGAAGCATGTTCAAAAATACAAAAAAACATTTCTACTATACAATCAGTACTGTACAATACTGTAGAGATGTAATGAGGAAGAGACTTCAAGTGGGTGGCATCAAAGCCTGCTACATTTCTGAAACTAGTATTGTAGCAAATCTCTGGACTTTGTGCTTCACAAGGCAAGACTACAGCTAGTGTTGCATACTTAAAGCCTGACAAGCAGTGTATTTAATTGTATTCTGAACAAGTCTGTTTAAGTCCATAATAAAACATTGCTACAATATTTTGCCTGTATGTGCCTCCAATATATCCAAATATAGATCCTTCTCTTCCTCCAATTCCTGTACATGCCTCTGCTTTTCTCCTAGTATACTCTTAACTTGCTCTCCTTGGTACCTCCCTGTTTGCCTGTAAATTTTCCATGCATTCTCTATCCAGTATTTGGCTTCCTTGTAATGTGTATTTAACCACTCTTGCTTCCATAACTTCTACTTTCCTAAGTAGATAATCTACTTTCCTAAGTACAGATAATCTACCCCGTATTATCAACATGGCAACCAGGAGACCTGGTCAGAGACCAGGCAGCAGAGACGCTGATCCTCGGAATTGTCAACAGGTAGATAGCTTTTTCCCACACCAACGGATGCAACATAGTCCAACACACTGTTCATATGATCACACACACTTGTAAAGTTCAATGTTCAAACTCAATATATGAAATGTTACAATCTAACATGCCAAACAAAGAGTGCCCATGCATTTTCTAATATCAAAATAACATTTGTAAATGTTATAAAGACTTACATTATTGACAAAGATGCTAACAGCTGCACACAACCTATCGGGTCTGAATGCTTGGAGAGCCAACACCTGGTACATGGCTTGACCAATAGGTGTCAACTGCCTCTCAGTCTCCCAAATGGTGGGCACGTGCAGCTCGGGAGAAGCAGATTCAAGCCAACTTTGGAACTCCTTATTGCCCACAAATCGGTCAACGTTACCAAAAGCTTGCACTCTGCTCGGAGAAGAAAGTTTATCTGTCATATTTATGGCAAAATAAATGTTGGTAACATTTTCTGTAAATTAGAATCAGAAACAACATTAAAGATCTTGTAAAGATCCAATATATTTGAAAAAGGCAAGCATTAAAAGGTGTTTACATTTATATGCAGTATATAAATTATTTTTAGCCCATTCCCACTTTCATGGGATAGGGGGAGGCATCAGCCTGGAGGAAAATGAGTAATATACTAAAAGAAATTAACATAATAAATTACTAGTGTCCATATATCATATTTAAACTATATATTTCTTGGATGAACTTGTACAATCACATTGCAGGAAGTACCCACAACAGCACCCCACCACTTTCATGTGTAGAGTGCTCCTCATGCATTGTCATACTGTACAAAGGAACACACTTCACATTCAGTGGGCTGGACGGTAGAGCGACTGTCTGGTTTCATGCAGGTCAGGGTTTCAATCCCAGATCATCCAGGAGGCCTGGTCAGAGACCGGGCTGCAGGAACGCTAAGCCCCGAAATCATCCCAAGGTAATCGCAAGATATCCAAGTGGTTGGGCACCATTTCTCGATAAAGTTCATTGAGCAGTAATGTTAACCTCGCCATAAAAAGGTAGAGCAAGTCAAAGTGATTAAAAACTAATGATAATGAAGCCTTCTTAGCATATTTTAAAAGAGTAACACAAGGCCTTAAACAACAGACTAGTGTCACAAATATGAATTTTGGGTAAAATATTGTGAAAAAATTAGAAAGTGGACAGAAGAACACCTGGAAAGGACTACATGAGGGTGGATTAAAAATTATCGCACATGATAGGAGGAGCTAGGAAGGGTACAAGTATGGGCAGGCCAAAGTTACAACTTACACAATCACCACCCAAACCCTAAATTCTCTATTAAAGAATTGTTTTTGCTGTGAAAGTTCATTGGACATCTCCGAAGCATAAAGGGCCTCACTCCATTTGCACTACACACTTGTATTGTATACAAAATATCTAATTAGCTAAAAGTTTAATGTAATTTTGAATAAATCTATAAACAGGCCAAGACAAAGCGGTGTAGTAACAATCACAGGATGAAATAAAACAAATTTAGTTTCCATTACTAATAAGCAACAACCAGAGGAGAAACTACATTTCAACAGCGACTAAAATATACAATACTCACTTATTGCTCAGCCTTAACATTGAGTCAGTCTGTTCTGGTGTGAGACCGGGCATGGCGGAAATATTGGAGCTCAAAAGGCCTTCTTTGCTCTTTAGCAGGAACTGGAACTCAGAGTCGTAAGAAGACTCCGACGTCACACCACGAAGACGGATGCGTGCCAACAATATGGCAAAAACAAGTCGATCCGTGTGCACCATTCCACGTGCAACACGCGTGTATGTTAGCTGCAAATCATCATTTCAATATTAATCCTTTCGTAACAAGCATTGCATTAAGCACGTGGTAATTATAATATTTACAACATATTCTTCAGCATGTCTTAATGATGCACTTCATCAACACTGCAAAACTGCAATTTTTCCTGAAACATCCTTGCTAATCCAGACACCTTACCCGGTAATTGTCACACGATTCTCTCACTGCAGCTGAAATTCCATTTAAATATTCAGCAGTTACATTTGAATAAAATGTCACTAATAATTATTATTATTCACACTTTAATGGAGAGAAAAGCAAAATATTTACCCCTTACATCGGTCGCACTGACACGGCAAAATTGTCATCACCCTCCGTACAAGTGCCATTTTAAGGCTTGTTAAATCTATACATTTTATTAATTTAGGATATTACTACACTTCAAACCTAATTTAAGATATTACTATTTAAACCCAAAGTTACAATAATATTACAACTAATTACTATCTTCAGATACTACATAGAATACTGAATGTTTGTTTATGTTTTCTGCGGGGAGCATGTGCGCTACACAAACTGTGATTCATAGTAATTTGATCAATATCTTCCAATACAGCAATGCCATTATATGGTTTAAACTTGCAATGGTTTCTGTGTAATAATAATAATTTATTTATTTATTTACAAGAAGATACAATGGGTAGGCAAAATTACACAAGATTGGTATTTTTACATTAGCGTTTGCATAGCGTTTTGGGCAGATATATTTATAATGGTGGTTGCATAATATCATGCAGGGAACGTCACTGGTTTTGTAACCCCTCTCATAATGTATCTTTAGTCCAAGAATAACTAGTATGTATTTTTTATAAATAAATTTTTTTTTACAATTGTAATAATGTATGTCGTTTACATTGTGCTGCTGGTTAAATGACACTGTAATGGGTTCTGGCAAATTTTGCCTTGGTACAGACAATAGCACATTCATTAATAACAATTCTCGTGTATTTTTAATTATTGTCCAAAAGATGAGCTTACGTCGACCCCCCCATGGTGTGGGGGGTTGGCAATTCGAGTCTCCTAGTGCCCAAGTTAATGAAATGTAATGATTAATTGTATATAATACAGTACACGTGTAGTTATAGACTATATAACTTTTCAAAACATGAACGTTAGATAATTTGTAAAGTCCTACACAGGTGGATTCTGGCTTTGATTCACATCAGGGAAATACACAAAGTGTACAAGACACTGCTACATGTACAGCATGGAGATCTGAATGTGTATTATTTGTATTATTCAAATCTTCATTATTTTATAGCTTACAATGAATAACATTCCCACGGAATCCTGTTCCTAACGAGCGTTGTTCAAAATTAAACCAGAGCCAACCACCTACCTGGAAGAGATCGTTGGTTATGATCGATAATCTGCGAGCATATTCCGTCTGGTCCTTGATGTTCGGGTTGTTGGAGAGAACATCGGTGAACACATCGAGGAAGAAGTGCAACGAATACTGGTACAGGAAGTGAACTTGATGGAGAGCGTCCAAGGTAAAGTAGATACTGGAACATGCCTGAAAAATTAAATTAAATGCAATATATTCCCACACAAAAATCTGTAATATTCCTTTTGTTTCGAGATTAGTACGTGATAACTACCCAGTACCTAGCAATTCTAGGCCCCACTCAAATTTGCTTACCAATCTTAATTAAGCTCAGGGAAGGATGACCATTGTTCATTTATTACCTACAGATATAACAGTAAACTTTTGATATTGATACCAAAAAGAATTTAAAAACAAATCCACACGGGCTGTGACGAGGATTCGAACCTGTGTCCGGGAGCATCCCAGACACTGCCTTAATCGACTGAGCTACGACAGGGTAAAAAAAAAAAAAAAAAAAAAAAAAAAAAAAAAAAAAAAAAAAAAAAAAAAAAAAAAAAAAAAAGTTGAAAATTTGTAATATTTTGCTCAACCAGAAGCAGCACGACACTATAAAAGAAACTACAGATCTATCCATATTCGTGACATACTGAGGTTTGTTCAAGTTTGTGTCCAATACCATATTACTGTGTTAAAGAACCGTTACAAAAATATGCACCAGAGTAAAATCTAATATCCCAATGTAACAAGGAAAATAATATCCAACAGATTAATGCTTGGTGAATTCTGTTACTTCCTCTGAACAGCAAAAGTGTTCTCAAAGATACTAAATTAGGATGCAAATAATGGACCATATGTTTGTTTTTCAATGTCAATGTCAAAGAACAAGATATACCGATTTTGAACCGGCAATTTCCCAGTTTAGTGTTTTATGTTGGTGATGGTGACCAAAAATATGGGGATTATTTTTTGTAGGAACTTCAACTGTTCACTAAACTGATGTCTATAAAAGTTGTGTGCATGCCAAGACATTTAACGACGCGCCTGAATAGCGAATAAACAAGGCCAGTTGTGACTGGTCTCCTTATCCCCATTTCAATCTTTTTATAAGCATCTACATTATGCAGACACTGAGTTACAATAACGTGGCTGAAATATGTTGACCAAACCATACACTAAAAGTGAAGGGACGACAACGTTCCGGTCCGTCCTGGACTATTCTCAACTCGATTGTGTTCTCACAATTGACTTGAGAATGGTCCAGGACAGACCGAAATGTTGTCGTCCCTTCACTACTAGTGTGTGGTTTGGTCAACATCTACATTATGTTTTAATAATCATCTACATTGTTTATGTAGATACCAAATACCAAACGTTTTATATTCCTGTAATATTTAGGGTGAATTATTGTGTACTATTTTAATCACCCATTTCTTACCGTCGACAGTGGCAGGTACTGCTGAGAAACCATTTCAATTTCATTCATAGTCTTGTCTGTTTCTTGTACTTTTAATGAAATATCAGCAGCTTCCTTCTTGAGTGTCTCCAAAGTTGTGATCACAGAGTCATCATCCAAAATTTGACCCTTAGCATCGTTCAGTACTTGTAACAAGTTCTTTTCTAACTGTCTTAAGCGGAGCTGGAACTCACCTGTGTCAAATAATTGTGTCATTTAAGGTCAACACACAATGCTTGCCTGTTTAAAATTAATAAAGTATATAATGCTGCATCAGCCTAAGATTGGAAGGAGCAGGTTGTCAAAACAATGGATACGGAACCTGTCTAAAAAAAAAATGAGTGGGAAAAAGACGAGAATAAATGCATGAAAACAAAAAATAATTTGATTTAGGGAGGTCAAAAAGGAAGCCATCAAGTTGCTATGGAACAGAGCAAGAAAACTGGAGGTAAAGCTAACAGGAATACAGCTGCCTGGTGTGGCTTGATCATATTCATAAGGAAAATTTAGAAATTTTGCCAGTCTCCTGTGAACCAACACCTATACTGACAACAAAGCTGTATATAACAAAAGAACTTGCTGTATGCACAAAACCACCACAGCATACGTGCAACTGTGTGATTAGCTTCCCCTCAAGCATATGAGACCCAACTTCCAGAAAACGAACGCAGCATGGCAGTAAACATGCGAAATTATGGTCATGCAACGCTTCAAGAAGCAAACAGGAATTACACCTTGAATATGTAAAAAGTACATTACTGTGGTAGAAATTCAAGAACAAGTGATGGTGTTGTAATTGCAAATTACAAGAAAAAGTGAAACCAAATTATCAGCTGTGACAAGGTGTCACAGCTGAACTAATATTTTCATGCAATTAGGACAGAGATAAGGAAGAGGATGTGATGCCTGTTGTTCAGTTTACAAAGTGTTTTGAGGACAAATATATCACAGGAGTAGATAACAGAAAATATTCTAATGTGAAAACTACTAGTCAAGCAGTCTTGTACATTCCACAAGTACACAATAGGACGAAAGCAGCAACAAGTCTAAAAGGTGTGGAAAGAGCAGCATTAGCAGCCAGTAGTAAGAGTGATTATGAAAGAGCAGCATTAGCAGCCAGTAGTAAGAGTGATTACGAAAGAGCAGCATTAGCAGCCAGTAGTAAGAGTTATTACGAAAGAGCAGCATTAGCAGCCAGTAGTAAGAGTGATTACGAGAGAGCAGCATTAGCAGCCAGTAGTAAGAGTGATTAACCAACTCTGAACAATGTGATCCACACCATGGTGGGGTAAGACAGCCCAGAATACAAGACAACCAACAAAAGGAGACAAAGTGACAAACCAGCATAAGGCCAAGTATTCACACTGGAACAAGACATAGGAGGAGACTAACCTGGAAGTCAGTTATCAAAATCAACTCCACCAGTTGATTTTTAAACCTGAATATCACTAGACACACTACAAATAACCAAGATGCTTTCTGGAGGTGAAATGGTATAATAAACTACAGTACATACGTGCTGTACACAGTATGGCCCAGTACATGGGGGCCTCGTAGCCTGGTTATGGGGGCCTCGTAGCCTGGTGGATAGCGCGCAGGACTCGTAATTCTGTGGCGCGGGTTCGATTCCCGCACGAGGCAGAAACAAATGGGCAAAAGTTTCTTTCACCCTGAATGCCCCTGTTACCTAGCAGTAAATAGGTACCTGGGAGTTAGTCAGCTGTCACGGGCTGCTTCCTGGGGGTGGAGGCCTGGTCGAGGACCGGGCCGCAGGGACACTAAAGCCCCGAAATCATCTCAAGAAGATAACATATAAGGTATATCTTAAAACACCACAAGTAAGCACTATGCCATTCCCTGGAAGCTCACATTCTGGAGCAGTTTCTCTTCTTCGGGGAAGCAGCAGCAGCACATCACAGGATACAATGGCAACAAATAGTTTCCATGTAAGAAATTTTTTACTAAAAATAAATGGGGGTGGTAGGAGTAAAGCCTCTTCCCTCTAATGCAGTGTGTGGTTTCCTCCGAGGCTAAGGGTCCCCCCTTCTTCCAGCCAGAGGTGGTACTCCCTTCCATATTTTTTTTAAATAAATTTATATAATCCATGTATAAACAAAAATGCCAGGAAGCTAAAAAAATTATAAATGTTTAAACCAGAAAGAATTCCCGAATGGGCAAACACTGAACCAGCCCCTTCGCCTGTTTCAATAGTACTTACAGTAACGATATGGACCATCGTATATATATGGAGGTAATGGACAATTAGAAAGCAGAACTTGATACTACTGAACTGGGACAAACTGGTAAAGGTTTTTATTTATGTTCCTAATAAAACCTAACCTAACCATCCTATGACTAACATATTTCTGAAGCCTAATATTATTCCTATTTGCTATACTAGACCTAGTAATATACAAGTTTAGTGTTTAGCTTATTTTTTCTGGACTGAAGTGAATAGTACCAAATTCTACCTAACTGTCCATTATGTCAATATACATACGATGATCCACATACTATGGTTACAAAAAGTACTATATCAGTACTAAAAAAAGTACTATATACTATCTAAACAAAAGTCTTGGTTGAAACAGTGTACTGTATATGCCTTGCCAAGCAGTACCGATGAACCAGTCCAACTCGGCAACTGATACAAGCAATGCCAATACTGTACTGTATACATGTTTTTAAAACTTTTGCTCTTATTAATAAATACTAGGAAATACATATTTTAATATTCAATGGAACTTGTGCAATAGTGTATGAAGCTTTTTTTAGAAGTGACTGCAACCCCCTCTATCGTAGTGTCTCGGCCATGTGCCTTTCCCTCTAATGCGGTGTGGCTTCGATACTCATCGATTCAAATGAGAAAAACTGTAAATTAAGAACTGATTATTAATATAAATATTCTCACTCACCCTGCAATTTGAGAAGGTTGGAGCGCTTGTCGTCAATATCTGGTCGTTCTGCCTTAAGAACTTGGTTCAAGCACTGGGACTGAAGTGACGACCTGGTCACAGTGAAGTTGACAAATGTGACTCTAGAGCATATGTCTGGTGGGAATTCCACAGTTGGGTCACGTGTAGACAAGAAGATGGTGAATGCTGGAGATAAATCAATATCCTGAAAATTGAAACACATTATATAATTTGCAGATTTACCTGAAGAAAATCAGATTTCCACAAACATTGAATAAAATTATACTTTTAATCAATTACCAGTCTATTTTATACAATGACAAATTGTAAAACACAAACTAATTTAAAATTCCAAAATACAAATTTTGAGATATTAACCAACCTTAATTTTGCATAACCCCATTAACAAAGACATTTATTTTTGTTATACAGATAATCGTAATGGCTTGATGCTCTCTTCTAACAAATACCTTACCCGTGTTTTGTGTCAAACCTGCAGCAGGAGCTTCTTGTGGTACCTTAGCCATGTCATAATAACTTAATCCTTGTCTACTGACAACCTAATTCAGTAGATATGACTTACTGAAATGACTATCAGAATGGCATCCACACACCACATTCATATATTGCAATCCCTAGAGCAAATAAGCAATTGAACTTTGAATTTGCAAACACTTAAGAAATTTAAAGTCATACCTGATCTCCTAGAGTTATGAGGACACGTCCTCCTGTTCTGCGTAGTTCCCGGTTCAACACAGGGTTAAGAATTGGATCATAATTCTCGACATCTTGGACAAGAAGTGGGTTACCAAAGCGAAGGGCAGATTCCAAATTCTTCCTGAAGGAATCATCCAAAAAGCTGGTCTTGGTTATTTTCTTCTCCTTGAATTCATTCATGATGAAATCTGTGGCTTGGCCAGATGGGTCAATGATCAGTGGATATCTATTGAACCTGTTCAGCATAATTGCATTCTCTGTACAGAGTTCATCAGCAGGAAGAGCATTTGCTTGCCACCTCAGTCTCTCATCTGGGTTTGACAGATACTCGGTTCGAGCAATATCTCCACGGAACTGGATGCTTGCTTGCTGGAGGTGGTGGCACCAGTTTGTGAACAAGTTCTCGCGGAACTGCTGATCAAAGTACCCACCGTAAGCTAGGAAGGCAGACGATAACAACACATCTCCAATGATTGTCGACATCTGGTACTTAAATGTATCTGATGTTGCAGCCCAGCGATCCTTCTCAATACTTAGATTCCTGATGAGAGCCATGGAGCGGTCAACCTTGGCCTGCACATTTTCTAGATCTGTCTTAATGGCTTGAGCTTGAGATATAAGCACGGCATATTCATCCTTATATGCAGCAATAGAGCGCTCAAGACGGTTTATTAACGTCTTTACGTCTTCATGCTTTTTCTTGTTTTCGTCTGCCATATTTTCAAGGCTACGCAATTCATTTCTCAAGGGCTCGACCCTCTTTAGCATGTCGGCATATTCTATTTGTGCAATTGCCCATTTCACCATTGGGCCACAAGCCAACGAAGCCCGATTTACCTTCTCAAAGTTATAATCGGGGTTACTGAGGTATCTGTTCTTCATCTTTTCTCGGATATCATCCAACAAGTCATCAGTATTGAAATTAACAACAGTGTTAATGAAATTGTCCTTCATGATAATAGACTTTATAGTCTTCCAGTCTGATGTTGCTTCACCAAGAAGAAGACAGATCGACTCCAAGGCTAATTTTACCATCGGAGGAGGATTAGCCATTGATCGAACCTCAACCAAGTGCTGTTTCTTGATACTCTTGACAGCATTTTGAGCATCTTGCACAGCAGGCTCCACCTTGCTTAAATCTTTCATCACCTCCTCCCGTTTAATACTGATACCTTCCGTTTGGGCTTCAAGCTGTTCTTGCAACTCTTGACTGGCCACTTTTTGTTTCTCGGCTTCTTGCTGATCCTTCACCATCTGCTTCAGTTTCATATTGGCTGCTTCATTCTTTGCTTGCAATTCCTGATTTTTGATGGCCAGAGATTTCTGCATCTGTTCCACCTGTTCCACTGTCTCGGCAATTTTGCCTAAACCAACATTTAGATGAAGTTGTTGCTCTTCAAGCTCGGATCTCTTTTCATTGTACAGCTTCACAAAGTGGTTAATGAAATCCAAATAATGCCTTGGAGTGATGGCCATCACTGTGCTTCCACGCTTAGCTAAACGTGTATTTGCTCTGTGTAATGTCTGGTGAACGTGCACAAAGGCATTAATAATAGCATCACGGTGGGATGGGGGTGCTGGAAGGCTTTCAAAAGCTACAGGGAAGTAGTCTGGTGGGTGCCAGCTCATCTTATCCAAGTCGATACGATTGGTGAACTCCATACCAACCTGGAACAAGGCGCCATTAGACCAATCTCCAAACCAGTTAAGTACACATCTGTTGAACAAGGCTGGGGAAGTAGCAGCTCTATCTTTAAGTCCATCTGTTGATGGATTCATTGTGAACACAACATGAAGGTTGCGCATAACCTGCCCAGTGAACCACTTATAAAGCTCTTCGCTGGAGTCGAGCATTAGACCTTCTCGCTGACTGCCCTCCTTACACTGTGTCATAAGAGTTGTATACTCGTCACCCTCAAACAATCCTGGCACTTCTCCATTAGCCAGGAGTGTGTTCATGCGCTCGAGGAAGGAAGAATCCAGCACATTTGACTCGTCAAGGATAAAGCAGATCTTTTCATCCTTACAACCAGAGCGCCTCAATACTGCTCGCAAATCTTCATCAAAGTCCTCTGGTGTGTATTTGTTGTGAACCTTGATTTGGAAGATGGACAACCCATTCATCCATGCCACAAACCGAGACAGAGTTGTTTTGCCAGCACCTGAAGCACCGATAAGTAGAAGATGACCTTGTGGTTGGCGGAAGATCCGATCAATTCGAAGAACGTGATCCAAGACTTCATTAAACAGCACTAATGGCACATCCAATTCCTCTTCATAGAATACCTGTGTGGAATTTGATATTTTTAATACACTAACTTTCACTTCCTAAAATCTAAAAATCCTAAAATATTTGACAAACTGAACCCTGAGAAAAAGTGTGTTAAAAGCAGCAGATTTAGTCAGAATAGACACAAAGGTGAGAATTTTCATGGGTAACTTTATACAAGCAAATAAAACTTGAATGAAGAGAAATAAGTTTGGCAATTGGAGAGTATAGAAGGTCAAAAGAAACAGACCAGCACTTTCTTAACTATGATATCTTCAGAACACAAGTATAGGAAGCTCAAGGCATATGTATCAATGTGTATGGATGTAAATTACAAGCTTTCTTGGTAGACAAGGTTTGCCTAAGCAAATACAAGCAAACTAGACCCCCATCAGAAGGTAAGGTAAATCCCCTAATATAGACTATTCACAGATGGACAAATAAATGAACATCACTATATAGCAACATCCCACGACCCTTTCAGACTGGTCAATAATACTGGAATTAAATGACAGGTTTTAATTAACCAAGTATAGCAGAGATTAGGGAAGGTTGAATCCAATGTAAGTAAGACTAATAATTGTACACCGATAGTCTAGCAATTTTGTAAAAACAAAAAATTAGAAGTTTAAATTTGAAAATAATCAAAAGTTGTATAATATCACCAAGGATTCTGAATGCTTCTCCTGATTGGACAATATGCTAAAGAAGAAAATATTTTCAAGTAGCCATGACTACATTTTGAAAAAACAATTCATAAAAACATTATGAACATATTACCCTACAGAAAATAAATAATAATAATGTGGAGGGTTAACTTCAATCGTGAATACAAAGTTAAATGAATTTATTTTTTGACCAGACCACACACTAGAAATTGAAGGGACGACGACGTTTCGACTTGAGAATGGTCCAGGACGGACCGAAACGTCGTCGTCCCTTCAATTTCTAGTGTGTGGTCTGGTCAACATACTTCAGCCACGTTATTGTGACTCATCGCCTGCTTAAATGAATTTGGCCATTCAAAAGCAATACTAAGAACACCAATAGGATATGAGAAGTAATATGCACAAGAATTTTGGGCACTCCACGAGTTTGGATGAATACAAAGCAGTTGAATATTTCTGTAGAGACCAACTGTGGAAACCAATTATGTGACAAAATCAAAGTCAAACTGAAGTCAAAGTCTAAAAACTGAAGGTAAAGCCAAATACTTTTGGCTTTATGCCCATAAGTCACTCACTACGAAGACACCATTTAACTATTTTAATGACTTTAGGCATGGCATTGTAACAGTATTATTTGTAACATTAAACAAAATTAATACAGTACCATACATAAATATCCACAAAATCAAATTTATCCAGATATAGCTAGAGATCAAACATGCTACAGATGGCAGTATTAAAAAGACTTCTCAGTGTAAGGGAACTCGTAATGAGAACATTCGTAACTGTGTAACGAGAACATTCGTAACTGTGTGCTTAATAATCATACCTTGAGCCTGGCCTTGACGTAGTCTCTGAGCTCCTCCTGATCAACTGGGAGGTAGTCCTTGGAAAGCCAGTTGGAGTACAGAATAGGACGCAGCAGAGATCTCTCGCTGTCAATGTTCGGGAAGTGCTGAAAAATACAAACGTTATGAAAGATTCTTTAATGTGTCCTAAAGTTTCAGACGCAATCATAAAATTCTTTAAGTAACCTCAATATATTGCTATAATGGGTAGGTGTGTGATAAATTACATTAATGATGAAATACACCATATTAACATTGAAAAAGAAATATGACCTGTCTGTGCATTATAGATTTTGAAAAGAATGTTGATTGATAAAAATATGAGCCAAGTAATGGCTTCCCAAAATATTTGTAAAATATCTCTCTTAAGCTAATTTATTTATCTCCCTGTAATCTGGCTCGTGTAGAACTCCCTTTTGCCATAACAAAAGAACCACCAGGCAGCTCTTAACTATTCTTGTGCATTCTATTCCTCCGATATCTATGTAGTAACCTTACATATCTATTTCTCCACTTGACTTTCATATTGTTGCTTGCCTCGAGCCCCTTCCGTTTCATTATTGTGCTCTCCTGCAATTCTAACATTCTCTCCCTAAACACCAATGTGTTTAATAACACCCAGACCCATATTAAGGATATTTTGGGTTACACCAAGCAAGAATTCAAGGCCCTGATAATTTAAGCACCAGGAGAAACAGATGAAAAACACAATACTAAACTAAAAGGGAAACACGAACATGACCACGGAAAGTGGTCACACGAACCCACAATTTCTTGACTGGCCCGGGGAAAACAAAATTAGGCACTATTGAGCCAGAACACAATAAGCCATTGGTTAACAACTTTGCTAACTAAGTGCCTTTCTTTGCACATGGCATTTTCTACTATTTAGCCTTCCAAGGATGGAATTTTTCAAATGTATTAAATATAGATATAAAATTAAACTGTGGAGTATGACATTGAACAAATGAGGTCCCAAAAGTTATTGGAATCACAATTACTCAAATGTAACATTTGAATCAGTGAATACCATGACTTGCTTAGCAATTTAAGATAACATTTTTGTAACAAGAAATCATCCATTCTATATGAAAATATGCCTAATAATGCAACATATTTTTACAACAGCCCATCAACACCTAAGGCCTTCATCCACACTATATTATTATACAACTTTCTGTATTTATGGAACTTTAAATTACTGCAATAAAAGACTTAAATAACTGTCATACTTTTCTAAGTATAAATAGTTCGAGATAAAGAGCATCCAATACAATAGTTAAATTTTCATTTAACAACAACCGACTGTTCTGCCAAGATTCAACCAAGAAATGTTTTGATGTCTCGTCACATAAAGAGCCGATTTAAGATTTTGAATTTTCCAATATTATGACAGTTGATACATGTGTAATGCACACAGAAATCACAATAGCGTGATATATTAAATGAACAAATCCACAAGGGCACTGATGAGGGTTCGAACCTACACACGGTATGTTCCTGGTTGATAACTGGTTGATGGGGTTCTGGGAGTTCTTCTACTCCCCAAGCCTGGCCCGAGGCCAGGCTTGACTTGTGAGTCGTGTTCCCAGTTCTTGTGTTCCCAGACGCGCCTTAAGTCAACTGTACCATGACATGGTACATGTAATGTTTCGGGCCAGACACCGCCTACCTCTGATCCAAACTAAGGTGAGAAACTTTCTATACAGCACTTTGTATAGAAAATAGCCACAGAGGGTTAAATTACCTATTTTTAAGAACTTGAATTTTAAATAACTTGTTTAATTTCCATGAATTGCTCTCCTAAGTCAAGGCCACACGAGTATATCATTACGAATCCATTCTTCATAGTTATAGTAACATATCCCAGGCATAAGCCGAAGTAAAGATTCAATTATCTATCTTCACTGTTACAATTATGATTTGGGAGCCGGTCGGCCGAGCGGACAGCACGCGGGACTTGTGATCCTGTGGTCCTGGGTTCGATCCCAGGCGCCGGCGAGAAACAATGGGCAGAGTTTCTTTCACCCTATGCCCCTGTATCCTAGCAGTAAAATAGGTACCTGGGTGTTAGTCAGCTGTCACGGGCTGCTTCCTGGGGGTGGAGGCCTGGTCAAGGACCGGGCCGCGGGGACACTAAAAGCCCCGAAAGCATCTCAAGATAACCTCAAGATAACCACTATCTTTAATTTCACACACAACTGGGCATAATCTTCAATTCAGCTCAGTATCATTGTTGGAATTCCATGGTAGCTACCAGCCCCAGGTAGAGTTTTTGGTTTAACAAAATTGTTCTAAATAATGTGGGCCAACTCAGTTATTTTATTTAAGCTTTTGGTTTTTATCTATTGATTAAATAGATAAAAATGCAACATGGTGGGATGGGTTGTAAGAATTTTTTTTCCAACCCTGCTGAATTCAGAGGAAATATCCTCATTAAAATGACACCGATATTCTTGTCTACTCCTGGTAAAACATAACCAAGTATATTTGCTAAACCCACCATCGATACTCTGTATATACTTACAGTATACACCATCGATACTCTGTATATATGTACTTACAGTATACACCATCGATACTCTGTATATACTTACAGTATAGTAAAAACCATATTATACAAAAATTGTCAGACGCTTAAAAAGATCATACACTTTTGGTTATAATTAAGTCAGAAAATACAGAAATTGTAATACTAAAAGTTAATAAGCAAAATTGAATAACTATGCATCTTTCAAAATTTGCCACTTGACAAAACCAAATAAAACCAGCATATGATCAGATAATTGTACAGTAAATGCTATGTTTAATTCACCATGAACATGTGTACAAAAACAAACAAGAAATTATTATTTATTTGTTTAAAGTGTCTTAAATACCTTGAGTGCAATAGCATCGACATTCTCATTAGTCCACTTGCGTTCATCATCCGTAACTAGACGATCGTGGAACAGTCTCAGAGCTTCGTGAGCCCAAAGCCTCACTAGACCCTCGGCATCAAGTGTCTCAAGAGGCCTAAAAGAAAAAAAATTAGTTTAGCAAATAAAAATACAAACATTAAAAGCATATTGTAGCATTTTGGAATCATTGGCAGATAACTAAACTGCCTTCTTACAAACACAATCAAAACTACTTGAGGTTATCTTGAGATGATTTCGGGGCTTTAGTGTCCCCACGGCCCGGTCCTCGACCAGGCCTCCAACCCCAGGAAGCAGCCCGTGACAGCTGACTAACACCCAGGTACCTATTTTACTGCTAGGTAACAGGGGCATAGGGTGAAAGAAACTCTGCCCATTGTTTCTCGCCGGCGCCTGGGATCGAACCCAGGACCACAGGATCACAAGCCCCCGTGCTGTCCGCTCGGCCGACCGGCTCCGCTGTCCGCTCGGCCGACTATCATCAAAAAATTTGTTTTGCTGTATAAATGTCACCAGTTATTTCTCGTACGTTTTTTTAAATAATTACCTAATTGCCTCACAAATTCCTCGAACCCAGCGAGTCATCTCTCGAGGAGAGTAGACATAATGAGGCTGCATGTCTTGAGTGAACCTCTCTTGAGACTGAAGATAAAACTCCACCATGGAATTTGTGAGTGGATCTGCATATGATCTGAAAAAAGTAAACCATTTAATGTAGTCACATGGAAAACCAAAAGAAAAATCATGCCCCCCCAAAATGAAGTCAAAATCCATTCCTTTTCATTCCCCCAGTGAATAAAATTGAAAACTAATCAACTTATATATAGTGAAAATTTTTTGTTAAAGGCCCCTTGCTAGGTTAACACCGTATTTATATATTTCATCTATTATATACTAAATTCATAGTTACATAAATACCTGAGAGACGGAATGATTCGTAGCATGGCCCTGTTGAAAGTACCGTAGATTTGCTTTAGCGAAGTCTCTCCTGGATAGTCCACATACACAACAGGTACATGGCGCAAGAAACGGTGGGATAGCGGCTTACGTCCTGGGTCAGTTGGTGGATTGCAAGCACCTACAAACTGGATACGTTCCAACCTAACCCAAGCTTGGTCTTAAGGAGAAAAATGATAAAAATTTAGATAAAGTAATTATCACACTGGGCAAGGCTGGGAAAACAACATAGCACTGTCAATTGTAATGAAGTACATTACTATTCATCAATTTCTACACAGTATTCTACAATATTTGTTAGGGATAATTTAACCAAAAACATCATAACAAACCTGATACTCTGTAAAATCCACCGTGTTCCACCATCTGCCGAAGGAAGCTGATGACTCTCTGAGTGCCATATTTGTCCATATCAGGCAAGTTGATTTCATCACAGAAAACCACTAACCACTTGCCCAGCTGAACTGGTGACAAGATTATGCCATTTGGCGTTTTGCGATATTCACAGTAGTGATCAAATGTCTTCAGAAGTAGCTCTGGGGTTGTTGCACTGGAGAAATTCAATCCAACAACTTCCAAGTCGGGCAAAGCTCTCAAGGCAGAGAAGAGCGTCATAGTTTTACCCGATCCCGGAGGACCGCACAAAACTAATGGCTTGTGTTCAGCGAGCCACGTGTAGAGGAGGGCTTCGTGACGCACCGTGTCAACAGTAGGCACCACCACATCTGGTGCAGCTACCTTGTGTGTCTCAACCTCCATGCTGGGAACCTTTGTAGACCACAACATCCATTCACCACTGATGGCCACCTCATAGTCAACAATAGGGGAGTTTGTGTTTGGTGGCAGAGGAATAGTGGTACAGTTACGAATGAAATCGCCCATGTCGCTACGTGCTTTCAACTTGCCATCGCCAGCAAAGCTCCACAGGAGTGAGTGTACCAAAGCCTTTGGTATATACCTTTAAAAGAAATGAGAATGCTGTCAATAAGAAAATAATAAGATTGTTCTAATAATAATGATATCACTTATTTGAAACACTTGACAAAAGAAACACACTATGACCTACCTCTCAAGCTGATCAGATTGCATAGGGAAGTCTGGATGGGTATTATTGTACTGCACAACATTCCTGACTGCCTGATTCAGGAGAGCAAAGAGTGAAGACAGTGCACGCATCCGAGTGAAGTCCATAATATGCTCCAAGTTGTTGGACGCGTACTCCAGACACTTTACAACCAATCCATCTGGTGTCAAATGTGGGCTAAGAATAGCAGCAACATCACGCTGAACCTGTTACAAATATATAACATAGAAAACTTTACAAATATGTTCACTTGCATTCTATTCATCTGCACAAAAATATTCTATACTGAACAAAGACTGCACAACAGCTCCCAATTAAACTATAATATGTACAACAAACTTACAGCAGTACTTAATGTACATTAATTTCAAAATCTAAAATACAATCTGGATCCGTTTTATTTAATGTCAATGTATTGCTCCCATGAGATAGCCTTAAAAAAATATTACAATTATCTACAAATATTTTCTTTACATACAGAGGTAAGCTTATCCTTCTGATCTCTAGACTCATGCATACCAATATTCCTTATTTCCTCGGGAATTCCTTATAAAGAATCAGTCTTTTTTTTCTTCAGACACTAATGTTTAATAGTTCCTACTGTGTTATTGTACATTCTTTTGTGATGGATGGTCATATGAACTACATAGCCTCTGCCTTCACTGTAAAAGTCTGCTCTACCCCTCAGTCACAACCACTTCTTGTTTACATTGAATGCCATTTAGTGTGTTCCTATGTTGATAAATTAATGTGTGTGCCCTCTTCTTAATGCTGAATTATACCCATTTCCAGTATTCTATGTTATCATCCCCCCCTTACAGTGAAGATGCCACCTTAACTTGCCCTGATCTAGTCGCTTGCTATGATTTTCTCCTGTGCACAAATTGCCTTTTGCCATTTTCTCCCCATTAGATTTCTTAATTATTTTTTTCCATCATGCACACCTCAATGTGGTACTTTCAAATAGCCAAGTAGTCCATGGGTTAAATAGAGTAATTTAAAATTGAAATGATTTCCCGTGTATAAATTGTGTTACAGGTAGAATGTCCCACTGCCAAAGAAGCATAATTAACATTTATCCAAAGCTATTCCGAGTGCACAGACCATACAAGTTAGATGCCCAATTTACTGCATCGTAGCTACATTACCTGCAATGTAGGCGTGATGTCGTCATCTTTCTTCTTCTCGGTTTTCTTCATGAACGCAGCATCCTCTTCTGTCTCCTCGATGGGAATGTTGGAAAGCCGAGCAAGGAAGTTTTCGAATATCATTTCAACTGACAGCACATCCTCCGAGAACCACACCATGCCACATCGTGAGACTGTTGCTAATGTTGCATATTTTAGATCTTGAACCTGTTTCACGAGAAAATTAGTATTTTCAGTACATGCATCCAAGTATCACTTCCAATCGGCAGGCCGCCAGCATGTGCCTACAACTATCTACTATTTACAATCTTTTTGCCCATTACTTGCCCTAAGCTCCATTATGTCCACATGACCCCAATTGACATATCTCTTTCATTCAACTATAAATTAATGCTTTAAAACATGTTCCTGAATAGTAAATGATCACACAATGTCCCTACCTCTTCTGATAAGGTAAATTTACAGTATTAAAGTCAAACGGAATATTTCCTATTTAACTATAAAATCCTCACCTCAAACATGATGCGGACATTTGGTGGAATAGACAATCGCTCTCCGTTTGGAAGAGTGAGTAGTTTGTTATCATCCAGTACAGAGTTCAAGTTCTCGACCCACTCTGGATCAACGTCTCCATCGAAGATAATCCACTGTCGCTTGTTGATCTCTCCACGCACATTGTCAATGATTTTCCTGCGTGCGTACGGTAACAATTATATCTCCACATTGCAAAGTATAAGAACATGATAAGGCATTATATTTTATATATACAGTATACATGTACATGGATTGTATAGTATATGAGTACCTATGTATTTACATGTATGTGTTGTACCTAATAGCTGGCTTTGCGCCCTGGTGAGGCCACTCCAGACCGACAACCAGAGCACAACTCCATAGTCTCCTGAGACTGATGGATGCCTACTACTACTACAACCATAGTACTGTAATAGGTCTTGTAAGCAAGACTAATTTGAAATTAAAAAAATCAGTCACAACATTTGTTGGGTTTTAATAAAAAATTACATATGACTACATTAATTAAATTTGGCCTAGCTGTAGCTAGGTTAGGAAGATTATAGAATAATAAGCATATTTAGGTTAGGTCTGATTGCCAAGCTAAATATGGTATAGAATGTTAAAATGTATATTAAATAGAACATATCATTTTACAACTTAAAATAGTCTAAAAATTAAAGAAATTCTGTCTGTTACGAAACTCTAGGTAAAAGGTATGAGAAGTATGGCATGTGTTTTGCACTTCTATTCTCACCTCTCCTGCCCAACCACTTGGGCTGGACGGTAGAGCGACGGTTTCGCTTCATGCAGGTCGGCATTCAATCCCCGACTGTCCAAGTGGTTCGGCACGATTGCTTCCCTCTGTCCCATCCCAAATCCTTATCTTGACCCCTTCCCAGTGCTATGTAGTCATGATGGCTTGTGCTTTCCCCTGATAATTAATTCCTCATTGCCTCCACAACCACACAATTTGTATGAACACACACTACTGTAAGGTTAGGGGCAAGAGAGCCGGAGAATCCTTAGAGTGGGTTCTGGCAGTTGTTATACTCTAAGCCCAGCCAGGGCCAAACTTGACCTTTAATAACTTAGTCCAAGAGGCTGTTGCTTGGAGCAGCCCATGGCCCCAAATATCCACTACAACCTAGTTGATCCAGCACGTCTTGCAGGAACATGTCTAATTTCTTATGACTGCTGAAAGGATGCTGAATAGTCGTGGGCCTCTGATGTACATACTGTTCCTATGGCACCTCTACTCTTCACTAGGTCTATTATACATTTCCTACTATATTGTTCACCCAGTATGCTGTTATTCTACTGTGCAAATCCATGAGCAAACAATCCAAGAGCAAGTAGCCAAATGCCTCCCGGAACTGAAGAACAAGAGCTACGAGGTAAGGTTAGAGGCATTAAATATTCCTAAACTAGAAGATACTGTAATAGAGAGAGGGGTAATATGATCACTATGTACAAAATAGTAATGGAATTATAAAATTGACAGGAAAGAGTTCCTGAAACCTGGAACTTTTAAGAACAAGAGGTTATGAATTTAAACTAAACAAGGCTGCAAAAGAAATAAGAAAATTCACTTTAGCAAACAGCGAGGTAGACGGTTGGAACACGTAAGGTGGCGGAGGCCAAAACCGTAAGTAATTTCAAACCATTATAAGAGTCCTGGGAAGACAGGACACCACAAACATAGCTCTCATCCTGTAACCCCACTTAGTGTAATTACACTTAGCCCTGTAACTTAAGTGTAATTACACTTAGATAATTGCTCAAGGCAGGAAAGCAGTGATTTGAAGGAAATAACTATCTACGGGCTCACCATAGCCCGTGCTGCTTGGAACTGTTTGTTCCAAGCAGTGAATCTTTAACAACAAACAAAAGTGATTTGAATAGTAGGACCATCATGGAGGAATCCCTGGGTTTTAAGGTTCTCATAATTCATCATATTACTTTCTTAATGTGATGAATGATGATGATATAATGATGCTATGTTCATTTTGTTATGCTCACTATATGTTAGTTTGTCATGTATCCTTATTTCAAGATCCTCTACAATTTCTTTTCCTTCTGAGATCCAATCATCTTGTATCTAAACTAAATCCAATCGTTTTGTATCTAAACCTAAGTATCTGGAACTTGTCAGTGTTAAATAATTATCCATTACCCAATCAAAAACTAATACCAGCTTGTAATTTTCTCAAATGTCTTCTACAGAAGTCATTTTCATGCTGATTTTTGCAGTCTGCAAAAGATGACATGAAACTGATTTTTATTTTGGTCCATATGACATGAAAATGAAAAAAAGCAAAAGTTCAAGGACTGTGCCATGAGGAACAAAGCAGTTCACTGTGCTCAGGATATATTTGGTTTTACTCGCCATTACTTTTTTGCATTCCGTTTGACAAGAAATTGAATATCCACTGCCTTACTTTACCTGTTATTATTTCTTCTCATTTTATGGGGCCATCACTCCATGTCACATTTATCAAATGCCTTCGTAAACTCTGTGTATACAACACCTCCATTTTGTTTTTCTTCCAATGCTTCCATGATATCAGGAGGCCTGGTTGACGACCGGGCCGCGGGGACGCTAAGCCCTGGAAGCACCTCAAGGTAACCTCAAGGTATGATTTTTGGATCCCACTCCCTGTACACAACATGGAGTGGGATCAACAGGGGTTTGTGTATACTGGGAATACGTGTGTACACAACAAAATTTCGCAACTTGCCTTAGAATGTGTGTAAAGAGGCCATCGGTCCATTCCCGCGTATTTGGATCAAGAACACCATACAATGTTTCTTTGCTCATGGCTTTGGGGTCGATGACATGAGCAACACCTTCTATCCCTTCAAAGCGTTCAAGAGCTCTGAGCAGGACCCGCCAAGCAGTCGACTTTCCTGAGCCGCTAGGACCCACCATCATTAAGCCATGGTTCAAGTTGCTAATCTGGTACAATTGCAGTACCTGAAAAAACATAACATCACATTACAGTAAATATATAAATTTGACCTTGTAAAGAAAAACAGAAGCCAATTTTCATTACCCTTTAATTGTGCATGACTGAAATGAACTTGTTTCTATTGTTGATTGTGAAACATGAAACTTAACATACTGCAGTAAGTAGCTACAGAATAGATAATGTACTTATATTTAACTCTAAAATCTCTATAAATACTAAATGCACTTGGGTGAACAGCACTGAACAATGTGTACAAATCTTTTAAGGCTTTATCACATGAGAGAATGACCATACAAAGTGTAGATAGTATCGACGAGAAAGAAAAGCATTCTTAAAAATAGGACAGACTGTACAGCCAGGTGGTGAATGCTTAAATGCTTCAGGAAAGTTGAAGTTCTCCAACAATTATCTATCACCTTTCCACTAGTCGGAAAACAAAACTAAAAACCAGCAACAAATATTTTCCCCATTTGCTCTTCACATACTTTTTTTTTTTTTTTTTACCGTGAACAATTATATTTTTAGATTAAAGACCAAAAATAATACATGTTAGCGAACGAGATATTTTCATTCAACTTTCCTTCAAAATAAGCAATTCACTTCCAGAAAAATACGTAGAATACTAAGAAAGATTAAGTTCTAACAGAATACCTGATACCAATTTACACAATCATCAAAATGGATTAAAATCAAATACTGAACTACAAAAGTATGTTGACCAGACCTAACACTAGAAGGTTATCTTGATATGATTTCGGGGCTTTAGTGTCCCCGCGGCCCGGTCCTCGACCAGGCCTCCACCCTCAGGAAGCAGCCCGTGACAGCTGACTAACACCCAGGTACCTATTTTACTGCTAGGTAACAGGGGCATTCAGGGTGAAAGAAACTTTGCCCATTTGTTTCTGCCTCGTGAGGGGAATCGAACCCGCGCCACAGAATTACGAGCCCTGTGCGCTATCCACCAGGCTACGAGGCCCCTGCAAACGTTTCGATCCGTCCTGGACGACGTTTCGGTCCGTCCTGGACCATTCTCAAGTCGATTCTCAAGTCAATCGACTTGAGAATGGTCCAGGACGGACCAAAACGTCGTCGTCCCTTCACCTTCTAGTGTGAGGTCTGGTCAACATACTTTAGCCACGTTATTGTGACTCATTGCCCGCACTGAACTACAAATGTTGCTTATTGGCTAAGCACATGGTAAACATACTTCATATCCTTATACTTGAGGGGATTGATGACAATAGACAAATACAAAAATGTTCTTGCTACTAAGAATCTAAGAGTCTAGGTCCAAATTTGATGATTGATACCCAGTTCCTTCAGCAAATTGGTTCCCGTAACATTCCAAGTTGTGCAGATTTAACAAGTTATTTTTACTGATCATTTACCGTGCAAGTTACACTTCACATTAAAATTACTGTGAAATTACAAAATATGATACTGGCTCTGTTTTTCATTTATAAAATTCTTGCAAATGAAGAGTACAGTACAATGGTTTTGTATAAACAATGCAGCAGCAGTGATTGTGGAGCTAATGCTTGGCAGCTATTTTCAGCAACTGTGCTTATCTTAAAGAGCAAAACAAGTTTCAAAGCCAAGAGGTAACTTTATAAAAACGCGTAGGAACTAAATTTACTCCTACCAGTTGAATATTTTACAGTTTCTCTATTAAATGAGTGGCTGCAAGGACAAGCCAGACCTCCACCAAGCTAAGAAAGTGCACCAAGCTGGGAACTTTGAGTCAGGATGGGCAAAGGTGAGAGCAGGCACTGTAGGGCCAGACCACCCTCCCTAGGAACACACCTAGGCCAGCATTGCCCTTACCTTCTCACACCAGCCCTCCCCAGGGTAACTCCCCTTTGGCAGACATGGGGGTAAAGTCATATGTAAATCAACACGTATGCACCAAAAAAAATCATCAAATGCTATACAATCATGAAAGTTTCCAGTGGTTAACAACAAGATGACAACCTGTCATATCACAGTCAAATCAAAAACATACTTATTCATGATTCAAGCAGTAATTTATAATGATTTTCATAGGGTGCCTTTAAAAAGTTGGCACACCCATAAAAAGACAATATTGGGAGCCAAATATTTCAATGACACATACATACATCAAGGCACTGATTAGGTCATTGTGATATGCTAACTACAAAAACATTAATCAGAGTGCTACAGTTTAAAGAAAGTGACTACAATGGATACATTTTTTATTTTTGGGGGGGAGGCATGGGGGGGGGAAGTTAAATTTGAAAAATATGCGGTGTTGTAACGAATTATCGACACAAAGACAAAACAGACACTGGGGGGGGGGGAGTTTGATTTGTAAATATGCCAATATGTCAAGCGATAATGGTGTTAATGCAAAAAGAGCACAAGTTATAAACTTCTAATCTCTACACTATTTCCCTCAAAATTTAATCACAGAACAGCATCCCTCTTACCCTTGAAATTATTGACTTGCATAGAGAAAACTGAACTGTACAGTTCCCCCCAATTTGCACAAGCATATTATCTTATCACTCTTTTAATATTTGATTGCCTAAGTGTATACCTTTATTTGACATCATTCCTGTCCAATTAAATAATTAATTTGTTGAATAAACACGATGGCATGGAGCAAATGGATGCGGGGGCACCACCCACATCTCAATAGTGCCCAATACAGACATATGCATCCAGCACCAACATTAGAGAAGCTCAGTCTTGTCTACTTATTATTTAAGAATACAGTGTTCAGTGGGTCTGCAAAATTTGTACTTTGTTGCACCCTATCTATGATTTAAAGTTAAAATGAGTGCTTCTAAGATGAAAGCCGAAACACTGTGGGAGTCTAAACTAGAAATAAACGTCTAAATATTACATTTTAATAATGTGGATGGAAAGCCGTGTGTTTAATTTCCAAAACTGTTGCAGTGCTACAGAAATACAACTTAAAATTGCCACCGAGATCAAGCACATTAGTTAATATAAATATTATGACTTTGCATCTATATGAAGTGTAAGGCCCATGAACTGAACCACCATTCATAAAGTTGCCCATTGGCTAAGAATAATTGCCCATCCCTGGCCTTGAGCAAAATATATTATGTGGGAGAATCATAACATCTCTACCTCTCTCTTCACTCTAAAGTATTGTACATTTCAAGTTTAAAATCAATGCGACGAGGCATTCGACACATATAACCTAGAGGAAAATTTGGCAGGGAGAGGTGGGGAGGCCACCATAAGATATCCCTACCACAATACCTAATTACTACCAACAGAATGCTCCAGGATGTACTGTAGATATCTAATTTCTAACCGTTTATAAGAGGGGAGCAAAACTAAAGAACAGGGATGAAAGTAACATGCAGATTAGCCCGAGGGATGTCATCGGAACATTTCTATTTGAGAGACGTGAGAAAAACATTTATTTGAAAGAAAAGCGAGACGACCAATAAGCAAGAAATGGACTGATTCCTTACACGTCTCAGGAACAGGAATGATAAGACACTAACCACGAACAAACCCCCCTTGATAAGACACTAACCACGAACAAACCCCCCCTTGATAAGACACTAACCACGAACAAACCCCCCTTGATAAGACACTAACCACGAACAAACCCCCCTTGATAAGACACTAACCACGAACAAACCCCCCTTCAATCCCACACGAAAGTCAGAGCTCAACCCCCCCACAAGCACAACTAGGTGAGTACACCTGGTCAACAAAGAAAATGGGAATAACCAAAGCTTTACCACTACTTTAGACTTTGGTAGGAATGTACCGAGAAAACATAGAAGTTGTCCACTGCTATGTGGACAATCAAAAAATATTGGTGTAATGATAATACATGCATAAGTGGCAATATGATCACAACAAACGGGATGCCGTTCTTGGAAACTCGTGTAAGGAGTCATTCAGGACTTTGTATACCACATGTCAGACCAATCCTGGAGTATGCAGCTCCAGCATGGTGTGTCCATATCTAATCAAACATAAAACAAAGTTAAGAGAATGTTCAGAGGTACACCACGAGACTACTACCCTAGCTGAGGGGTATGAGCTACAAGGAAACGCTACTGGAATTGAACCTAACGTCACTAAGAGACACGCGAGTTAGGGGAGACGTGATTACCATTTACAAGATTATCCCGGAATTGACAAGGTAGACAAATTATTTAGCATGGGTGGTACACGAATGAGGCGACACAGGTAGAAACTTAGTACTCATATGAGCCAAAAAAAAAAAAAAAAAAACAAGTTTCCATTGCCAGTAGTTAACAAATGGAATGTATTAGGCAGTCTATAGAGGCAGACTCCATACACAATTTCAAATGTAGATATAAGAGCCCAATAGGCTCAGGACACCAGTTGATTGATGGTCAAATGGCAGGACCCAAGAGCAGAAGCTCAACTCCCCAGCACAACCAGGCAAGTAATGAATAGAACAGACAAGTTGAAGAAATACTTGCATGCAGTGAGTTGTAATTAAGTGTAATTAACTTTGGAAAGGTGGTGAAAGCAACCATAATTAACAGTTTCAAAAGCAAACAGAGAAGGGAACTGGAACATCAAGAGAGAGAGAGAGCACATCTCCATAAAACTAGTCTTCCATAGCTGCTTTATACTTCACCTTTCCATCAACTTGTGTTCCCTAGTCCATAAAGACATTAAATATCCAATCTTCTAAAAACTTATAGTACCTACGGCAACTGTGACCAAATAAACACCATGTAGAAGGGGGTAATAAATCCCGAACGACACCATAAATATGACTCTCGACTCTTCAAACCCTCGACCGACCTCGCCCTTCTTCTACACATGCTAAAATGCATTTGTATTTTCATCCCTTGAGTAGCCTAGAAATCCACACCAATATCTATATTTAACCCAAATACCTAGTCAACCGATCAGCATTTAAATAAAGCCTACTCTCAGGCAAGCTTTAAGAAATTTGATTTCCATGGTACTGACTTTGCACGATGTTTTTGTACCAAACAATGAAATAACTTTCCTTGCAAAAACAAATACACCGTGAGCATGAACAAGCGTGACATATGGCAAATACAATTCATTTAGCACAATTGAATGCATTATTTTTTGTTATCACTTCCTTATATATTTTACTACTTGATAGTTTTAGTTTTAATGATAAAATGTTATCTCCAAGATATTAATATTTATGTATACATGTACAGCATATGTAAGCATGTACATACATGCTTACATACACGGTATACATACAGTAAATGTAAAATATAAAATTTTATATATTAATTAGAAAGCTAAATTCTACGCAAACATTCCATGTAAAAGAGTATTACTAATGCTTCAATATCGATTTTAAAACCAATTAAATCACTAGAAAAACACACTACATCACAATGCATTACCAGTAAGTAGACTAGTTATTATTGAAGTTATAACTCATTTTAGAAATCTGTCTTGCTAAATAAATCCTAAGCAACTATTTTTGTTGAATTATAGATATACTTGTAGGTCATTCATCATAATTATAAAATACAGTATTTTGAATTTCATTGCCAAATTGGCAAGAATTAATCATTAAAATCACAGCTCAATGAAGTACTGCACTTCCTTAGACTGTAATAAATTTATCAAAGCAACAACTTATTTCCATTAATACCAATTCTAAACAAAATTCATAATCTATTGACAAGCAATAGGTGATCTGGTATGATTAAATCACGGAGGTAATATTTTTCCCAATACAGTAAACAACAGCTGTATTGCTACTGTTGGAATACATCTACATTTTATAAATGTTATGAAAGACCTAGACAACATTCCAATAAAATATTTTCCATAGAAATTTGTCAAAGTGTTAATTTGCTCCTCTTTCTCAATTGGCATTATCCTGAAGCTTTTCCTAATCCATGTTTAACTTATTTTCATTAGTGGCAAGCAAGTGCAATAGTCATTATCCCATTTCTTTATCTGCTTTCCTGACGAAGAATCTTGAGTTAATCATTAAGTAAATGAGAAGTTATCGCCTCGATGAAAACCCCGAAACACATGCCTCCCATCCCCACTAAAGTGAAGGACAACGAAATAATAGAATTTTCTTACAGATGTTGGGTGAAAATAATACAAGGTAGGGATTTTTAAGAGATAATTTAAGGCAAGATGAAAATGCTGCCATGAAAGAAGACAGTATAGAGGTAAATAGAACAATATTGGAAGGCAACCAATATCATAGTGAAAACAAGACAACACTGTAACAAAAAAAAAAAGCAACTGCCACGAATACATCAACATTTGTAGCCAAGCCAGTTTGGAAAAGTTAGGGAATAAAGTTTTAGTCAACACCTGTCACCCAGTATACAAATGCTCCCTCACAAAAGCATTTAATTTCGGCATCAAAATATAACAAGATGGGCGCATCCAATCTCTCGATCATCGCCGCCCCTCAATCAACCGTAAGGTTATGTTAAATTTGCCTATGAAATATTATGCAGCATCTGCCATGTTAGTGGTTACAGAGAACCCAGGATAAAGTATACTGCACAAGTCTAATGCCTACACGATATGGTTTAACCATACGAGAAGCATCGACATAATGAGTGAAAACAGCAAAACATTCAAGTAAAAATAAAAAGGAAAAATCTAATTCATTGTTAAAAAAAAATTGTAATCAAACAATATGAACATTACCATTATGCAGTTTGAATTTTGTTCATGAAAAGTAGTATTACCAAAATACTATGCCAATGATAGTCAGAAACTAACCATATAATGTTAATATTCCTACACATCACGGTGAAATACTAAAATGAGAAGCCTTATGCTATAATTAGGTGGTGGGTCATAAAAGCAATTATACAGTACAGGGAATTAGAATAGGTGATGGAATGTACGGGAAGAAATATTACTACCGTTGTCCGAGAAAGGTAAAGGGACAATGACTTATTCAATTCCAAATCTTTGGCTGCTTATTACTTATATAATTTACTAAACCTAAAATATAAATTTTGAAAAATTTTAACCACTCATTCTTTTGAATTTATGGACAAAGCTTACAGGATACTGACAAGAGATACATGGATGTGAATACCCAATCCACTGTTTAGATAATCATGTAGGTCGTACATGGGTAGTTTCTGTATATATGTTAAAAAGATACACATTATGAAAATTATGCCATTTTCTATATTTGATCTGAAACCAAGTTGTTTTGAGATGAATCTCGGCTCCCAAACCGGAATCTCGGCATCTCGGCTCCCAAACCGAGACGCTACGTATGTCAAAATAGTATATATATATCTTGTATATAAAAAAAATGCTACTACCATATAATCTTAAAACTGTAAATTACAACAAAAATTATAAAGCTAATATTTTAATCAAATTATTAGTATATATATGTATTAAAACCATCTCTAATGATGTACAATAATTTCATGTGTTATAAAATTTTACCAGACAGTTAATTTCAATGCTTTTTCTGTTCTATGATGTTCTTCATCTTTAAGAGCATGAACACGTTTCACAAACTGTTACTGGTGCTGCACGCTCGAGCTCTTACAAACTGAACTTATCAATCCATAACTAACCAACCAATTTTGTTAATAGTTTCCATGTTGGTACATTATTAAAATCTGGTTGTAAAGATAAAATAATTGCTTTAAGAGCTTTATGAGTACATATCAGTTCATTAGTAATGCATAAACACACTTTATTTAAAATGCAAAAAATAAAGTAGATGAAATTTATGTTTTCATTAAAAACTTGCATTTTATTGCCAAAAAAGTTACTAGAACAAAATACTAATTATAACTATTGTTAATTGTATTAATCCACTTAACTATTTTCACAATTGAACAATTAATGAGAAAAATCAGTAGGAGTTGTGAGGAGGATTTGAACTTATGCTCTGGGTACTCCCGACTGATACATTACATTAATGTGACTTCTCTGTGCATTGAACAATTCATTTTACGACACCTTGGTCAAAACATTTTTAATTTAGGCTACTAAGACATTAACTGAGGAGTGTGAGAAGACATACCTTCTCCATCCAGTGAGCTCCTTGTTCCTCTCCTTCACCGCAAACCAGGAACTGCTCAGCGCACACCTACACACAAATAAATGTTAAAGTCTATACAGAAATATCTAGTAATTTTACTGTACTTTAACAGTCGAACATTCAGATACTGAAGAAAAACATCACAGTTGCCTTCATTGAAGATCAGTAGTTGCTCTCAACTTTGATTCACTGCATTTTACTGTTTGATACAAAAACTTTGAACCTGACTTCATTTAATATACAATAAAACTTCATCAGCATTAAAACTTACCGTGCATAATTAAATACTATATACTGTACTTGCCTTTCTTATCTCGTCTTTCAATCCAGTCATCTGGGCACGAGTGTACTCGATGCCTGGGAATACATCAGACAACAGGGAGAAGAGCAATGGAATGTCCTCTGCTACAAGCTTGGGTACCATTGTTTCACACACACTCTGGATCAAAATCTGTTGGCAGAGGATTAGCTTCAGAATATGCTTTCAGAATATGCTTCATGTTCTAAGTTGATTCTAGTTACTCGTGCAAGTAGAATGCTCGATGAGGCAACGAAGCAAAGATATTAAATAGATTCCACAAATGGCACCAGTAAGATTACGCGATTAAAAACCAACCTCTTGTTCGGGAAGGTTCTCGGCAATAGTTCCTTCGTCAATTATCGCGTCTTCACGACTTCTGAGATCCTCCTTAATTCGCTGAATGCGGTCACGCTTCACATTACCAGCAGACACCAGCACCGACTTCAAGGCACGTAAACCGAAATCATAATGCGACTGATTGGACAGCTGTTCATCACACAGCCTGTGCAATAAATAATGATCAGCTGTCAGAGAAAGATAGGCGAAGGAAGGGTATGGGTGAGGGGTAAAAAAAAAATAGGGAAGAGGGGGAGAAAGGGCTTCACATGAGAGACAAATTTGCTCACATAGAAGGGAGGTGGAGATAGGTGACAACAGAGGGGCAGAGAGCAAGAGAATGAGCCGTGTGTAAACAAAGATCACAAATAAAGGTATATGAAAAAAATTTTCAAGTAAACAACAAAATTAGGTCTTTAATGTAATTAAACACTGCTTTCAGGGTAGATTCTTGTCTTCCTGATCTTCAGCACTAGAACCATTAGGCCTCATCATTCCAGACTTCCACAGGTCTATCAGAATGAGGTCCTGGTAGGCCTGCAATTCTCTAAGGAGCCTGGTACAATTTGAAGGCTTAGAGGTAGGTACCAGTACCGAAGTTCAGGGAAATGACTGAGGGAACAAGCCAAGAAAATATTTATAAGGAATTAGTCATGTAGAGTGACTACCAAAATCATTACTTACTTAAAGAATGGAACAATTTTGCTGGCAAGCTTTTCAGCCGACCTGAAGCCTTGACTGAAGAGCATCACTTCGGCAATAAGTTGTCTGTCGGGTTTAGTCATGGCAAGGGAACGGAAGAGCTTCTTCAGGTTATCAGGAAGGTTTGAGCGGCCGGCATAGCCAGGGTTCATGGTGATGAAGATGGCCATATCGGTTGAAACCTTGACTTGCTTGCCCACCAGCTCAACAGTCAACACTATTGGTAAAGCAAACCATTAATTAAAAGAAAGTCCATCACTTTTCAAATGGACACCGATATAAAAAAAATTGACATCAAAATGCTTGCTTTAAACATCAGATACCTTGCTAATTAAAATTATTTACAAATTAAATTCATTGCAACGAACCCTGAGATCCAGTCTTCTCTCCAGCTTTTTCCTTTAGTGCCTCCTGTATGGTCTGCACTTGCTGGGACACAGCCGACAACATTCTCTCCTCCAAACGGTTGAACTCATCAAAGCACCCCCATGCCCCAACCTGCCACATGAAACATACAATATGCATCAATTATTCAAAACCAAATGTATTCTAATATTACAAACACAATACACGAGCAAATACTTTAAAGTATCCTAATATCACGGATCTTTACCTGGCAGAGTCCAACAAAGATACGACCCATTGCTTGGAAGTCAAATGTCTCATCACAGTTGAAGACTAGCACGAAGCGACCTAACTGGTTACCAAGTGCCTTAACTGATTCCGTTTTACCCGTGCCAGCAGGTCCTGTAGATAAATGGAAATCATGATAAAAGCTTCCAAAGATACAATAAAAAAACACTTTCACCAAGTTATCAAAACTATATAAAAATGATTTTCTAGTGTTTCAATATGGCCCTCTAAGTTCAAATGTCTAACAGTATAACAAAAAGCTATATAAATATGTACAGTGTAACAAAATCTATATCAGGTGAAGAAAACAACCCTTTGGCCTTTGTTCCACTGACTCTAGAAATGTATATACTGTAGTTTCAAAGCACCACATCAAAAATTATGACTAGATTCAACTGGGTAAGAAAATTACAACAAACATGGAAAACTTACCAAAGGGTGAGCCTCCCAAGCGTGCTTCAAGAGCTTGTGTCATTGTGAGATAGCAACGGTCTGTTAAGGGTGTCTGAACAAGCTTGTCCTGTACTCCCAAGTATTCAAATCCATAGTTGAACTTGGCATTGGCCATATGGATGCTCAACTGCTTCAGGGGATCGCCTTGCTTGGGGTCAAAGTAGAATCGCATCTGGCACAGCCAATCAAATGACTTTGGATTCACCACTTTATTCTTAATCAGGTTCCTGGTTACCGTCCTCTTATGAACAAATTCACTGATCTGGAAAATAAATAATAAAATTACTAAGGTGCAATACAGTAACACAATTCGGCTATAAAACTATGATTCAAGTTGATATCCAATGTGAATTCACAATAATTGCACTAACTAGCACTGAATTTTCAACAGTTTACTCTATTCAACCTGTTAGCACAAACTCAAAGGGCAAAGCAAAGTACTATGCTAGAAGTGATGATTAGAAGAACTTTCAAAAGCAAAATCCTCATCCTTGGGAATGTCTGACGACTTTCTATGACACTGTACGATAAACTTACAGTACATACAGTATAAACAAATTTCATATACCCAAGGTGGTGAAGGGACGACGACATTTCGGTCCGTCCTGGACCATTCTCAAGTCGACTGTGACAATCGACTGGATAATGGTCCAGGACGGACCGAAACGTCGTCGTCCCTTCACCTTCTAGTGTGTGGTCTGGTTAACATAATTTAGCCACGTTATTGTGACTCATTGCCAGCATATACCCAAGTTGCCCTTCATCTCCGAATAAAATATATGGAAGTAACTGTATTTCACTGTACAGTCTGACAAATTGTTATGATATATACTGTACTCTTAAATAATGACACGTACAAAGAAATTAAAGTTACACACAATCGACTCCAGGACGGACCGAAATGTCGTCGTCGCTTCAAACCCCACACACTAGAAATTGGTCAACAAATTAAAGTTACTAAGCACATGAGGAGGTCTCATAATTTCAACTGACCAGGTGCTCCAACTTCTTACGGCGCAGGAGAGGCTGTTCCTGGAGAACAGAGTCGGCCAATACATTCAGCGTCGCTTCCACCTGTACCAGGGCTTGTTGCATGGGGCCCATGTCGCCATTAGCAGCAGCAGCCAAACCAGCTTCAACCTACAACATTAAAAGTGTACTTTTATTTGGTGTTCATGTAATATTTGACTTTATTAAATAGCAATGCCATACTGAAGATTATACCTACATGTGAGGAATAATAAAACCGTAATAATTCATGGATTAAATCAAAGTATCACACAACTTTTTCTCAAGAAAATCTTTTCAATAAACCAGTCTACCATCCAGCTCATTGTTACGTTTAGAATACATGAAATACAATGATTTAACAAAATTTGTTCCATACTGCTATAATGCCTTATTACTCACTGCACACCCCGATTCAAAATTTATTTTATCATTGACTCCTTTATTTGCCATTGCATTTAATCTCGACTATGCATTTTGATTAAAACAAATAGAACACTCTTGTGCCAATGATGATACCTAAATAAATTTGCAATATAAAAATATTCTATGCCATTTCATAAATAAACATAGAAATCAAATCTAGTAGGAATTTACTGCTCGTTCTCTAATTTCTTAGCAGATTGGAATCATTGTTACATCTGACTTTCAACTGTGTGATGGAGACTCATTTGTTGGTATAGTATAGTTTAAGCTCTATAGCACCAAATTAAACTTAATTAAGTGCCATTTAAAAATCCCCTCAATATTATTTCCCCATTACCTAGAATATTGCTTCTAATCAAGTTTCTAAATGGTAGCTTATAAGTACTTTCACAGCTAAGTAGCTTTCATCATTCCTTCCTACTTAAAAGTATTTTAACAACGAACCCACCTCTTCACTCCAAGAAATCTGTGCAGCCAGTACAACAAGTTGTGCTTGATACTTGTCACACCACTTTAGGTAATTTGGCGTGTCAATAGGACCATGTTTAAACTGCTTGATGTCTGGCAACAGCAGATGCTAAATTCTGTGCCAGTGTCATACGCATCTCGTGTTCAACTTGCTTAAGCCACTCGTTGATCTTTGGGTAGTCCACTGTCGAAACCACCTTGTTGAATGGTACCTAAGAGAGAATAAATATTTTAATTATTACATGTTTAGACACTAATCTTGACAAGATTTGTTGAAGTTTCTTCACAAAAATAGCTTCACTCATATCACCAGTGAATATATCCAGTCCCAACACTACGTAATAATTACCATTTCACCTTCCCGGGAAGCAATACCAGTAACGATGGTTTCAGTTTCATCAAGGTTGATTGCAGTGACGCCAGCGAACATCTTCTTGAAGTGCTTCTGCAGACGTGGAATGTTCTTGCTGTTGCCAATGATCTCCAGCAGATCTTCATCTCCCACAAAGTAGAATCTGTATCAAGTTATTTGTATATGTCAACATATTGACTGGTAAGATTACAAATCCCCAAATGTCATCTGCATTATATTTGGAAATGATCCAACCTTTCAACTGCATGAGTGAGACTGAGGTAGGCATACATGGTGTCCTATGCTAGGATATCTCTTGTTGTAAACAAAATGAAATGATACAAACTGAAATGATCTAACCAGTCGAGAAGCGGGACGAAAGAGACAAAGCTCAACCCCTGCAAGCACAACTAGGCGAGTACAGTTAAACATTTAAACAATGACATTACTCACATACCATGGTATCAAAACACTAGTGACATAACATAGTGAGACTCGTGATGGATGACTGATTGCATTATGACAATACTAACAAAGACATGATAACAGAACTAGTAAATTTAAACGCTAATTCTTGAAATTGTGACGTGCAGTCAACCACCTGAGGGAACACAATGACTTTATAAGTACACGAGATTAAATAATCAATTTCCAAATATATTTGAAGTTACTTTGTTTTTGAGTGTGTACTGCTAATTAACCTTAGAGCATATTTTAAAAGTACTGGTAACTTTTCCATCAATATTTTTAAACAAAAATTTATCTTCAAGTCCACAAAAATTACCATCTCATACAAAAATAAAACACACACAATATTTTGTTCTGAGCAGTGCAAGGATTAACAAATACTTTAACACACACCATCATACCAATTTTCCCCATTAGTGGGAAGTCATAGCATCACATGATGAACTACTGTGTGACCATATACTACGAGGAAATTAGTAAAGCTGTGAAGAGGGTTCGAACCTATACTCAAGAGTACTTACTCCCACATCACATGATGAACAATCAACTTGTGAATGGTCCAGGACAGACCGAAACGTCGTCGTCCCTTCACTTTCTAGTGTGTGGTCTGGTCAATCTACTCCCAAGTAAATGTCTTGAACCACTACAATACAACATGGTCAAAAGCATTGCAACCTGGGATTCAACTGAATCCTCTAAGGTTCCTGAGGCTTCCACTTTAGCCTAATCAGGATTTCATATAATGCTTCCATGCACTCTGGTCTGTAGTCTAAGAATTCTTCCTCCAACCCTCCTCTTCAAATGCACCAAGAAATAAAATTAACGTGATGCACCAACGAAAAAATCAGAGAGAGCCATGAGGAAAATTAGATCCTATGCTCTGCGTAGTCCAAAATGCCTTAGCACGACACTGCCAAAAGCATTGCATCACCACCGCTAGACTAGCTTTGTTACACCATGTGCAACACAGTAGCACATGGTACTGTGCAATCACCTTTTTTAAGATGCTTGGTAATATTGAAGGCTTTTAGAATATCAGTACACACATTTTTCTATAAAAGCTATTATCAATTAATATTTTGTAATTATTCTATTATATTCACCACAGTGCAGTAAATATGATACCTGGTTAATGGGGTTCTGGGAGTTGTTCTACTCCCCAAGCCCTGCCTGAGCCAGGCTTGACTTGTGAGTTTAGTCCACCAAGCTGTTGCTTGGAGCGGCCCGCAGGCCCACCTACCCACCACAGCCCGGAACGTCTTTTAGAAAACAGTCTAGTTTTTCTCTCGAAGATGTTCACGATTGTTCCGGCAATATTTCTGATGACTTGTGAAAGGGAAAGGGAGAAACACACACACAGCATTTCCCTTATGAAAGGGAAATGCCGACAAAATACGTTACCCTTTTGATTTCGAACCTTACCTTGGGAATGAGGATCTCTCCCGCTCCAAGTATTCACCAAGAGCCTTCTGAATCTTGCCCAAAAGATCTGCCAAGCGTTCTAAGGACCGCTGAACACCTTGAATATTCAGCACATCCATCACCATTGGAGATTTGCTGACCTTCTTCATCAAGTTCAGGAATTCTGTGCTATTAGCATAGAAAATATGAAAATTAACATTAAAAGGCCATTTAGTTAGCACAACAGATTAAAGATGGAGAGAAGAAAAACTCACCAACCTGTGAACACATGCATTTGTGTATCATCACGTGGAATTTTAAAAGTGCACACCGAGTATGATTCAGAGTTAGATTTAGCAAATTCATCAATTTACAAAATGTGTAAGATGATAAAACCTAATCTAAAAATAATTTTAAGCCTTTTTTAGTCAGCTTGGATTAAAAAGTAAATCAAGAGTAATAGAAATTCATATACACAAGTCATTTTCAACATTACAGTACTAGTACTATATCCTGAAGACCAAAGTAAGGCATTCATTATGTAAACTTACCTAATACTGCCAAAGCGTGATGTCTCCACTGGCAAGAGAGCTTTGATGTCTGAAGAACCAGAGAAGATGCCTTCAAGATATACCCAGCGTCGCTGAACATCAATCCACACGTCAAACACCGCATTAATGCGATTAAGCTTTTCTTCCCAAGTGAGTGCTTCTTCCTCAAACTCTCTGTAGTATGGAGACAGTTTCATGGCCGCCACAGAATTGATGTGTTCCTTGACTTTGTTGAAGAGGTCATCCCAGCCTCGAATAAGTTTGCACTTATTCTGGTAGTTGATGAGGTCTAGCTCATAACTCTGCCATGATTCCCGCACTTGCTTCAGGAACTCTTCTAAGGCCATTTCTCCTTGAGCAGTGATGATCACATTCTTGATGACAGGTTCATTCTTCATTAGGTCAACATCCCACACTTGGCCCAAAGTAAGGTCACTCAACACCCAGTTGACATGCAACTGCTTCATCAATGTCTTCCAATGCCGCTCCTTGAGAGCATCACTCTTCAACTCTACAATGGTCATGTTCACCTTGGTGTAACCCTGCAAAAGCCTCTTTACAAACTCGTAGCTTGAATACTGACGCAACCTAGCAGGCAAGTCCTTCAACTGAGTCAGCAAGTGATCTAGCTGGGCCCGAAGCTTACGAGGTTGTACCGACAGCCAAGGCTTCTCCTTCATTTCGTCAATCTGCTCCCATATCTTGGCCAGCTCGGCCCAGACACCTTTCAGGTCTTGGAGTTCCTCAAATGCCACTGTCATTCTGTCTTCAGATGTATTAAGAGCACCTGGCTCTTGTAGTTCCAAAGCTTCCTTAGCCTTGGCAACATTGTCACGATCATCCTTCAGTCGTGTAAACTTGCTTTCATACAACGTGAGACGTTGCAGAGCTTCATCGGGTCGCAAGTGTCCTTCTACGGGCTTTCCGTGCTCCCAGTCTCCCAGGAAATCATTTGTTCTCGATTCCACAGCTTTGTCCTCGGCAACAATCTTAAGCTGCAACGAAGCCACCTGTGTCTGAATGCTCGAATCTTTACGTCTGATGATCTCATTAAAGGCACCCCATTCACCCTCAATGTTGTCAACATGAAGCCACTGGTTTGGGAACTGGAATCTTTGGCGCTCCAAGATGCGCTGACCCTCTTTGTACATGTCAACATGCTTCTCCCAAGATTTCATCTTGCGTTTCAGTGACTGTACATAGGTAATGAGTGTCACAGCATCAGAGGTACTAGCGGCATCAATACTCTGTTGTTCTAATTCACTTCGGCTCTTTGATACCTGTAAGAAGTCAGGATGTTACGGTAGAATAAAATTAATGTACATACTTTCCATAAATACTAATTCATGTTTTAATGACATTCTATTAAAATTTGAAATATTTACAAATATAAAAATCTACATTTATTCACATTAGTTTTCAAGTAATTTTAAGCACAAAATTCACGTCACCCAAAATGTTATCAACATTATTGCAATATCAATACAGCATTGTAATTACTGTATAGTAGTAATAATATCAAACTGAAAAATATGACTATGCAAAATACTGATGCAAACAATGCACGATATTGATGCATAATAAATATTTTACATGAACCACAATCATTCCTATTTTAAGAAAATCACGAAGCATAACACCGAGTAATACAACACAAAAGAGTAAACAAAGTTATACTTCCTTACTTGAGCATGGAAGTGTGTCATCTCTTGACCAAGTAGTTGACCAAACTTGCTGAGGACATCCTTATGCCACGAGTCATACTTCAGAGACACCTTGCTCTGAACTTTGGTGTAGTCCACCACAATGGGACCAAAGCTGCGTCGTGTATCCGAAGTATCGAAGGTTGTTCGGCACTGTTTGATGTCTTGCAAGAGCTTCATCCACCTGTGACCAAACATTTACACTAAGGTCAGGAATCATTATTTCTTTCATTTAAATTACTTAAACAATTACATAAAATAAAATTCTCTATTTCAGAACTATCATAGACCTATTTCTGAATATAAAAAACCTTTGCTAATGTATATAAAACATGTACAAAATTATTAAAATCTTTTCCCCCATTTCCTGTTAATATGATGGCTCACCCTTGAGCAGTGTTTCCTGCACAGTATATACCTGGCTCTTTACCCAATACAATCAACCAGTTGATTGACGGTTGAGAGGCGGGACCAAAGAGCCAAAGCTCAACCCCCACAAGCACAAATAAGCAAGTACATCTGTTGAAACCAAATCCCAAAACTAACTTTGCAACATCATCTCCAAGCTGTCCATAGAGGTGGTCAGGCTGCAAATCCCAGAGAGCTTGATACTGAAGCCACTCCTTCACGTAGTTGGACACCTCAAACACCACCATGTCTACAGCGCGATAAGCAGCCTTTATGTAGACGTGTTCATCAGGAAGCTTAATGAGCAAATTCCTGTACACCTGAGCAGTTGGACGATCTAAGCCAACCTGTGAACAATCCAGTCAACATTATCCCAACGTATCCAGCAACTATACAATGTATGCTACCAATTATGCAACGAAACACTTTCACGTTATCTCGAGATGATTTCGGGGCTTTTTAGTGTCCCCGCGGCCCGGTCCTCGACCAGGCCTCCACCCCCAGGAAGCAGCCCGTGACAGCTGACTAACACCCAGGTACCTATTTTACTGCTAGGTAACAGGGGCATAGGGTGAAAAACTCTGCCCATTGTTTCTCGCCGGCGCCTGGGATCGAACCCAGGACCACAGGATCACAAGTCCAGTGTGCTGTCCGCTCGGCCGACCGGCTCCCTAAGTGTAACGTTGCCAGTGTAATATTTCTCAAGCCCCTAAATGTATAAAGGCAGGAACAGGTAGGCCAAGCGCAGAACATGAATGTTTATAACTAAGTTTGAAAACTATTTTTGTACAGACATGCTATTCTTTTACATGTACTGTTAATAATTGTTTGCTTTATTATTTGTTGATAAAACAAGGAATTGTATTGTAATAATTATGTGCCCAACTCCTGTCACCGAGGTGTACTGGCCATCGGCATAAAAGTGGAGCTCGGAACATTATATTTGATCTACATTTTATACAAATACAGCTGTTTAATATTGTATGGAATTTTTTTATTTTTTTAAATTTAATTGCATTAACTTTTTGTCTCGCTGGAAGAGAATTTGGGCCAAGAGAAATGCAAATACAACTGAAGGATTCAGTTCTGGCCTGTAATCACTGAACAGGATGCATCACAAAACTTCAGACATAGCTAGCCCCATGTTCATGCTAAGTATAAATAAAAAAAATTCACAAAATGATATTTGAAATACAATAGTAAACTACACTTTCTAAGTGCATTAGCCCATCAAAATATGCACAAAACTATGTTCTACTATTTGAACTTTTAAAAGCACAGTATATATTTGGCCAAAAATGGAAAAAACTGCTAGAGGCTACTTTGCTGCATGAATGTGAATTGATTCAGTCAAGATTCACTGCAGAGAAACGAGTCTTACAAATGACTGCTATATTTTAGACGCAGAGGACTTCAGACAATCTAAAATTACCATGTAAAAAAAAAAAAAAAAATAAAATCATTTAGTAAATTAATTTGTCCTAACCAAAATTGAGAAAATCTCAACAAATTTTGCATCTAATAATGCTTTGTTCTAAAGAATTAATATTGTAATACCAAAAGATATGTAACCATTCATGACCCATTAATGTAAAAAATAATGCCATGCAAAAAATAAACAAACCCTAAGCAATTTGATGTAATAATTATTCACATACCTGGTAGCGTGTGCTCTGTATACGGTTTTGGCTGGTCACAATTGCCTGCCAACTGAAAAACTGTTGCATGATTTGATAACGCGATTCTTCAATTGTCGGATGCATATACATTGTCTGGTTGGTGATACGAACTTCTTGAACAACTTGGGTAATCTGTATACAAATATATGTAACAAAATATTAAACATCTGACCAAAAATGCTCAAAGTATATAAGCAGCTTTGGTGTATTTTTGGTGTATATGTGGTAACTTTGGTTTTGAATTGATTCAAAACACTATTGAACTAAGCAGGCGATGAGTCACAATAACGTGGCTGAGGTATGTTGACCAGACCACACTCGACTGGAGAATGGTCCAGGACGGACCGAAAAGTCGTCGTCCCTTCACTTTCTAGTGTGGGGGTCTGGTCAACACTATTGAACTAAAGCCAATATTTTTGCTCGTGAGTGAAAGCCATTTAAATAATAATCAAAACAAACCTTTGGATCTCCTCCGGGTTTATGAGTTGGTTTGTCTGGTGTGTCGGTGTCCATAGGAATATCAATGTCCTCATCCTTCTGTCTCTGCCCCTGTAAGGCTGACGTCCATGCCTGCATGCCGGCCTGAAGCCTTCCTGCCAACTTTTTCTCAACCTGTGTAATGTACATTTATTTACCAGGTTAAAATGATTCCCTTACATACAGTCATTTTCAAGTTCTGAAAAGTGGAAATTAACACTTCTTTCCAGGTGAAACTAATTACTAAATGCTGTCAATTTTTAATTTTACTCCAATTGCATTTTATGACAGTGGCAGATGTGAATGAATTACAATTAAAAACTCAAAACCAAACAATTTTGTTTTAAATATCTTGAGATGATTGAGATGATATGCTCAATTGCTTTTCAATTTATCAAACTTCTTTCATTATGGCAAGTGATAAATCCAAAAAATGCAATTAGAGCTCCAGTATATTAAAAATTACTATTCATATCCTCAAATTCCCAATACTCTATAGCTTCAACTGAACAAAATCTTAATTTCACCATCATATGATGGATGCCAATTATGAAACCCTGACAGCATTCCATGTCATCCTTAAGTCTTTCTATGAACCAGTTTAAAATATTTAGACTTTTCTATGCAAGAACATGCATTTTATAATGCTAACGAACCTTACAATTATTCACAAAAATATTATTAATTTTATCGTCTTGTTAATAAACCTAAACCGACTGGTTACAGATATAAAAAAATTTATGCACTAAATTTTTGCTTTTAAAGCATCTTATTTAAACAAGACCTTAAAAATCACATAATTCAATTTGGGGCAAACACATCCCCGAATAGACCCAAGTGTCTATTGTGAATGCTATTTACACAAATTACCATTATTCCAACTATCACTTTTTATTAAAATGATAGAAAAACAAATCTAAATCACTGGGAGAGATCTGTTTACAAAATGTGATCTTCAGAAAGAGCACAAATTTCATTTTATTGGACACAAGCCATGTTGCTGCATTTATCTAAACATTTACACAAATTCTTTGTCAACACTTGTATTTATTCACCAAGATTTGTAAACATTTGTAATAAACATGAAAGAATGGCGGCATACACAGCCAGCGTGATGCATAAAATGAACAAATCCACATGGTTCTTTTGATCATGTTTTTGCGCAGTCGATTAAGACAGCGTCTGGGGATGCCCTCGGACGTAGGTTCGAACCCTCGTCACAGCCCTTGTGGATTTGTTCAAATATAAAACCAAGGAATTTATCAATACTAATAACATTGTATGTCATATCAGTAATTCACATGAGAAATCAAGCATGCAGAAATGAGCTGTGGCATTACTTGGGAGCAATACATCTATTTTATGAACAGAAGTGTAGACGACCGAACAATTTAAAGCACAGTAGTGGTGGTTGATGCCAAAACCATCAGCAGTCTCTCAATGTCCTATGACAAAGTTTTTAGGGATGACAGAACACCACTATCATAGCCCTCATCCTCCCACTTCACTGTATTGCGCTACAGTATTGCGTGTTTCGAAAGATATATAATACATCACACAAATTCTAAAAACCTACCTGCTCATCAAGTCGCTGCACCCAAATGTGCAAATTGGAGTACTGGTGGAGTGATAAATCATCCACGGCCTTCTGGATCTTGTTTAGAATCTCGGCAAAGGTGAAATGTGCGTACTGGCAGGTATCAAGTGACCTCACGTCAATATCCAGCTGCTCTTCCAGCACTAGCAAGTCATCCACCTATGTATTAGGCGAGTAAACACACACACTGTTACTGTATATGCTGTAAAGTTTATTTTAATAATACAAACAACAAAGAGAATAAAGCAAATATGGAGAATGAAATGTGATAATTCTACAGCAAGGTGAAAAATAGTAAATGATGGAAACAGAATTAGGAGAATTAAAGATGGGTAGTAAGAGGGGTAGAGGCAAGCTGGATAGAAGAATAAAACAGATTGACAGCTAGAGTTGAAATAGATAATAGTGCAGGAAAGTAGAAGCAGCTGAAATAATATTAAGAACAGATGCAGGCTAGAATGCCAGTAGTTGAAATATATAATTGAATGAAAGTATAACGGTAGATATTAACAAGGTGCTAAACAAAATATAACAAGTAATACTGGACAAAAATGATACAAGTTGAAATTCAATAGAACATGTGGGTACTATTAAACAAAATTTAAAAAACGTAATCTATGGAAACACATTGAGCCAAGATGATACAAGATAAAGTATATTTAGTTGCAGTTAATTGAGGGAATCCCCAGTTCCCACAAAAAGCTTTTCTCAATGGTTAGGATGAATTGGAGGGTGGAAAAGGTGGAAGAGATGAGACAGGCGGAAGAGACGAGACAGGTGGAAGAGACGAGACAGGTGGAAGTCATGGAAATGTGGGGACATTTTTTGTGGCCAGTTATTTATTTTTAGTTTCTACTTGCTGGTAATTCCCTGCATACTGTATCTTATAGCTCTCATAATGCATCTCTTTAAAAGACAAATGCAAGTTATATGGCCACACTGTCTAACAATAAATGTTTCTACTTGCTGGTAATTCCCTGCATACTGTATCTTATAGCTCTCATAATGCATCTCTTTAAAAGACAAATGCAAGTTATATGGCCACACTGTCTAACAATAAATTTTAAAATAAATTTTAGGAACAAATATTTTAAGTGTTGACCAATACAATGAGGCAGCCTCCATTACAATTTACCAGCATCTACTTTTGAAATCATTACGTACAAAGAACAAAAAATATAACCACAGCTTGTGAAAAGAACAAGGAAACAAATTCAGACAGTTTAGAGCTCGAGTTCAAAGTGTTCAGTGTTTACAAACAGTGTTCACAGTGTTCACACACATTTTGCTGTCTTAACTGCAATTGTTACACACAAATTATTGTATATTGTTACTCAAACATTCTGTACAATTTTATTAATGTGTGATATTTCTTTCTAAATAAAATTAAAATTTAACAATAGCTCACATCAAAGCTTCACAACAATCCATTAATAAATAGCCCGAGTAACTTCAAGAGACGACTTCTGTATGTTGCCCACTTCCATGTCAAGTGCTTCAGTGTAGTCCTTAATGTTGATTTTTCCCATTTTAAAATCAGTATTATAACCCTCAAACAATCAAGGGATCCTACTTTATTATGTCACACAGTAATTGGTTCCACAAAACAACCCTGTTAGTGAACCAGTATTTACTCAGGTCTTTCCTAAATCTAAACTTATCCAATTTATACCCATTGTTTTGTGTTCTCTTGAGTTGATACTCTGTCATTCTACACTAAACGTGTTGTGAATTTATATCCATTCTATAGTATGGTGACCAGAACTGGACTGCATATCTAAATGGGGCCTAACAAGAACAAGATTTAGCTGAACACCACCAGGTGTTTTATTACTAACACTTCGAGAAATAAATCCCAGTATCCTATTTGTCTTATTACAAACATTTATGCATTGATTTTAGTTTTAAATTTTTACTAATCAGAACTCCCAGATCACTTTCACAATGCAACTTTGCAATCTCAACACCATCCAGCTCGTATCTTGTAACTATCGTCATTACCTAGCCTAAAGACCTTACATTTGTCAGCATTAAACTGCATCTGCCAATCTTTTGATAATTTCAAAACCATATTTAGTTAATCTTGAATTGACAGCAAGTCTTTTTCCATGTTTATCTGCCTCATGATTTTCGTATATTTGGCAAATTTGCAAATATTGCTGCTCAAACAAATCTAAATCATTTATATATACTGTATTATGAATAACAGAGGTCCCAGGACAGAGCCTTGAGGCACTAACTGTTTCCTTTGATAAAGTCATGCCCTAATCCAACTTAATATAGCACCCCAATATCGAAAGTCTCTTATCTTTTTAATCGTCTCATGTGGCACTGTATCAAAAGCTTTGCTAAAGTCAAAGTACAAAACGTCACAATCCTTACCACTATCAACTGCCTCAACTATGCTGGAATAAAATTATAGCAAATTTGTTAAACATGAACGGCAATTATTAAAACCATGTTGTGAATCATTTATTAATCTGTTTTTCCTAAATAAAGACGAATGATATTTGCAATTATCGATTCAAACAACTTCCCCACAATAGACGTTAAGCTAATTGGCCAATAGTTTTATGCAAGCGATTTATCTCTTTTTAAAATTGGTACCACATTAGCAACCTTCCACAACTCTGGCACTGCCTGACTATGATTTATTAAATATGATAAACTGACTCGCAAAGCTCTTCTTTGCATGCTTTAAGCACCCTGGCAAACACTTCGTCCAGCCCTGGGGATTTGTTTGCCTTGAGTTTCACCATTTGTTTAATAACATCCTCCCTGGTAACAAACTAGTCAACCTATCCTCTTCCCCACCAACAGACTTGTTTGGCTGAAGGCATAATGTTAAGTTGCTTTTTAGTAAATACAGAGATAAAATATTTATTTAAAATACAGTACTACTATTCTCTTCGTAATTATCAGTAATCTGACCTGTCTCAGTTTTTAATGGACTTATCCTTTCCCTAATCTTTGCTCAATTTAACTTAAAAAAAAAAAAACTTTAGGATTTGTCTTTGCTTGGCCTGCAATACAAACTTCATAGTTTCTTTTTGCCCTCCTCCTCTCTTTTTTTTAACATTTTTAACCAGTTGGATGAATTCTTGTTCTAAACCGACATCCCCATTATTAATCCTTTTTTACCAGGCTCTCTTTCTTCCTATAAGGTTCTTCAGATCCTTTGTTATCCATTTTGGGTCATTAGTATTCGATCTATTCAATTTGTATGGTGTACTACATTCCTGTGCGTTGCTTAGAATATTTTTATATATTACTTAAAATAATATACATTTTATATAAATAAGTTATATTTTGAATCCACATCAAAATTCCTTCTTATGTCACCCATCACTAGGTTCATGTCTCACTCTCAAGACTGGCCCCCATACCCAGGACTTTCCAATCTATTACACCAAAAAAATTTCTTAGCCTTTCGGAAATCTGGCACATTAACAATTTTCCCCTACAAATCTATTTCATTCTATGCTAAATCTGATTTCTTTGTGATCACTATTCCCTAGCTCATTCCACTTCGATGTCATTAATTTGTGTCTTCATTAGTCAACACAGTCTAAAATATAATTTTCTTGCATATACAAGACTTATCAACCTACACAACCATTTTCCATCATATGTAAATTAAAACCTTATTATGACAGCTACAGACCTAATCTCAGACTTGACACTACACTACATCAAGAACATTTAATGTAACAGTATTAAAATATTTAATGAACTCACCTTCTCTTGGAAGCTGAAAACACATTCAGCAAGACGTTGAACATAGGGGTCCAATTTGTATGACTCCCATACCAATGACATGCCCTTTAAGGGAGAAAATGCTATGAAAATATACATTTCTAAAATGATTATAAATACATTATATTTCATGTAATCAGTAATTATCAACAACATAATGGTAATGAAGCTTTAAGCCATTAAAGTTCAGTGAAAAACCTACACATTTACCTCTGAAACGAGCCCCTGAACTTCCTTCCGCATCCCTGCTACAAGGAGTAATATGTTGGTCTTGTCTTCCATCTGTAATGAATACTAACGTAAAACATTTGTACAACAAAAATAAAGTGTGACCAAAATTCAAAGATTTATGAAAACTAATCAAGAAAATGTAACTAGTCTTGTTCACTACTGTTAACCATTGATGATCCTGGTATTATGAGGTCTAGTTCTGATAATTTACCTTACAGAATATTACTTTAGAATAAAATTATATTCATTTTAACACACTACCCTCAGGGTTGCATGCAAAAAATGCTATGCAAAGTGTTATTTTGAAATTAAATACTGTATGCAAATCCAGTGATGCTGTAAACAAATTTCAAACATGCTAGTTAAGCATTAGCAATTAAAATTAATAACCAGACAATTCTAAGTAATCACATATTGATGTAACCGAGCTCAAACAGCATTATTCAGGGCCTGACCCAATTACTGTGCGCCATCTCTGAGCGAGCGCTAGCGAGGCTTTGTGGGGTAAATTCATAACCACACAATAAATCCAGCATGCAAGCCCCTGACAGTGTTAGTATTCCACCATGCAAATCACCTCAAATTAAGTCCATTACATCTTACACAGTCTCCAAAGATACTAGACAATTATCCTCTTCACATCATGCGCAGCCACCAAACAGTGCTCCACCAAGCTCCGTAATAGACAAGGGGGGACGAAACGACAAGGGACAAAAATTCAAATGACGTCAAAATTGATTTTGTCTGATTTACGTCAATAAATAAGCTGTCAAAGAAAATGGATTTTATTTGCATCTACAGGATTCACAGCAGATGACACCCAAACTTGTTTTTTTATATAATTAACTTGTCAAAATGTTGCACACTACTGAATACTAATTACAGACTCATCACAGCCACGGGATAATTAAGCAAGGGCAACAGCAAAAGGGAAAGCCTCAGCATGGAATAAGGAGTCATCACAAATGATATTAATAAGTTCCTAATTATTAAATTACTAAATTATATGCAAGACAAAAGCTTTGACATTTGTAAATGTGCTTTTACACACCAAGTGCCTCTCTTCGTTAGATTCCTTGACAATAGAATACCGAATCCCTCAAGGCATAAACAAAAAAAAAATCTTTATATATGAAATAATAAATTTTCTGGTAATCTAGTTAATTATATATACTAAGAATCTGTGCTTATAGAGCTATAGTAAGCAGGGGAAATGAGAGTGTATATGAGGGATATTGAAGAGCAAAAATCAGTGTGGAAATACATCATAGACTATTGCCTCTACCCTCACATGACATGTCCCGACAGCTTCTGTTAAGCTACGAGTAATTCCTCTCCAACAGGCTCCTGCATGCTTATGTTTATTATTTTCTTAAAGCATTACTTAGCTCTAACAAACCGTTCATTATTCATTAAAATTGTTCATTTTATCAATACAAAATCTGTCATGTGAGGTGCAGCAAAAGGATTGGGGATAACAGTCAAGTGTTGTGATGGACGAGAGAGCGCGGTTATGGCAAGAGTTACACTGATGAAGCCACACAGATTCTGACAAGACGAACATACCAACAGGGACGCTTTGATGGCAGGGCTGTGTGGTCCACCCCGCGACAACAGCTGTGGTACCACCATAACATCAAAAATCATTACCAACAAGACAGATGTTGGTTGTCAGGATTGGCAAGTTAGTTGTATCAAACTTTATAAGATTTTCTTCATAACTAAAGTTTTGGGGAGGGGGGGAGGGGGGGGGGTTAAATAATGCAAGGTAAATCGCTAGTAAACATATTAGGTATACCACTCCACAAGATCCTAGTCACACATTAGCATCATGGATATCTACACCTATATTTTTAAATACCCATTTATCTTACTAAATTTCAAGTCATTACAAGTAACTTTCAATAATCTAATATAATATTGAAGCACTAGATTTATATATATACTGTATATCCTTTAAAGCCATAAGCTATAACCCCTGTAAATCTATTATCTAATATATATATATATATATAAGAAAGCAAGAGGCCTGCCCCATGATGCAAAAAACAAAACAAAAAGCCACTTCAAATATCAACGTAAACACACTAGCCAGCATCTATTAACAGCATGAGCAAGCTGGGAAAACGGCAACACCACCACTCAAACTCACTTAAAACTACAGTATTAGACTTTACAAGTAATTATTTGAAGTGGTTTTTCTCTACACTGGAAAAAGCTTTTGAGCCTGCAGTACTCCCATTTCAAATGGTATATCAATATACAGTATTCACGTCGTCGTTTCCCAGATTCCATTCTAATTCATGAGAGTACCGCTGCTATGAGTCTTAAAACATTCAACGAAGATTATGCCCTTACCTTCTCCAATGTTCGTTCATATGTGCGGACACTCTCTATGAGGGAAATGGCAAAGGGATACAGCTGATTGGCTTGATGTGCCTTGTTGACAATAGCTAACGGCACTCTGAAGCCAAGATTCTTCAGGTTCCGAACCTAAAACAAATGCATACAATTATATTAAATATTGAAATAAAATTTATAGAGATAAAAATAGCCTCTATCATCCATGTACACACAAGGTGTGTACATGGAGCAATTATATTTTTAAACAAATTCAGTCTGTTTAAGGATGCTATGAGCAACAGGCAAAAATGTTCAAATTTCAAGGAATTTGTATCATCTTGCAATACTGTGTGGGGTAAAAACATTCCACATCTTTCTGTTCCCAGGTGGTTCCAGATAATATTTAGGTTCAATCCAGAGATCCTAAGATTCATTTAGGTCAAACCCCTTACCTTGATTACCCAAAAGTATCAGCCCATAGAGGACCAAAAGATTAGCACTCCCACTGGAAAACTTTCAACAAATTGCATTAACATTTTCACAAAATTTAGTTTTTCATTGAATTTTCTTGGATTTGGACAGTCAAAAACCCTAGTCTTACAGGGATTCAATGGATCATAGTTGGCCAAGTATAATAAATTAAAAATGTCACATGCAGTTCAGCTTTCTCTGCACGTGATTTTCTTCCCTGCAAATCTCAATTGTTCAATTAATGAAGTACAGTGGCATCTCAATTCAACACAAAAATTCAGCGAATCTCCAGTTGGAACACTTTCCATGCCCGATTTACTTGCCAAATTTGACGAACAAGAGTTCGCTGAAGCAGGGGATGTGTGGATTTGCTTTGGATGTTGAGACCCGAGCTCATACATGGAAGCAATATTACAAGTAATAGTCAAGACTTGGAAAAGTCACTGAGCATATTTAAAACTAAACTATGTTCCCCCCCCCCCCCCCCAATTGCAGAGTTTTTGGTCAGAAAAATATATGGGCCCTTTATCTTTTGAAAACGAGATTTCAAGGCTTATGCATAACAAATATGCTGGATGTGGTTAAATCTTTAACAGACAGGTTCTCTTGGCAATTGCCCTTGTATGACAGCTTGAAATTATAATTTCGCTCAGTGTAATCAGCCCATAAAGCGTAGGAAATATTAGGTATGAATGGAAGCACTTAACATGGCTCCATGCAGAACAGGATACGACGGTGTCGCGTTCTGTTCTACACCTATGGCTTCAATCACGTTTTTAAAGATTGTCATAGTAAGTCATAGAGGTTTTGGGAAAGCCAATTATCACATTTAAAACCAATTTCTATGGTTCATTTTAATCGAGATGCCCCAGTTTTCGTTCAATAATATGGGTCCCTCCTCTGAAAATGAGATTTCAAAACTAGGGTATAAAATGCTAGATGTAGTTAAACCTCTCTACAGGAAGGTTCTCTTGGTAGTTGGCTTTCGTACGACAGGCTGAAATTAAAATTTCGCTCTGTGAAAACAACCCTTTGAGGGTCAAAAATATTATGGAATGAGTGATAACCAATAATATGGCTCCAATCACAGTTTTGATGGTTTTTGTAGATGGACTCAACATTACACAAAACAGTTGGAGCCTTAATTAAATTATTTACGATATTTAAAAACCAAATTCTATGGTTTGTTGTTATTCTGAGTGATCAAGGTTTCTGCTAACTCAGATATGGTCCAGTTACCTTTTCAAACAGTTTTGAGGCTGGGAATGTGAGAAATAAGCTAGATGTAATATTTTTTTTCTAGACATGTTCATTTGGTAGTGGTCTGTTGTAGGTTGAAATGAAAACTTCACTAAGGGAAATTGACCCATAAGGCATGGGAAATGCATCCTGGAGATATCTCTGGTTACAACAAATTGGGGTTGGTTCCATGTAGTTCGTTGAATTGAGGTTGGACTGTATGGCCAGCTCAAAATATAACAAAAGCATTAAACTGGCCAATGGGGCTTCAAACATTATTATTTTCTGAAATTGATGGCAGAAGCTATTTGGCATAAATTTAAATTTACTCACCTCTTTGGACAGTGTGATGATTTCTGGCAAGAAATTAACTTTTAACTTGCACTCATTTCCTTTACCGGTCTTTGATCGAAGCATTTCAATTGCAAAGATGCGGCCAGACACACCCAAATTGCGTTGCTGAACCTAAATGAAATATTACAAGACATTAATTAAACAAGAAATTATGTACAACATATGGACAATACCAACGGACAAAAGTTCATCAACTATATCGACAAGCAGCAACAACACTTAATTTAATCTTTCAATCGGAAAATTCAATCTTTTTCATTAGCAGTCATATCTGTCTACTTTCATGAATCTATTAAGCTCAAAGGTTAAATAATAATAACTATAAAAATTAAAACCTTCCATAGTATTCACAGTGAATTGTATTCATAATGTCATACAGGAAAATGTGCTATGCTCACAAGTATGAGGAAAGGGTATATTAGATATAGATACATTACAACATTGGAACTACCCTAGATTGTTATACTAGACTTAATACTGTGCTACTTTACGCCGGTACACCAGGACGGACCGAAACGTTGTCGTTCCTTCATTTTCTGACGTATGGTTTGGTCATCATATTTTCAGCCCCGTTATTGCGACTCCTCGTCTGCAGTTTATATAATTATTCACGACTATGCTTTTACTTAGTATTTATGGCTTTGTTAATGTAAACATTTTAGATAATGAGAAATTTCCCCCAGGAGTTTATAATAATTATTTATTGAACGGTTAGTAACTGTTCAATAAGGTTGGCTTGCTGCACAACCCTTGCCTATGCTGCCTTTACTTGTATAATGTGGATTTAACTAATTCATTTACCGTTAGCAGGCATTTCTTTTACCTTTCTCATTTTATTATTTACCCCTAGACTCTTAACGTTTATTTAGGCCAATAACTTGAAAGTTTAAATGTTTGAAGACAGTATTAATTTTTGGAGGCAAATTGTAAGATACAAAATGACAAAACCCGGCCTACTAACTAGTGGTATTCAAGTAATTCAAAGTAAAGCATTAAGTGTAATATTACCACCACCCATAATGCTTTCCTAGGAAGTACCTCTTTCTCTGCACTTTCCATAAAGTTTGCCCCATGTCACCATCTCTATTGGAATCCATCATCCAGGCAATTTTTTTTTTTTTTTTTTTTTTTTTTTTTTTTTTTTTTTTTTTTTTGAGATATATACAGAGTTGTTACATTCTTGTACAGCCATTAGTACGCGTAGCGTTTCGGGCAGGTCCCTAGAATACGATCCCCTGCCGCAAAGAATCGTTTTTTCATCCAAGTACACATTTTACTGTTGCGTTAAACAGAGGCTACAGTTAAGGATTAGCGCCCAGTAAATCCTCCCCAGCCAGGATACGAACCCATGACATAGTACAATTTATCTGTGCATTAACATCACCGAGCAAGCACCGAGCAAGCCAAGCTCCAAGCACTAGGAGCTTGGCTCCCATTGGTATCCTATTTATGACCTTAAGACTGTTGTCCTCATTATACTCTTCCAGAGCCTCCTGCTCTTACGAGGATATTGTACGATCACTACTAACATTGTCTTGTTTTCTAGCCCAACCACTTGGGCTGGACGGGAGCAACAGTCTCGCTGCATGCAGGTCGGCGTTCAATCCCCGACCGTCCGCAAGTGGTTGGGCACCATTCTTTTCCCCCCGTCCCATCCCAAATCCTTATCCTGACTGCTTTCCAGTGCTATATAGTCGTAATAGCTTGGCACTTTCCCCCTGATACTTACCTTACCTTGTTTTCTATCATTACCATGTCCATTATATAATCCTGTGCATCCCCAATCTCTACCACAGGTTTTTCTTAAATACTCGAATGCATTTTCAATAGCAATGATACTCCTTCGTATCATTTCTTTGGTAACGTTATAGCTCCTTGAATAGACAGTATCACTCTACGATTATTTTTAAATTTTAATTTATGTAGTTACAATTGTGTGGCTGCATCTCTTGTACCTTTTTTGCAATTTCAAATGCTAAGATGTCATACCATCAGCATTTGTAAACATTACTGTTCCTTATTCTATTTATACTATTGCATTATTACGGGGGGGGGGGGATAGAGGCCACATGCAGGATAAAGGGGTTCACCATGCGTCATTTTGGAATAGAATTCGTTACTGTATATTGAATTTTAATACTGCCACCTCAGAAAACTTGAAATATGTAATATAACAAAATAGATAGTGTTTCTGCCCGAAACGCTATGCGTGTTAGTGGCTTTACAAGAATTTAAAAACATCAATGCTATGTACTCTCTAAAACCCAATGTACTTTCTTGTATATAAATAAATAAGTAAATAATCTCAAATTAACTAATAAGCCTGTAATACTTTACTGCACTTTCTCAATTGCTATTCTAGTAGCAGATTCTCATTCTTCAAGCATCTTGCCCAAGACCACAACCACTTTTCTGATGCAATTATCCCAGGAGTCTTATTTTATTATATTTTGGCCCATGTAAGGTCTGTGTATTGCAGAGTACGAAGACCATTGAACTTTGCAGTTACTTCTCTAAATGAGAGAGATACATATATGACACTTTGCAATAATAGTAATTTAATTTCATTATTTGTTACTGTACTAATGTTTGTTAAATAATATATATTTACTATTGGCAGCATTAGATAAAATAATGTGAACTGAGCATATGTTAAATTTGTTTAAGCTTGTTAAAAACCTATACTGATAAACTGGAAAAGATTACCCATGCTGCAATTACAATTTCTTATGTATAGTTTTGATGACGAATTGACTAAACAAATCAATGCAAAACAAAGGAAAACATACCTTTCTTGCCCAGTCATCAAATATATCTTGAGTATTCAACTTCAGTCTAAAAGAATCTCCATCTCCTTTGAGTTTCTGCCCTTCAACATGGCTTTCCCAGCCCTTGCCGAGAACATCCTCTACTCGTCTCATGTAAGCAGTTAGCTGACGATCAATCTGCTTGGCCCAAATAATGGATCCAGATACAGGAGGGATGTCTCGAACATGACTCATTCGACACGATTTGCTTTGAGGATACTGGACCTAAAATGTTAACAATAATATTACTACAAACATTTCAATAAATACAATGAACTTAAAATGTATAGTAAAGTACATGAAAAAATTCAGGTTGTGCAAAACCATTAAAAATCATAAATAGACACCCTTTTATTAATAAAGTAGCATTGTACCTACCTTAAACTTTTCATGAAGGCTCTCAATGTCATCCTTCACTCGCTGAATGAGCTGTGTCTGATACTCCCTGATGGCACCTCGAATGTGAGGACGCACAAACAAGGCATTGAAACGAGAAAATATGCGGAACATCTCATTGGCATTCTTGGCTGTACCCAATTGGTCCCTCAGGCGAGCTGTGATGCGTGTCTGAATAAAATTATAAATAATTATTTAAAGCTGTAATATTATTTTCTAAATTTGCAGTTTATAAAACAAAGTACTTTATCTACCTGAATTTGTAAAGAAAACACTTAACATGGTGTATTAAAAACACAAGTCCCCTAGTACTATATGTATACTGTAGGTACGATAAATCATTTTAATTTATAACTATAAAGTATTGGAAAATATGATTATTCATTCGATTGACAGGGATGCAGTCAATAAAACAGATACAAATGAGGACAATAAATTGTAGTACTACTCTATCTCCAAGTCCTAATGCCTTGAATATATACAGCACTGTTCATATCACTTTGATTCATCAATAAAATGCTGTTCATTATGACGAGTATAATACTAAAGGCAAGAAAATGTTACATAAATATATTCATAATAATAGTTTCCATCTACAAAAAATGCTTGACAAATTCAGGGAAATATTCTGTAATAGTACACCATAATTTAACGTTTCACACTTACCTCCACACGGTCAATTCGTTCATCGTAACGCTTCAGTGCAGCCTCCCACATTTCTGTTCCCTCTTTGCTAATATCTAGTCCATCAACTTCCTTCACATTTTCGTAGGCTAGATTAACCTAAAATAAACGATGACAAAGGGTAAATTTAGCTAATGGTTCTGGTGAAGGGATAAGGTAAAATGTTGACAAACCTTAAATAACAAAATTTGTCATTAAAATATGTGAATTCCTTAACACTAGCTGGCACGAAGTGCTAGTTCCCATCACTGCTTCGTAGGTCTCCTTAGAGTTACCCAAGAAGGAACTTTTTACTTGCCCAAATTACTTTTTATGTTACCCAAGTAACTTTTGACCCAAAAGTTACAGAATACAGTACAATTCCTCACCTTCATGGAGGTTGGGAGGCATCAGTCAAGAAATGCTGTAAAAATCAAAAGTCAAGAATTCCCACACTAAATGTTTCAGCTGCAGAGAACAGTCATCACACTACAGCAATACAATTGCAGCAGCAGCAATCCACTGCTTCATGTAACAAAGTCTAAAGTGCTTCTTTCAAAATTCCATTTTCCCTTGTTTTCTGCAATTTCTTGTGCACTCTTCTCACACACGCTTCCTCACACTCATTAACCACGAATGGCCATCTTGGCTTCTCATTCGTTGTCGTCCTTTCAAGCTCGCCCATTTGCCAGCCCAACATTTGCACAGAATGATTAAATCAATTTGATTAATGCAACCTTATTTACCAATTTTTATAATTTTTAAATTAAATATGCATCCTTTACACTATCGTTCAAACAAATGCATCTGTCCATTTCAACATCCATACATCTGTTCATCAGGGCACATACTACAGTACTCCTCTGCATACAGTGTATGTAGAGGAGTACTCCTGCATACACTGTATGCAGTACACTGTCTGTATACAGTACTCCTCCATGCAACCCTATTAGCTACCTCTTCTAACCAGGGCTTTTAGTATAAGGAAAATAGAATTTTCAAATGGAAAAGTGAAGGGTGAACGTGCTCTAAGCCTTGAAGATGAGAGTACTTACCCTTGCTCTTTAATTAGTATATAAACCTGGTTTAAAACACGGACATAATTTAGTAATATGTCTTAAGAAACAACGTATTAATCTTGAGTATTTCACAAATGGGACAGGTAATTGATGATGAAAAATGTAAGAGGGTGAGGATTGTACCATGCACGAGTTTAATTAAATTTCGGGCTTTGAGCTGTATAGTTTAAAGAAAAATATGACTAGCAAGAAATACATATGGCACATATACAAATGTAAAAATATAACATTACAAATTACAGTACTAATCAGATTCTATCGATTCAGTAACCCGTATTATTCTTGGCAAGATCTAACACTATTAAAAAATTATAAATGGGTGCTCATACTTCTTCAATGGCATTTAAATCAGCAGCATCCATCTCCGGCTTGAGTTCTGCTGTATCACCATCCGCTAGAGTTGTCGTCTTCACCACAGTTGGTCGAAGAACCCGCACTATGACGGTTCGTAGTTGTTCGTGCTGACGACGGAACTTGCGCATTTGCTCCATACGTAACTGCAACTTCTTGTGAGCAGGAGATACTCGCCATACCATTTTCAGCTGCTCATCGCGCTTCTTTTTCACAATGTCTCTGTAAAGAAAATTAATCAATATATTATACTGGTGTTGACCAGACCACACACTAGAAGATGAAGGGACGACGACGTTTCGGTCCGTCCTGGACCTTTCTCAAGTACTTGAAGGGACGATGACAAACGTCGTCGTCCCTTCACCTTCTAGTGTGTGGTCTGGTCAACATACTTTAGCCACGTTATTGTGACTCATCGCCTGCATATTATACTGGTATCAAATATATTACCTAAACAAATTTATACTAATACTTATGTAATATTTAACCAATTAAATATTAAAATATTATTCTCAATGCAGTTAAAAAATATAGACTATTTTTAAAGATGTCAATAACATACAAAAATGCAGGTGGGAAAAATATTAGATACAAAATTCCAAAGAAAAAAAAAGTTGAATTGGATACCTACCGAAGAAGGCCCTGAAGCTTTTCATATTCATCGTCCCAAGCAATGAACACATCAAAGCACTGGCTCATCACCTTCTCGAACTCCTCAAAAGCAATATGCATCAGACGACGCGTTCCCAGGACCTGTGTAGTTAACATTAAATATTCACATAGTGAGTGCAGATCATATCAACATATCAATATCATACCATATCAACATAAAGGTGTTGATATGGTCAACATATATAAGTGATAAAAGACAGATCTTCCAGGTACACCAAGTTAATAGTTTCTAATGAATAAACTTATATTAAGCTAGCAACCTCATCTCTGGAGCCAAGACTGTTTTTATCCCTACTTTAACTTTGATTTCACCTATAGCACTATTTCAAACATCAATATTTAAACTTTTTGTTTTTAATGTATGCACATATTTTAGTTTAATTTATATTTTAATCATCATAATGCTAACCTTTAAGATCTGGGATGACAAATCTCTTGAAATAGCCTCCACCAGTCTTAACGCTCTCTGAATAGGATACTTTGTTGATCTAATCTTCCGAAGGTGGTTAAAGATAGCCTGTACAGCCGAGCGGATCTTCTCCAACTCTGTGGCTGCCAAGAGGTCATTCAATGGGAAATCCTTCATGAGAGGAGCATAATCATTCACTGTTGCCAAAGCCTGTTTTAGACCTGTAATGATAAACGTACATATTTGATTAAGATCCGATAAATTAACACTAATTTATACTGCATATCTATAATACTTAAACATGACCTCAATATGCATGTTCTTTATATTATCCTCTTACTTACCAGTATCGGTATCGAATGACACCGTTGCATGAAAACGTTTCCCATGCTTCAAGACATCCAGCGTAAGCGCAACCTCTAAGCTTTCTCGCTTATCTTGTATTTTAAGTAGAGCCCTTTCTAAGTTGAGCCAGAAGCTTATCTCTTGCAAGGCAGTACCACTTGATGGATCCCTGTCCAGCTTGGTCACCTGATTTACAAAGATATTACATACTATCAGCTTAGATGTAATTTCAAAAGGCATGAATGTTACACAGTATATCAGCAACTGCTTGGGTACATTTAGTTAAGTTTTTCAAAGATTTAACTAGTCTATTTATGGACACATTTCAGACCAAGTCAGTATAGTATTTTATGGAAATTTACAGTGCAAATGTAGTCCACTTTTTGTTAACTATTCAATAAAGGGTTAGCATAAATGAGATATACAAATGGACGAAAGGGTATAACAAGCATGTTATTAATAGGGTGCTAAGTAAACAAAATAGAACAAAACAATGAACACACACTGGATAAAGTCGAGATTTGGAAAAAGCTTAGATAAATACTGGTTTGGTAATAGGTTTGCAGATTTATGGAATAAGGCTATTCACCATTTACCAATCGGGTAATCCATTACAATTATTTTACATTTTCTACGTATCACATCAATGAAATTATATTAGCTACACCAAAAAACTTCCTTCACATTTCTTTTATACTAGCAAATATGCAATATAATTATCCCCTTAACTTTTGAGCTCCAACTAGTAATTCATTAACCCTTGAAGAGTGACTTGTCATCTAAAGTGCCAACTCGGCCCAAAGAAATCCTGCTTCTTTTTCAGTCATGTGAGACGTGTACAGTAGCCAGGTGGAAAAATCAACACATCTGCATTACAGTATACACACAATTTGTCAACTTGTGTTGACGAGGCTCGAATGATGAAATTGGGCGATGTTCATGGTTTTATCTATTAGAATTTTTTTGTACTGAATACTTAGCTTATGTACATTTAGTGCATATAAATAGGTACAAAACTAATCAAGCACTGCATATAGACCTACAATGAACAGTAATATGTACTAAATTGTTTATTCATATAATACTTAAATCTGTTCCCCCCTGGCACAGCTCACCCAAGAAATTGCATTACTACCCACTCCTTTGCTAGTCTGGGAATAGTCTCCTATTTTGTCTGGGAATATCAACCAGAGATTCCGACACTGACGGGAAAGACCAAAATGTGACTTGGCAATCACAGGTTACTAGAGTACACTATAACCTCGATTTGAGCAATTAAAAAACAAAACTAAGATTTTAACATAGGTCTAGGTACTGTATACGCTACTCATTACACGCATCAAGAGCTATTATACCCTTTATTACCATTATGGGTATACAAACCGGACAACAACAACAGAAATCCACACAAGACGATAAGCGTATTAGCCCGGGGGAATCAACACATGACAACTGCTCTTAAGGGTTAAATTATAATTGGTATCCAAGAAAATATGCACTTAATGCCTATTTATGTCATATGCCTATATATTTTTTTTTTTGAGATATATACAAGAGTTGTTACATTCTTGTACAGCCATTACATGCGTAGCATTTCGGGCAGGTCCCTGGAATACGATCCCCGCCGCGAAGAATCGTTTTTACAATCAAGTACACATTTTACTGTTGAGTTAAACAGAGGCTACAGTTAAGGATTTGCGCCCAGTAAATCCTCCCCGGCCAGGATCCGAACCCATGACAAAGTGCTCGCTTTGGTTATTAATATTGGTTACAGCTATATTTCAACAAATACAAGAGCATGCACTATATATTTATCCTGACCAGGATTTTGCCTATATGTTAATTACTACTAGAAATATAATTTAAATATCTAATATGCAATACCTTCTGGATCTCCCTGATCCACCTAGCCACTCCATTCTGTAGCTGGTTGAGGAAATTTGAATCTTCTACTCTATCACCAAAGTCGGCAACCTTAGGACGTGTTCCTTCATCGGCACACTTCTTGATAACCTGTAAACAAAACATGCCATACAATATTTACAAAAATAGAGAATGAACTCATACACCAAATGTGCATTTATTAAATACAGTATACATTTAATGCTATGTTAATCAAGTTCAAAAATGTAAACTTTCATGATTTTATTTACATCATATTCCACTCTTACAATTAGCATTCCCTTTGATTCAAGTAGCCATTTGATAAAGCAGCTCAAAGCAGTAGAGATAGGCCATGTTGCAAAAGGTCAATTGGCACCTTTTACCCATGTAACAACTAAAAAAAAAAAACAATGCATTACATTTCACTCAGTTTGTTCTTAAGGCTCAACTTACACATACATTACACACAGAAATTACAATAGCGTGATGCATCAATGAACAAATCCACAAGGGCCGTGACGAGGATTCGAACCTACGTCTCGAGAGCATTAAGGCAGCGTCTGGGATGCTCTCAGAAGTAGGTTCGAATCCTCGTCACGGCCCTTGTGGATTTGCACATACATTGATAGTCTTGCTGTACTTCAAACTTAACACTTCCTTGTCAGCTACTGCTGTTTACCTCTCATAACCTATAAATTTCAACACAATTCATTTATGTCATGAAACCTTAATTGTAAACTACATAATATTTGACATAGAAAGTGGCTAACCTGTGCAACAGTTGGATGGATGGGCAGAGATATATCTGGGATATCAATATTCTGTTGCAAATGCAGGAGGCCCATTTCCAACTCTGCAATCTTTTTTTCAACTGATGGTGCCATTTTATCTCCATCTCTAATGTGAAGAGAAGAATAATTAATGAATTGCGGTACAATCAACCCACAATAACACACACACTGAAACTTACACTTGTAAAATACAAAGAAAAGCTAAATACTTGCCTCTCAATCTTGCCGGATTCTTTAACAAACGATTTAAAATATGGAGCAACAGCATTTGCAACGATTGCATGCAGTGTCTCGTATGGTGAGCCATCACTCAGGTTCAAGGTACGTATCTGGGACGCGATCGACTTGTCTGCCTCAATTACTCCACCTCGCTTGATACACAGGATGCTGAAAAGGTAGAAGAAATATAAATGTTGAAATCTCGTCAAAATATTTTAAAAATTTAATAAACTCTGGTATTGCTCCTCTAAAATTATGCTATAGTTGCCAAAATTAGTTGTTTAATTTACACTATTTTGCATGAATGTTACTGTAAGAACTAGCCTGATCAAATTATATCAATACAACTTTAAATAAATGACTGAGTAAAGAAGTACAGTACTGTATAAAGAATAGCAATTCATCTTGGAAAACAATGATCACAGCAGTGTAATGACTCAAGAACGTGATCCAAAGAGTGAAGAAACCAAAGATAATTGTGAGAAGTCACCGCCACAACTTGGCATTAGGAAGTCATGCACCAAAACCCGTGTACTGTAAACCTTACGTCAAATTTCTAAACTTTACAGTTTTAATACTTTAGAGGTCAAATCTATACAGGTGTGAATATGTGCCTTCAAACTCATATAAAACAAGGGTTGCCTGTACTCGTGAAAATTCAGGAATTCATATTAACCTGTTCATTTTTATCGAGGTAAAATGTACACCAGTCGAGATTAGATACACCACCTCCTTTTCCTCCTCCATCTCTCCCCCTTCTTCTGTTTCTTCTGTAAATATTAAATAATTACATAATTTAAATTATGCATTGTAACAATTACATTATATAATTATTAACACTTTTGCATGCCCGGCGGGCCACCTGCATCGCACCGGAGGGCAAGGCCGGGCATTGCCGCTGAGCACACAACCCAATTGTAAATTCTTTCACTCACAATGTTTATACTTAATAAGAATATGCAAAAATGAATGCATGATACCGAGAGCATCATCAGGATGCCAAAGTGTTAATATAATAATCTTTCAGAAAATAAAAAAATTACCTAACTCCATATAGGAAAGAATGAAACAGATGCAAACACTTATGAAGTACAATGTATACAATGAACCAGTCTTTTCAAACACCTCAGAACATCAGCGTAAAATAGTGTGTAAAACAAAGAATAATGTATTGGACTTCTTTTTGTAACAAAAGTGACACGCTCTGTCAAAAGGAATGACCTCACACCTGCTGCCAATTGGCAATAGTGCCTATATGGTTTGTGTAGTGAATGTTGATAGGACTCCAGACAAATTAATATAATATAGGTTCTACAGTTCAGCTAGTATATAGACACTGCCCAATGATTAGAACAAAATTACCTTGCCCTCTCTAGCAGCAGCTAACCTGTTTGTTGTTGATTCATGTAAGAAATCTTGTCTGCTCACTCTGCATTGGCAATACCTTTTACCTTATTTTAACTCAATACCTTCACATACAGAGTATAGGATTACTTTATCACCTTCACAGTCATAATCCAACCCATTCTTTCGTTTAGATAGTAATTTTAAACTAAGTGCACCATAGTACAAAGATTGACATACTAAGCAATTAGATAATAGAATTTGGTACTATTCACTTTATAGAATCCAAAAAATGAAGCTAAAAAAACACTTAAATATTCCTAGGCCTAGTACTGTATAGTGCACACACACTATATTAGGCCCAAGATAATGGGTATTAGGCCTAGGAAGGTTAGGTTAGTTTAGATTGTGTTTGCAACAAATACAAAACCTTTTCTGCTTTGTCCAAATTCAATAGTACAGATTTCTACTTTCAAATTATGTTGTACGTTGGTATATGTATTATGGTCCTTGTTACGAATCTTACCTCCTGTGGAGGTTTGACTATTATAAATTGTTTATTAATATAGAGGAGTTGATTAGTGTGTTTTCTTGAAATTAATCTGCACCTGGCAACTAGGAGGCCACGAGTGACTGATATTACCCGCCCAGCAAAGTACTGTAGTTCCTTTGAGCTGGAGATCATTCAGGAATAAGGTGTATTGTATAGCAAAACTATGTGAAGGAAAAATGGAGTATCAAAAAATCTACATAGAGAATATGGTAAATGGTATTAGTAAGGGTTTTGATTGGAAATGTTGAAAGATAGTGTATTAAGGGGGGAGTGAGAGGACAGCGACAGACGCCATTTTCACTAGACGCGGAGCAGCAGCTGTCTGACCAGTCTTTGTTTGCCGAGGGATTTCTCCAGCCATACCATAAGATAAGCCACAGGGTTGTATTAACGGGGTTGCAAGGAAGGGTAGAGTACACCGACAACCTACTGAGCAGTTTCTAAGAGAGTCCAGATTTCCTCGGGATTTATGTGTGTGTGACACTGGATGACAGAGGTGGTGGAGGAGTGCACAGTTCCAGTGTCGGACTAACAGCTATAGGGGAACCGAGCCCCATTAGGGTTATAAGATAATATTTTTCTTTCTGAATGCATCGAGTTACAAGGAATTAATTCTGTTATGTAATATTATGTTTTATAAATAGATATTTGTGTCATATCTACTTGGCTGTTTTCCCTACTTGTGTCTCCATTGGCTCAACTGAAAGCATCAAAAACCCCTAGACAACGTGAGCTGAGTAGTGGGGAAAAAGGTCGTGACACTGAAAATAAAATAATAACCCCAACCGTGATGGTCCTCATCGTTACTATTAGCACTACCAAAACAGGAGAATGGGCTGCATAATCAAACAGTAGCTTTAGCCCTTAAACTGTCAACAGCTGTCTGACATTCTTTGGTTTCTATGGCATTCATCCCACACTTCTGGGAATGTTACTTTCAATCTACTGTATCAATAGCCTCAATAGTGTGTATCAATATCTGTATCAATAGTGTGATTTTTCAGACATTAACATTAATATATATTGCACATTAACATTTTCACAAAATATCCTCAATCCCTATCTAATACCAATATATTCTAACTGTATAATACTACACTACAAAATACCATTACCTTTGGTAGCACATCTTTGTATGAGGAGCGATTTGGACTGAGAGTCTCCAACAAATTTCCGAATAACCTCCAAGTACTGCGGAGCGTTAAGAGCAGTTTGAAGTTCAACCGATGGTTCGTCGTCATCTTCAAGCATAACAGACGCTACTCGTTTTACATAGCGCACGACTGTGTCGACCTCTGCTACTGCACAGACGGCTTCAAGGCCTCCATCCCCCCCACCCTCTCCTGTTTGGAGAATTAAATTTATTAACAAACTATTACACAATGGGATTACAATATATAGATAATAAATTTTAAAACGTGAAGAGTCAGTTACTCTATACACAGAAACCATTAGCAAGAGTATAGCTGACTACTATAGTACAAAAACATTAAATTAAAATACAAACACAAAATTTAATGTTACAAAAAAAACATTAGATGAAATGGACTGCTTCAATGACAACCTCTGGACCAGTTTAAAATCTTTAGTACCATTCCATTAAAGTTTTTTATAACTTTCGCAACTTATATTTAGTACTGTATTCTATTATGTTTTCATTATGTATCAGAAGCATGAACTAACATTTCAAAACCTATTCATAAATTTACGGAGTGAAAGATATAAACTGGTCCAGTAATGTAAAGTATCACAGAACCAAAATAATGCAGTGTTTAAACATACTGAATCCAACATTCACAATCCTTTCATATGGCCAAATTTCCCCATTCAGAAAAATTTTCTAGCTGGTGCAGAGCATTTGTAGTTTAGGGCGGACCAAAACGTTCTAGTTGGTCTTCAAAAAAAAAAGCTGCACTTTAATACAATATAGCCCTGGGGCTTGTGATCCCTGTGTTCTTCCTGGAAGAAAAATTGCAAGATGCATTGCACCCCCTCTCTTCCTGGAAGGCTGCAATGTAATGAGTTTTGTGTCCAGTTTGTATAATTATACAAAATTAGTTGGTCAAGCTATTATAGTAGCCTTTATATCCCTCTTGACACTTTAGCATAGTCTGTGGAATTTTTAGAGGTTGTGTGTGGGTGAGGGAGCCGGTCGGCCGAGCGGACAGCACGCTGGACTTGTGATCCTGTGGTCCTGGGTTCGATCCCAGGCGCCGGCGAGAAACAATGGGCAGGTTTTCTTTCACCCTATGCCCCTGTTACCTAGCAGTAAAATAGGTACCTGGGTGTTAGTCAGCTGTCACGGGCTGCTTCCTGGGGGTGGAGGCCTGGTCGAGGACCGGGCCGCGGGGACACTAAAGCCCCGAAACCATCTCAAGATAACCTCTCAAGATGGGTAATGAATGGGTGAGAAAACTAGGTGCCTGTTATGATCGCCATCTAATAGTCGTCCTTTCCGGCCTCAAGTCATTTTTACCTATCTAGATAGAAAGACCGCAGACGGCCCAAGCTGTAATCTAAGTTAGGAAGGAACGAGTCATACACAATCTTGCATGATATTTGGCTGTAAAGGGGCGAACCGAGGCAGATTGTGAAACAAAATGGTGCCCAGGTGGGCGGTGATACATCCAGGGCTTGGTGGAGTGTCACGACACATGCCTCAAGCTCATAAATCGTAAGAGATGACTGGTTGGGGCTCAGGTGCTCGGCTAATCAGCAACGAGCTTTCTGTGATGTCATCGGCGGGCACCGAACCCACCCCAGGAAGCAGAGCCCAGCTCACTGTTGAGCTAGACTTCAGACGGGGAGCTTGTGACCTTGGGTGCTTTGGATCTTAAGTGGCGAGTTGAGCCTAGGAGAGAGGTAACATGACTGACCGTAGTGAGGTGCCACGGGGACCTTTCTAGATAAGGTCATACGAGTACTGTCGACAACAGAACCTGCTGAGAGTAGAAGAGACTTGATAGCATATGTTTTTATGTCTATCATCATCTAGTCAGACTTTGTTTACCCTGTTAGCACAGGTGGTTCTCTAGCTGCTGCAACTCACTATTGCTGAGAAAGCAGTGGTTGAGGGAAGAGCCATTTGGTTCACCACAATATCTGCACTTTCCTTAGCATATGAATAGCCTAGATACGATCATTTTTCAATACTGAAGGGCGACACGTAATTAACATCTTAAGGTTACCTTGAGATGATTTCGAGGCTTAGCGTCCCTCGGGGCCCGGTCCTCGCCCAGGCCACACTTCCCAGGAAGCAGCCCGTGAACAGGTGCATCAGGGTGAAAGACACTGCCCATTTGTTTCCGCCTCCACCGGGGATCGAACCCGGAATCTTGGGACTACGAATCCCAAGCGCTCTCCACTCAGCCGTCAGGCCCCATCTTTGTCAGAATGTTGATGTACTCTGCAGGAATGACTTCTGATGTCAGAGACCAAGTCTAGATTTAGGCTTAGTTGGCCTAGGGCGATCTCAATAAACCTGACCTTCCCTGAATGCAAACCTCAAATTTGTCTAAATCCTGGATACCCTTGTCAGTGTTAAGTGAACAGTGGCACCAGGTGAAAGAAAACATACCAGACATTTGTCTCCTTAAACCAGAGCTTCCTCTAAGATGTTCGTCGTCGACTTGAGCAGACATCTTCTTTCACCGACGAGTTGATTTCCAATTTAATTTTAATATCAAACAATCCCTACAAGCGAACCTTATGATAAATGCACAGCTACATCATTACTAATAAACACGCCTCGTCTTCCAAGCTAAATAAAATATGCTAATTAAAGACAGGAACTGTTTAAAACAATTAAAACAGCGGGAGGCAGGGAGAGTAAACAATAGACCCGGGAATTACTGCAGGTGAGGAACAATAACAAAGAGCTCCTCCTGAGGTACAGACGGAGCTCCTGAGGTACAGAGAGGAGTGAGCAGCCTCCGCCTACCTTCTTCACCGGGATCCATGTTGACCAGAGTCACAGCACCGGCATATGGCGCGGCTGGTGTGTGTATAGAACATCCACAGACACCACCAACACCCTGGATCACCTGACACTGGGGCGGCGACAGCTGACTCACTGCCCGCCAATACCGTTATAAACGACACAACTCCACTTAAATAGGTTCAGGACAGCCGCTGCCACCATTAGAATGCATCTCACAACCGCTGCCACCATTAGAATGCTTCTCAGATACCATTACCTCTGTTCCTCTGTTTTATGCTGGCAGATGCATCAGTTCCGTCGTCTATACTAGGGAGATTCGATCCACCGCTTACGGTCATTGATCCGAGATATTTTGCAAAGTACTTTGTACTAGATAATGAATGATATATTTTGTAATAAATGTGTAAATATTTATTTAATAACGGAAGCTTGAATCGCAAATATTCCAGGTGGGCGGAAGTAGGTGGGCGCGGCATGCAGGAGGAGGATGACTTGCTGGGCGCCCAGCATATATGGTGCTTGTGCATTCATTTTTGTTTTTTAATTTTGCCCCGAGGGGCGAGTTTATTGGGCAGCGCCACTCAACCTATGAGTGGACATACTGCCATAGCAGCATGTACAACACTCCCCAATAGGAAGAAAACCCGCTGGGTTGCATGTGCATCTATGTAGATATGCATGAGTATATGCTCTTTATATGTACTTACTTGCGTATTCCGTTTCCATTGTGACCCTAATATCTTGTCCCTCTTCAGTATGTAGTGAAAATTGATACACAGAGTTTTAAAATCTCATTTGTATGGATACCATCTCACAGTGGGGCCTGACGGCTGAGTGGATAGCGCTCGATATTCGTAGTCCTATCCTAGCGGGTTCGACAAGGGGCGTTAAATAAAGTAACATCTGAATGCAGCATTTTAGGCTAAAAGTATCTGCACAAAAGTCCAAAGCAATGAGACTAGGTGGCAACACTCCAGACAGGCAGGTTGCACAATATCAATATCTCGGAGTGTAGATAGATTCTAAAATTACATTCAACAAGAAAATTCAATATCTGAAGGAGAAAGCAAAATCACGACTGAATATAATGAGAGCAATCACAGGGCCCCATCTAGGAGCGGGTCACAAGGTGTTTTACACAAAAATGTTTTACATACATGCCGTTCATTCCCTAGTTGATTATGCAGCGCCTGTCTTACTCTTTCTCCTGGTTAGTGTTAAACCTTGAGGTTATTCAAAATGATGCAATGCGAGTCATAACAGGAGCTCCCAGATGGACTAAAATACTGAACCTAAGAATAAAAACCAAGCTAACGTTATGGTAAAAGGGATTGCTGCGTGCATGCTGACCAAGATATTGACTAGACTTAGAATCAGTTCACTTAAAGATATAATCACTGGAGCACTAACTCTGGACAGAAGAGACTCCAATAGCAACAGGTGGATCCATTGTGCGATAACAAACACAATCACTGAGAGGGGTGTCGACGAAATACATGCAGACTTTGTTATGCAAACCCCTTGGGAATCTCCGCCAGCAGATTTTAAGATTATGGTTCTTGAAGGAAAAAAGAACCAGACTAATCCTCATCCGCTATGCAATATTGCACAGATGCATATAGAAGCAAACTTGGCATCCGACAGCTTCACATACTTTACAGATGGATCAGTAGACCAGCAGGGACAAGAAACCGAAGCTGCAGTTAAAGCAGCAAACTGTAAATAGTTGGAGACTCTCAAACGGGTGTTCGAATTTACAAACAGAGATGCTAGCCATTCAAAAGACATGATAAAATCCATCTGATCACAAATGTCATATCATTAATTCAAACACTCAAACATCAAGGCCGTCTGGGACTTATCAACTGGGTGCCAAGTCATGTGGGAATAATAGGAAGTGACATTGCAGACGAAGCTGCAAAACTTGCAACTAAAAGAGGAAATGTAGACATTTACATACTACAGAGTCTATTACAGATTAAGAAAGTAATTAGAAGTAGAGCAATGCAGAAGATATACATTGACTACAACACAGCAGTTGCAACATCAGGATCTACGGGTTGGTACAAGAATTCAGCCAACTACGAACCACTTAGTTTGATGAAAGGGAGCAGTAGAACAACAGAAGTACACTTATATTGCATCAGGCTTGGATACCCATGTGTATGGGAAATAGGTTTATAGGTTTCGGAAGATGAAAGGAAACGTCAGCACTGTGGAGAAATGCCCGACAGACCACTGGAACATTATCTAACACAGTGCACAGTTACAAACCCAAGAGGAGTTTGTCAACAAACAATATTGTTTGAAAATAGCAAGACATGGGTTGACATTTAGGGGGTAAGGCAGGTTACATGGAGTTTATTAGGTAGTACTTAGTTTTTCTCTTAAACTTGTTGAGAGGTACAGTCTTTGACATGATTGGGAAGGTCATTCCACATTCTGGATCCCTTGATTAGTAGAGCATTTCTACAATTGATATGTTTATCCTACACACCTCCCCCTATCCAGTGGGCAGCGGTGGATAGGTTACAATCACTTAGTTACTACCTACAGTTAGCAAACTGGGGATATTTGGCTAAAATTTCTGGTAGCAGACCATTTTGAATTAAATATTTACACATCTATGGAACATTTATTATAGAATTGTCTGAATTCACGTATCTTTTCGCACTCCATCACATAGTGACGGAGGGTGAGCGAATAATTTTGTTGACACAGTTTACATTTGGTCAGGTCTACATCAGCAGATAATGAGATCTCCCAGAGATACTTGTAACCGAGTCTAAGCCGAGCAGCAGTAACATCTAGAAGTCTGCTGATTTTATTGGATGATCCATAGATGTGTGGCTCCTCTTGCATGATAGTATGATGATAGATGGAATTACTGGTGTCGATTTCACTTTGCCTCAGAGCTACAAGATTTTGTTGAAGTTCTTGGTGTGCTATTGACAAACCTTAGATTGTCAATAAGTAGACTCGCCAGCAGAAATGTTGTTGATTTAGGGGCGAGCAAAAATATTTTGTTTATTATTAAATTTTGATCCTCAGGTTTGTGTAGTAGAGACCAACTTGAGTTATATACGGTTTACGTAAAGCTACGACTGGAGGTGTAGGGTGAAGCAGTGTTCTTAGAATATTGTTTTAGATTCAGCTACTGGGAACCAAAAGTTGCAAGTAGCACGGACTATGGTGAGCCCGTAGTGGACTTACCTGGCACAGGAGCGGGTTATGGCAGGTGGCTGCAGATAAGGAATCCCCAATGATGAACACACAAGTTATAAGCTATGTGAGCAAGAGCTACAAACACACTATAGGACATTTGTGAGTGCCCTCTTACTGTATCAATGATTTCAGACCAAATGATAAGAGATACAGTACTTTGAACTGTAACTATGTAAAATATACTTCTGCCCGGCTTGGCGCCTTCTTTTGATAATTACTTATTAGTGCTGTTAACTACTGCATTCATGTCTTCAAGAATATTGGAAAATATTCTTGTGCTTTACCCAGAGTTTCAAGTTTCCTCCTGATTCCATGTATGACTAACCATCCTGAGAGATGAGGATACTTGATAATTCGTTTTGTCGGGGGACAGACAGCCTGTGTATATACATATGTTAGATTCATATCGACCTCTCCCCTAGGTCGAAATATGACCTTTCCTATAATGCAATCCACACAGCAGTTGACTAAGTCCCAGGTATATCTACTTAAATTACTGCTAGGTGAATATAGGCATTATGTAATAGGAAACGTGCCCAACCGTTTCTGTCCCTCCTGGGATTCGAACCCGAGAATCATCGATCGAGTCTGTACTACAGAGACTCGAGATGAACTCATATAGCAAGCTTTTGATCTATATTCTGTAATTCCTGGTATAGGATTAGGTAGCAGGATATTGCTTTGTGTAGATATATAAGCTTGTTATTAAATAAACAAATAGGTATATCCTCACCTCTTCTTCAGAAGGCTGTCATTTATTTAATAATTCATTATTTTTGTAATAAATTGATTCAGTAGTGTTCCAGTAATTATTCAGTGAGGATTTCGATTAATAGTTTATTCAGTTAATGAGCTTGAGATTCATGAGGTGTCGCAGTGAAGTGACAATGAAGAGAACATGTCATATCATGTCGTGTTATGTCATGACATGACACAGAGAAGTCATGAGTATCCCTTTTGCTTGTGTTATGCTGTCAGACAGAAGTGGATCTCAATTTCCTTTTCCCCCTGTAACATTCTTCATGTCTTGTTGATAGTGTAGTGACCCCTCACAGGTCACGTCATTGTGACCTGTGTTCTTCATGTCTCTAATCTACTACTTTCATGTCTGTTTTACATGTCTTGAAGATGAAGGAGGAAGAAGTCTTAGAGTAAGAAATTATAACAATGAACAAGAATATAACAACTCTTGTATATATCTAAAAAAAAAAACAATAACACAGAATATCATATTTACAGCACTGGTTAGCATTTCTTCCCAGCACACAAATATTATAACAATTTGTATATTTATATGGTGAGAAAACTCGCCGTGGAGGACCAGCCGGATACGGTTAATCAGACTAACAATAATTATTTTAGTTTGCGCTGAAAAACGGGAAGAACGGGCGCAGGCTCTTGAGCAAATGTAAGGGGAGACTCTGCAGTTTCCGCCGCTGCTCCAGCGCTAGGATGAGCTTGGCGTGGTCCACGGTGCCAAAGAACGGCTCGTTCTTGACTAGCACGTAGGCGTGAGGCGGGATTTCCGGTCGATAATTGGAGAAGTAGAAGCGATCCCTGGCTTCCTTGGTGCGTGGGGTCGGCGGCACGAATTTATTCCGCGTCTCGCTCGGAATATCGTTCTCGTTAGGGATGTCTGAAAGAAGGGAAATTGTGGGGGAAAGTTAGTTTTAGATACAAAGTTAAAGAGCATTTTAAAGCCTGCTATTTCCCTAGTTCAAGTCTGAGTATAGTAATGTGTATTATACACATTATATAAGTGTTAAATCTATGTATTCATTTACAACAAACTCCATGAGTGGGCAAACAAATGGTTCCTAGAATTCAACCCCAGCCAGTGTAAGGAAATGAACTTTGGAAAGGGAAAAATGAGACCAGGAGGTATTTATGCTATAAGGGAACGACAACTAGAGGAGCTGGAGTGAGAAAAGGATTTTGGGGGTGAATATAATTCGAATACTCTCTCCAGAGGCACACATGAACAAGGTAACATCAGCAGCATGTGGGACGCTGGCGAACATGATTGCCTATTTCAAGGCAATCCACAGACAGCCTTTATTAAACCACTACTGGAATATACAGCACCGGTCTGGAATCCGAACCTTGTGAAGCATAAAGCCAAAATTAAAAGGTATAAAGATTTGCTACAAGAATAATGCCAGAGCTAAGATCGAAAACTTATGAGAATAGCTTAAGGGAACTGGATCTCACATCTCTAAAGAAGAGAAGAAACAGGGTGGACATGATCGCAACATCCAAGATACTGAAGGGAATTGACAAGGTGGACAAAGACAGCCTCTTTAAAATGAGAAAAAAAGAGAGGCGAGAGGACATAAGTGGAATCTGGAAACGTAAATGAGTAAAAAAAAGTAAGGAAATACTCGTACCCTGTAAGGCTGGTCAACAAGTGGAATGTATTGATAGAAGAAGTTGTAGAAGCCACCTCCATCCACAACTTTAAAACTAGATTCGATAAAGAATTCGAACGTCTGAATAGTTATATGATAACACAATAGGTACAACAAGGTTAGTAGGCTACACCTCACTTCCCCATCGACATTGGTAGGTAATTACTGATAGGTAAGTAGAAGAAACAACAGTTTCAAATTCCCCGTTACGGGCTACATGGAAACTTTGTTCCGAATAGCTGAATCTAAAACAACAATAAATTCCACGATCTTCATTTGTTGGAGAGAAAACAAGTGAATTCTAACTCTCTGTAGGAGGGCGTTCTAACCCTCCTACAGAGAGTTAAAACGCTCTTCCACCACCTATCAGGAGAAACCGTACAGGCCAAGACAAGTGCTTCAGCTGAGAATAAAGCTTGAGCACCATGGAGAGAAAGGTTCCACTCTGTGTCAACTTTCAGTCCGGCTAGGGGCCGCTGGATACATTGTCTCTCAGGTAAATACAACTGTGGCAGTCAGTGGAGAGGAGTCGCCCACTCTGGCAACACCAACTCTCACTACCAATATATCAACCCCACTATCAACTTCCGTTGCTTATCATTCTCATAGAAGCCAGATTATGTATAGATGCCAGAACAGCAGGTATTCCTTGGTGTACATTATATTACGTTAGTTGATCTACCTGTCGCTTGGCGTCTGGAGCGGTACTTCTTGGGTGATCTGATGGAGTTGGCAGCCTTGGTCTCCTCCCTGGTCTCCGTGTTGGACGTGTCTACAGCCTGTGTCTCCTTCCTGATCTCCGTGTTGGTCGTGTCTACAGCCTTGGTCTCCTCCCTGGTCTCCGTGTTGGTCGTGTCTACAGCCTTGGTCTCCTCCCTGGTCTCCGTGTTGGTCGTGTCTACAGCCTTGGTCTCCTCCCTGGTCTCCGTGTTGGACGTGTCTACAGCCTGTGTCTCCTTCCTGGTCTCTGTGTTGGTCGTGTCTACAGCCTTGGTCTCCTTCCTGATCTCCGTGTTGGTCGTGTCTACAGCCTTGGTCTCCTCCCTGGTCTCCGTGTTGGTCGTGTCTACAGCCTTGGTCTCCTTCCTGATCTCCGTGTTGGTCGTGTCTACAGCCTTGGTCTCCTCCCTGGTCTCCGTGTTGGACGTGTCTACAGCCTGTGTCTCCTTCCTGGTCTCTGTGTTGGTCGTGTCCACAGCCTGTGTCTCCTCCCTGGTTTCCATGTTGGTCGTGTCGGTGGGTCGGCAAAGCACGGGCGCTGGGAGGCACAGTAACAGCCCCAACAACAGTGTCTGAAAATAGGAACTTTGGTTAATGTTACACAACATTTCCACGCACATATTGGTTAATGTTTCACATTATGTTACTATGTAACTCCTAATCACCTTCCCTCTGACTCTCTCACATCATGAAACAGTGGAGGAGTAATTTTCTGTGATTCAGATCAGTTCTTCACGCTCTCGAAAACCCAATATGCAAAATAAATGCTAAGAATGTTGTAACATCCATTGTAAACATCATTAACACACAAAGCAAGAGTTTCAGAGTCATTTTAATGGATGTCGTCACACACAGGTTTAGTCTAGCATTATATGACACAAACAAGGCAGCTAAATCGACAATCGACTTGAGAATGGTCCAGGACGGACCGAAACGTCGTCGTCCCTTCACTTTCTAATGTGTGGTCTGGTCAACATACGTCAGCCACGTTATTGTGACTCATCGCCTGCAAGGAAGCTAAAACTGCATATGTTTAGTCTGAAACTGAGTTAGACTCAGGCATTCCAATCTCTGTTGTTAAAAAGTAATATTTCAGGAAATTAGGAACGGAAGAGGAGTCACTGAAACTCAAAGGGCAGAAAGTAAGAGTATGAAGTTGTTTAAAAACCGAGAATTATATGTAACGATTGTACAAAGAATACACTAGACAGTGTGACATTGTAATTGCCAGAATTAGGCTGGGATATCCATATCCATGACAGGTGGCTATAGGTAATGAATCCCCCCCCAATGGTGAACATCCTAATTGTAAACTATGTGAACAAGAGCTGGGACATACTCTCCAACACTATATATGTGATTGTCCTGTTATTAGTGATTTCAATGGTATGAGGTACTCTGAATTCTGTAACTATTTCATACACTCACGAATATTAGAAGATATTCTTGTGTTGTGGGCCGCCAACCCGTTCTCGCAAATTTAATAAGTCAATATTGACTTATTAAATATGTGCATAGGTGACATACTTAACATAATAGTTTCCCTTGAAAAGCTTCATAGAAAACACCGACCTTACCTAACCTACTTAGTATGTTAAGATAAGCATCTTATTGCTTCGTAATTACAATTATTACCTAACCTATACCTATAATAGGTTAAGTAACAATTGTAATTACGAAGCTATAAGATGCTTATTTTAACATACTAAGAAGGTTAGGTAAGGTCGGTGTTTTCTATGAAGCTTTTCAAGGTAAACTAGCATGTTTAGTATGTCACCTATGCACGCAACTAATAAGTCAATATTGACTTATTAAATTTGCGAGAACGGGTTGTGTGCCCAGAGTTTGCTAGTGGAGGCTAATAGATTAGTCTGTTTCATATGTCCTCTCCTGATTCCATGTATGGCAAACCATGATGTGAGGAAGGGAAATTAGACGAACTCATAGCTAGCTTTTGATCTTATTTTTTGTTTTGTTTTTATATATATATATATATATATATATATATATATATATATATATATATATATATATATATATATATATATATATATATATATATATACAAGAGTTGTTACTTTCTTGTACAGCCACTAGTACGCATAGCATTTCGGGCAGGTCCTTAATCCTAATTTTCCCTGGAATACGACCCCGCCAAATCGTTTAACAACCAGGTACATATTCACTGCTGGGTGAACAGAGGCTACAGTTAAGAATTGATGTGCAGTCAATCCACCCCGGCTAGGATACGAACCCAAGCAAAAAGAGCTCGCCAAGCGCCAGCCCAGTGTCTTACCACTGCGCCACGGGGACCATATAGAACAGCCTAGCAACACATCGCTGTGTATACCTAAAAAGCTTCACATCAAAGTCCCGTAAGCGGATGGCTTCACAGTGACTGCGTTGGACGAATGTTTTATGTCCAAAAACTTGGGCATAAGGCCAGATGTCCAAGGGGACGGGGTGTCCAGGGTCCCGTAGTGTCCAGAGGGAGGAAGGAATGTCCACTAGGGAGAGGTGTCCATAGAGAGGGCTGTCCCAGACCGGAGTAGTGTCAAGAGGAAGGTCGAGGGAGTCACAGGGCGAAGGACAGCCAAGAGAGGAGTCCTTCCACCACGAGAGGAGTCAAGAGGTTAAGGACATGAGGGAGAGGCGTGGAGGGACAGGTTAGGGGGACCATGAGGGAGGAGTCTGCCCTCCCAACAGTGATGGACACGAAGGGGAGGGAGAGAACCACTATTCTCTCAGTCATATATACACATAGTGATCTCATTCACTGCGAGAAAGCAGCCCAAGAAGGCAGGGCATGAAGGCAGCGCGCCTCTGTGGAAAGCCTAGTGTTTGCCAGGGAAAAATCGTGACCGCTTTCTCCCCAACCTGTTACCCTGCCACAGGTGGTGGTGGTGGGGGGGGGGAGGGAAGGGGGAACACAGGTGATGGAGGGGTAAATTACAGGTGTTGGAGGGTAATTACAGGTGCTGGAGGATAATTACAGGTGCTGGAGGTTTATTACAGGTGCTGGAGGGTAATTACAGGTGCTGGAGGATAATTACAGGTGCTGGAGGGTAATTACAGGTGCTGGAGGGTAATTACAGGTGCTGGAGGGTTATTACAGGTGCTGGCGGGTAATTACAGGTGCTGGAGGGTTATTACAGGTGCTGGAGGATAATTACAGGTGCTGGAGGGTAATTACAGGTGCTGGAGGGTTATTACAGGTGCTGGAGGATAATTACAGGTGCTGGAGGGTAATTACAGGTGCTGGAGGGTTATTACAGGTGCTGGAGGATAATTACAGGTGCTGGAGGGTAATTACAGGTGCTGGAGGATAATTACAGGTGCTGGAGGGGTAATTACAGGTGCTGGAGGGTAATTACAGGTGCTGGAGGGTAATTACAGGTGCTGGAGGGTAATTACAGGTGCTGGAGGGTAATTACAGGTGCTGGAGGATAATTACAGGTGCTGGCGGGTAATTACAGGTGCTGAAGGGTTATTACAGGTGCTCGAGGGTAATTACAGGTGCTGGAGGATAATTACAGGTGCTGGAGGGTTATTACAGGTGCTGGCGGGTAATTACAGGTGCTGAAGGGTTATTACAGGTGCTCGAGGGTAATTACAGGTGCTGGAGGATAATTACAGGTGCTGGAGGATAATTACAGGTGCTGGCGGGTAATTACAGGTGCTGGAGGGTAATTACAGGTGCTGGAGGATAATTACAGGTGCTGGAGGATAATTACAGGTGCTGGAGGGTATTACAGGTGCTGGAGGGTAATTACAGGTGCTGGAGGATAATTACAGGTGCTGGAGGGTTATTACAGGTGCTGGAGGATAATTACAGGTGCTGGAGGATAATTACAGGTGCTGGAGGGTTATTACAGGTGCTGGAGGATAATTACAGGTGCTGGAGGATAATTACAGGTGCTGGAGGGTTATTACAGGTGCTGGAGGATAATTACAGGTGCTGCGGGTAATTACAGGTGCTGGAGGATAATTACAGGTGCTGGAGGGTAATTACAGGTGCTGGAGGATAATTACAGGTGCTGGCGGGTAATTACAGGTGCTGGAGGGTAATTACAGGTGCTGGAGGGTAATTACAGGTGCTGAAGGGTAATTACAGGTGCTACAGGTTAATTACAGGTGCTGGACGGGGCGATGCATGCTAAACAGAGACAATGTAATGACAGAACCGTGCCAACAGTGACAGTCACTGTTGGACAGAACCGTGCCAACAGTGACAGTGGACAGAAGTGTGGGGTCTGTAAGACTCATCGAGGTGTGACGAGAGTGAGTCAGGATCAGGTTCAACTCACCTTTCCTTCTCAGGTCACCCATCCACACACCAACATCACCATAATATATATATATATATATATATATATATCCTCAGGGGATTCGAACTCAGGGTGTCAGGGCGTCTCCCAACCAAGAGCACTTCCCCCACAAGCGAAAAACACCCGCTAGGGAAATTTTCAACTTTTTCCCCTGTGTCGCACACATTACCCACGGGGGGCAGGAACACCCCCCTGTGTCACACACACAGTACCCACAGGGGGCAGGAACACCCCCTGTGTCACACACAGTACCCACGGGGGGCAGGAACTCCCCCTGTATACTCACCCTCAGCATGGCTGGCCGGGGCGGTTATACACCTGTGTACCGCCTCAAGTTTCCCGCCAAACTGCCGGCGCCACGCGCCTCAACCCCAAGAAGAAGAGAAAGGCACTAACAACTCCTCCCCATCACACTCAACTCTCCTGAACTGCTCCGTTCACGTCACAGATATCCTGCACGCTGATTGGCTCTAGCTCTATACCAACCGACAGATTCTCATGTTGCAGCTTATGCAATATGGTCAATATATATCTCCTGCATTGCTCTCTCATTATTTTCTTAATCTGCATTAGACCCTCTGGTACTTCTATGTCTGCAATGCACCTCTGAGTTGCAAGAGGGTCAAACCTATACATTGGGTTTACCAAATGTAAACCAATGGTTTATTGGTATACATTTTTGGTCCTCGTAGAGCAATAATACCTGGTAGTGGGGGGGGGGGGTTGGCAAAAGGCTTGCATAGTAATATCTGTATGTTGACACTTCTCTTGGTCATTTATTGACCACTCTAAGTATCAGGTTGTCTAATAAAATATTAATACTGTAATGATAAAATTGTTATCTATAGTTTAGCCTAACAATTACCTTATCAATTATGTCCAGCGAAGATCCTTCCACAAGTACATAGAGGAATTGCTCTCTCAATCACTCCTTGCATCTGATTTTTATTTTATAAATCAAATCTGATTAAGTTTTAAGATTTCATAGCAAAATAAAATAAATTGTGAGGTAACTTTTAATATTGCCAATATTGTATTCACAAAGGCTCAAAATAGGGCTAAAATCCTATTCTTTTTTCCTTGCGTTATGTTAAACAAGAATACACAAAATTTGAAGAAAAAACAATCCATGAATAACCTGTAAAGGTATTCACAAATATATTATTTAAATATATTCAAGAAACGTTAATTACATGGATGTATCTGGCGACATTTACAATATAAAAACCGGTTAGTCTCCAATTGGAACGCGGTTTGATGACGTCATTACAGATATCAATGACGTCATAGAGAGGCAGGTAACTGCCACTCCCTGAGGGAAATTTCCGAAACTTTCCTACGTCATGTATAAATAGTCCTTAACTCAGGTCATAGTTATTTTAAAGGCGATGACGAATGCTTCAGAGACTACAAGATTGCATAGCCTCCCTTAGCCCCAGTCCGTTAGGCCTCCCTCAGCCCCAGTCCGTTAGGCCTCCCTCAGCCCCAGTCCGTTAGGCCTCCCTCAGCCCCAGTCCGTTAGGCCTCCCTCAGCCCCAGTCCGTTAGGTTTCCCCGCCTCGGTCCGTCAAGTTCCCCTGCCTCGGTCCGCCGTTTACCCCGCCTCGGTCCGCCGTTTCCCCCGCCTGGACCCGTCAAGTTTCCCCAGGATATATTTACCCCGCCCAGCGTGCCGGCTCACGTTACCCGCTCACCTGGAGCAGCAGGTTTCCACAGGGGAGCTCCCGCAATACTTTCTAAACACACATCCTTGTCATGGACACCGGAGAAAAAGAAGGCTGATTTTGCTTTGAAAATTAACTTGTGGGGTAACATTTTATCGTCTCGCAATTTTAGCATCATGGCAGTTTTGTATATACTTAATTGTCAACCGCCATGAGAGGACTAGGCTATGTGGAGATTTCCCGCCATGAGAGGACTAGGCTATGTGGAGATTTCCCGCCATGAGAGGACTAGGCTATGTGGAGATTTCCCGCCATGAGAGGACTAGGCTATGTGATTTCCCGCCATGAGAGGACTAGGCTATGTGGAGATTTCCCGCCATGAGAGGACTAGGCTATGTGGAGAGTTCCCGCCATGAGAGGACTAGGCTATGTGAAGATTTCCCGCCATGAGAGGACTAGGCTATGTGGAGAGTTCCCGCCATGAGAGGACTAGGCTATGTGGATAGTTCCCGCCACGCTTTGGCGGGAACAGGTATATACGACTCGGATTCCTCTTGGACTAATATGACACGTCAGGGAAGGACATATTGTGCTGTAGAGCTGCATAGCATAAAACTGTATAGCATGTGTCACAGCTTATTTATTTATTTATATATACAAGAAGGTACATTGGGTTTATGAGAGTACATAGCATGATGTGTTTACATTCTTGCAATGCCACTAACACGCATATAGCGTTTCGGGCAGGTCCCTAATCTAACAGATAATTTTAAATATGTAATTTGCAGCAAAAAATAAAGAATATTAACAGGTACATTGTAAGAAAATTTGAAGAAAATTAATAGGTACATTATAGTAAAATTCGAGAATTATCAACTGGTACATTGTAGCATTATTTGAGGATTATTAATAGGTACATTGTAGTAAAATTTGCGTTTAACATAATAGCCAGGATTTAAGATGATAGCAGTGAATACAATGAAGTTGCATAGCTTAGGCACATATATTGGGGGAATTGGGTAGAATAAGATACAGTGTCAGTTTAAAGTACTAGGTAGGAAGAAACAGTGAGGATGAAATTAGGCACTTTTTGAGTTAACTTTTGAATAAGGCATAGGTTGGATAAGCCCTAGTTAGTATGAAACATGAACGAAGGCTGAATCTAGCGTGATAAAGGAAGTGTGACACTGGAAGAAAGACTTAAATTAGCGTGACAGATATCAAATCAACTTTATTCATGCCACAATACACTAGCTAGATGACTGCATTACTTCCTGCATAGGAGTGGGAGGCATTTGCGCTTTTCCTGAGTAAGAGAGCGGATTGCATCACTTTAAATAGTGTTCAGATGTCCGTTGAACACCCTGAATGCTTCCTAAGGGCATCAAACACTATTTACAGTTGTTTCTGATAAAACATTTGCCCCATGAATAGATTCTACTTCTCAGTGTTTGATATCAAGACATCCTCTCCACCGTGTGAGGTTATCGTGTCCAAACCGGTGCTGATTCACAGAACCAGTTTACGATCAGCAGCTCAGTATAACCTGTGCTAGGCTTGCGTAACCTCACAACGTTTGTTCAGGCTATTGACTGTAAGCCTTTCACATCATTCTCCATGTGCCTTAATTTTACTTAATACATTATTATGATAGTTATACACATACATACTCCTTACTATATATATATATTATATTATATATATAAATATATATATATAATATATATATATATATATATATATATATATATATATATATATATATATATATATATATATATATATATATATATATATACTACTGAATATAGTCCTGGGGACCATTCAGGCTTGTTTGCATATATATATATATAATATATATATATATATATATATATATATATATATATATATATATATATATATATATATATATATATATATACATATATTAGATTATTTTGCCAAATTCTGGCTCTCTGCACATATTTGGAGTTTAAAATTGCGACTTTTTATACCGAAAATATGCCAATTACTGAAAGCGGTGGTGGGTTACATTTTGCCCAAACCCCCCTGCAGTTTTCGGAATATCCCAAAAATCCCAAATTCGACTCCTGAGTAATATTTTGGAGCCAAATTCTGGATCACTGCACCTATTCGCAGTTTAAAATTCCGACTTTTTATACCGAAAATATGCCAATTAATGAAAGCGGCGGTGGGTCACATTTTGCCCAAACCCCCCTGCAGTTTTCAAATTATTTCAAACATCCCAAATTCGACTCCTGAGTCATATTTTGGAGCAAAATTCTGGCTCTCTGCACCTATTCACAGTTTGAAATTGCGACTTTTTATACCAAATATATGCAAATTACGGAAAGCGGCAGTGGGTCACATTTTGCCCAAACCCCCCTGCAGTTTTCAAAATATCCCAAACACCCCAAATTCGACTCTTAAGTCATATTTTCGAGCCAAATTCTGGCTCTCTGCACCTATTCGCAGTTTGAAATTCCGAATTTTTATACCGAAAATATGCCAATTACTGTAAGCGGCGGTGGGTCACATTTTGCCCAAACCCCCCTGCAGTTTTCAAAATATCCCAAACACCCCAAATTCGACTCCTGAGTCATATTTTGGAGCCAAATTCTGGCTCTCTGCACCTATTCGCAGTTTGAAATTGCGACTTTTTATACCAAAAATATGCCAATTACTGAAAGCGGTGGTAGGTCACATTTTGGCCAAACCCCCCAGCAGTTTTCAAAATATCCCAAACACCCCAAATTCGACTCCTGAGTCATATTTTGGAACCAAATTCTGGCTCTCTGCACCTATTCGCAGTTTGAAACTCCGACTTTTTATACCGAAAATATGCCAATTACTGAAAGCGGCGGTGGGTCACATTTTGCCCAAACCCCCCTGCAGTTTTCGGAATATCCCAAACATCCCAAATTCGACTCCCGAGTCATATTTTGGAGCAAAATTCTGGATCTCTGCACCTATTCGCAGTTCAAATTTCCGACTTTTTATACCGAAAATATGCCAATTACTGAAAGCGGCGGTGGGTCATATTTTGCCCAAACCCCCCTGCAGTTTTCAAATTATTTCAAACATCCCAAATTCGACTCCCGAGTTATATTTTGGAGCAAAATTCTGGCTCTCTGCACCTATTCGCAGTTTGAAATTGCGACTTTTTATACCAAAAATATGCCAATTACTGAAAGCGGTGGTGGGTCACATTTTGCCCAAACCCCCCTGCAGTTTTCAAAATATCTCAAACATCTCGTATCTGACTCATTTTAAGGCAATCAAGTAAGGCAAGAGTTCCTAAGGCAACAGTAAGGCAAGAGTTCCTAAGGCAACATTAAGGCAAGAGTTCCTAAGGCAACAGTAAGGCTCTAACTGTTGACTATCCTTCGACCCCACCTGTGTAAGGCCCCAAGCTCTATGGTCTGGGGCCAACCCTCCCATTATTCTGGGCTCTAGGAGGCTGTAACTCTGGACCCCACCTGTATAAGGCCCAAAGCTCTATGGTCTGGGGCCAACCCTCCCATTATCCTGGTGCTCTAGGAGACTCTACCTCTGGACCCCACCTGTGTAAGGCCCCAAGCTCTATGGTCTGGGGCCAACCCTCCCATTATCCTGGTGCTCTAGGAGACTCTACCTCTGGACCCCACCTGTGTAAGGCCCCAAGCTCTATGGTCTGGGGCCAACCCTCCCATTATCCTGGTGCTCTAGGAGACTCTACCTCTGGACCCCACCTGTGTAAGTAAGTAATTATCAACAGAAGGCACCAAACCGGGAAGGCTATGTAGCACCATCAAATGTGCGGGATAATCAGAGGGCGCTAAATATCACCAAGGATGCCAATACGAGAACAGAAACGCATAAGGCGAACGATATCAAAAGTATCCGAGTCACCAAGAATACTATCGAGAGACAAGCGACTACGGGAGATGGTCGGAAAACAAGACACGCTCGTTCCGGAAGTCAGGACATTCAACAAGGATATGCACGATCGTAAGAGGGACAATGCAATTAAGACAATAAGGAGCAGGATGGCGCTCCATCAAGTGACCATGAGTTGAGAGAGTATGGCCAATACGCAACCTCACCAGAGCCGTTACCCATCGCCGGTTACGGTGGTTGAAGGACGGTCACGAGGACACACAACTTTTAAGAGTACGTAGTTTGTTACCTGTAACAGACGACCAACAAGCCTGCCAACGGGTAAGGATGGAGGAATAGATAACCGGGTAAAAGTCGGAATAAGGAATACCTTTACAAGAGATGGGACAAGAGCGGACAGCTTCCCTGGCAGCAGCATCTGCACGCTCATTTAAAGACACCAATATGGCTGGGAACCCAACAAAACTCAACCAACTTAAATTTACTGTGAACAAGAAACAGCCAATGCTGGTTCTCGACAACTACTGGATGAACCGGATTAAAGGACCCGAGAGCCATGAGGGCACTACGAGAGTCAACAACTACAAAGGAAGATTGACAACGAGAAAGCAGGAGACGAAGAGCATAGAGAATAGCATAAAGCTCCGCTGTGAAGATGCTAGTCTCCGGAGGTAAGCGACACATGTAAGTGCAATCAGGAAAAACAACAGAGTAGCCTACACCGTCCGCAGACTTAGACCCATCGGTGAAGAAGGAAACGGAGCGGTAGTGAGAAGAAAAGTGCTCAAAGATCAAAATATCAAAGATCAAAATATTTGGCCCACGAAGCGGAACCAAACAAGGCTTGATATGCATCAGTATGGGAAGGAATCGAGCGAGTGCGGCCGTGTCTAGGACGGCGTTGAGAACCCCCAGAGAGAGAGAGGGGTTAAAAGGCACAGTAGTCACAACGAGAGACTGAGCCGTGCCAGGGGACGAGGTAGTCACCATTGGGGGCTTGGGGCTCGACCCAGCCACAGAGGAGGGAGGAGAGCCGAGGGGAGTAATCAGAAAGGCCAAAGGAGGAGCAAGGTCGGGGCCCAATGCAGCGGAGGCTACAGAGCTTGGTCTTCCAACACGGACCAACTCGGGGGCTTGGTCGCCCACCCCACGAGCCTGAGAAGGTAAAAGAGGAACAGAATTCGACATGAGTACGAAAGAAAAACATTCATTCACGAATGTGCCCCCACACCCACCATGGAGCCACTATTAGAGGCAGGACACCCAACAAGAACCTATCGCCGATCATGCCGGGGCCCCCCAGGGGTGCATCGTGAGCATACGCTCCACAAACGCCACCTTAAGAACCGACAGTCCGTCGAGATCAGATTCAGTGACGAAAGGAGGATTGACAATAAAAGGTTTCCCTCGCTCTCAAGTAAGTCCGCTACCATCTTGTCGGAAATTTCCGACAGCAAAAATACTAATCCTTGACACAATAAGATAAATACGTTGTATTAAGATACTAATCTAACTAACTGTACTAATAGAAGTTCTAGAACATGCTAAGGGACGATTGCATCAGCCACCACATGTTCACGGTGACTATTCCTTTGCCTAGCACTTGATAGAAACTTTGTCTTCAATCTGCTTTCATTTGTTATTGATATCTTAGGTAGAGTTTAAGCACTGTTCATAGTAATTGAGAAGAATAAATTCACGTATAAATTAGCATTTACCTCCTTTCATTCGTAACTTTGCGCCAAAAATTCGTGCCATGACTACCAGCTGATGAGAGGAGGGGGACGCTGCGCCATGCGACGGAGTTCAGGAGCACCCGAGACGCGGAGAGGCGTCCGTCCGGAAAACCGTCCGGCGTCTGTCCGGAAAGGCGTCCAGCGTCCGTCCAGAGAGGCGTCCGTGTCCGTGAGAGGCGAAGGGGCCACCGTCCTCTCCCGATAGACGCCATATTTGTGCTTATAAACTGCAGGAAGGAAGGAAGGAATTATCAAGGGAAAGCGCCAAGCCATTACGACTATATAGCACTGGGAAGGGGTCAGGATAAGGATTTGGTGATGGGACGGGGAATGGAATGGTGCCCCAACCACTTGGACGGTCGGGGATTGAACGCCGATCTGCATGAAGCGAGACCGTCGCTCTACCGTCCAGCCCAAGTGGTTGGGTTTATAAACTGCAGAATTGTGCCCCTCAGAGTTACAAACTGAGCAGCAGAGTCGTGCTGTTGAACGGATTACCATGTATCAAGCTGTCGCAGTCTCCAAGCACGAAAGGACATGTCCCAGTTGAATCCATTTGGTTGTGAGCTCTTAACATTAGAATTCCAACCGTGTTACGAGGCATGATTAACAAAAAAACACCAGTAAGCCTCTCACAATTTTATCAAGTATTATTTCCTATGTCATAATGTCAATATAGTAGACTGTTGCAGTTGGTACATTGTAATTCCCCGGCCACGAGGTCAACATTTACTGCATAACCCACCTGATTACTCTCGTGTTCTTGCTGGTTCAGGAGGAAACCTTCAGATCAGCTAAGCTGAAGTTTTTGTAAACTAATCAGTAGTAGTGTAGACTACTAACTACTAAAAATTGATACTATTTGAATTTCCATGTATATTTAAACAGGTAGACTTAGCATTATTAATCTACCCCCCAAATTTTGTGGCAGTGGAAACCCCCGACAAGTAACCAAAATTAATACAGTCCGCTCTTACAATTTATTTAATTTCTAGTAACAATACTCAGAAATACTTGTTGAGAACTTCCCACACATCTCTTATTGTGATGTCTGTCTGTGTGTGTCTCTCTCTCTCTCAATATTTACCAATTCTCAACTCACACACACACACATACACATATATTAATAGCAAAATATTTTAAAAATATATATACAATGAAGGTTTTAGGTGCAATGGAATAGACAAACAGCTAATTTAACAAATTATTCCTTTTATTTCTTTATTTTTGTTATAAACTTAATAACAAGACATTGAACCAGTTCCTTCTCACAGGGCGAGGATATCATAGATATCCTTCTCACAGGACGAGGATCCCATGGTATTCCCTTATACGGAACAAATAGTCCTCCGTCCGCGCCTTGTCCCTCATAACCTGCTCCTTAGGCATCCTCAGTCCGTCTCTGTCTGTCCCCCACTTGGCGCACTTTGCCTCATACCGCTCAATCCTCTTGCGGTCTCGGTGGAAGGTGGAGTCCGTGGTGGTGTCGTCTCTGATGTGGTCCTGTAGGCGGCGGAGCAGGTTGGGCAGGGATGGCCGCCACTCTTGGTTGGACAATGTCGCCTCTTGGAACAGGTTCACTAGTACCGGATCTTTGGTACCTGTTACCACTAGGATCTCCTGCATCAGACGGCCGTATTGGAACACGTCTGAGGAGAAGGTGCTGGGTTCACCAGCCAAGAGTTCGGGGGCGTAGAGCGGGTAGTCCTCGGGGTCACCTTTTGTAAGGACCACTTCACCACTCTTACAGGAGAGGCCGAAGTCGATCACACTAATTTTTGGGTGGTCGGGTGAGCCTTCAATCATTATATTGTTAGATTTTATGTCGTTATGAACATACCCTTTTGTGTGGACATGTAATAATTTTAGGCCAATTTTAAACCCAATCTGCACTACGTCGTATTGCGGGTGGCATAAAATCTTATCCACGTTCGTGTCCCCTTTATAAGTGGTGAGGAGAGCTGGGCGATCGTGAGACACCGCCAGTAGGAGGGGCGCGCCTCCAGCCCCTTTCAGCTCTGACAAGACGCTGGCTTCCCGCTTGAAGCTCTTAGCGGCCGATGCATGGTTGGCCACTTTAAGTGCGGCCTGCTCTCCGTGCCAGTTAACCAGGACTACTCTACCGTAAGTCCCGGAGCCAAGAGTTTTTATTTTCTTCCTTAGGAGCTGCGCCACGTCGTGAGCCCCAAGACGCTCCATTTTGCCAGACTAACTAGTCACATGGCCAGCTAGTTAAGCAGGTGCTAATATCCTAGATGCCAGACAATATAGTCAAGAGGATCACCAGGGCTGGCCAGAGGGGCAGGCAAGGGAAAATGTTCATGGTCCTCACACCATTTTGATCACCCGTCAAGTTTACCTTAGGAACACCGTACACAGGACTTTGTCCTCAAGTTGTCAAGTGCAGTTTGACGGCGACTGTCAAGATGATTTTCATCTGAGATAGTAATGCTTTCATCTGAGATGGTAATGCTTTCATCTGAGGTGGTAATGCATTCATCTGAGATGGTAATGCTTTCATCTGAGATGGTAATGCTTTCATCTGAGACGGTAATGCTTTCATCTGAGATGGTAATGCATTCATCTGAGATGGTAATGCTTTCATCTGAGATGGTAATGCTTTCATCTGAGATGGTAATGCTTTCATCTGAGATGGTAATGCTTTCATCTGAGATGGTAATGCTTTCATCTGAGATGGTAATGCTTTCATCTGAGATGGTAATGCTTTCATCTGAGATGGTAATGCTTTCATCTGAGATGGTAATGCTTTCATCTGAGATGGTAATGCTTTCATCTGAGATGGTAATGCTTTCATCTGAGATGGTAATGCTTTCATCTGAGATGGTAATGCTTTCATCTGAGATGGTAATGCTTTCATCTGAGATGGTAATGCTTTCATCTGAGATGGTAATGCTTTCATCTGAGGTGGTAATGCTTTCATCTGAGATGGTAATGCTTTCATCTGAGATGGTAATGCTTTCATCTGAGATGGTGCTTTCATCTGAGATGGTAATGCTTTCATCTGAGATGGTAATGCTTTCATCTGAGAGGTGAAGAGTGACACAGTTTACATAAGAGTAAGTTGTGAGTTTTGAGATAGTGAGGTAATTTTGTAAGTGAAAATGTTTGTGAGTAGTGTGGTAGTGATGGTGGTGGTGAGTAGTGTGGTAGTGATGATGTTGGTGAGTAGTGATGTAGTGAGTTGGTGAGTAGTGTGGTAGTGATGGTGTTGGTGAGTAGTGTGGTAGTGATGTGTGGTGAGTAGTGTGGTAGTGATGGTGTTGGTGAGTAGTGTGGTAGTGATGGTGTTGGTGAGTAGTGTGGTAGTGATGGTGAGTAGTGTGAGTGATGTAGTGTGGTAGTGATGATGGTGAGTAGTGTGGTAGTGATGATGGTGAGTAGTGTGGTAGTGATGGTGTTGGTGAGTAGTGTGGTAGTGATGGTGCTGGTGAGTAGTGTGGTAGTGATGGTGAGTAGTGTGGTAGTGATGGTGAGTAGTGTGGTAGTGATGATGGTGAGTAGTGTGGTAGTGATGGTGTTGGTGAGTAGTGTGGTGTGATGATGATGTAGTGTGGTAGTGATGATGTAGTAGTGTGGTAGTGATGGTGAGTGGTGAGTAGTGTGGTAGTGATGGTGGTGATGTGAGTAGTGTGGTAGTGATGGTGTTGTGTGTAGTGTGGTAGTGTGGTAGTGATGGTAGTGATGGTGAGTAGTGTGGTAGTGATGATGGGTGAGTAGTGTGGTAGTGATGGTGTTGGTGAGTAGTGTGGTAGTGATGATGGTGAGTAGTGTGGTAGTGATGGTGAGTAGTGTGGTAGTGATGGTGGTGGTGAGTAGTGTGGTAGTGATGATGTGATGGTGAGTAGTGTGGTAGTGATGGTGTTGGTGAGTAGTGTGGTAGTGATGATGGTGAGTAGTGTGGTAGTGATGGTGATGGTGAGTAGTGTGGTAGTGATGATGGTGAGTGAGTGTGGTAGTGATGGTGGTGGTGAGTAGTGTGGTAGTGATGATGTGAGTAGTGTGAGTAGTGTGGTAGTGATGTAGTGATGGTGGTGAGTAGTGTGGTAGTGATGGTGTTGGTGAGTAGTGTGGTAGTGATGATGTTGGTGAGTAGTGTGGTAGTGATGAGTAGTGTGAGTAGTGTGAGTAGTGATGTAGTGGTGAGTAGTGTGGTAGTGATGATGGTGGTGAGTAGTGTGGTAGTGATGGTGGGTGAGTAGTGTGGTAGTGATGGTGTTGGTGAGTAGTGTGGTAGTGATGATGGTGAGTAGTGTGGTAGTGATGGTGTTGGTGAGTAGTGTGGTAGTGATGATGGTGAGTAGTGTGGTAGTGATGATGGTGAGTAGTGTGGTAGTGATGGTGTTGGTGAGTAGTGTGGTAGTGATGGTGAGTAGTGTGGTAGTGATGGTGTTGGTGAGTAGTGTGGTAGTGATGGTGAGTGAGTGTGGTAGTGATGGTGTAGTGTGGTAGTGATGATGGTGAGTAGTGTGGTAGTGATGGTGTTGGTGAGTAGTGTGGTAGTAGTGATGGTAGTGATGGTGAGTGAGTAGTGTGGTAGTGATGATGTGAGTAGTGTGGTAGTGTGGTAGTGATGGTGAGTAGTGTGGTAGTGTGTGGTGGTGATGATGGTGAGTAGTGTGGTAGTGATGGTGTTGGTGAGTAGTGTGGTAGTGATGTGTGAGTAGTGTGGTAGTGATGATGGTGAGTAGTGTGGTAGTGATGGTGTTGGTGATGTGATGGTGAGTAGTGTGGTAGTGATGATGGTGAGTAGTGTGGTAGTAGTGAGTGATGGTGAGTAGTGTGGTAGTGATGGTGTGAGTGATGTGGTAGTGATGGTGAGTAGTGTGGTAGTGATGGTGAGTAGGTGAGTGATGTGTGGTAGTGATGATGGTGAGTAGTGTGGTAGTGATGGTGAGTAGTGTGGTAGTGATGATGGTGAGTAGTGTGGTAGTGATGATGGTGAGTAGTGTGGTAGTGATGATGGTGAGTAGTGTGGTAGTGAGTGAGTGGTGAGTAGTGAGTGATGGTGAGTAGTGTGGTAGTGATGATGTGTCAATCACAACGCTGTAAATGCTTCACCCACGTACTACAAATACAAATAATCGCCAACAGAACCTAAACACCTAACCTAACCTATACCTATATATGCACAATATGGTAATATATAATGATATTAATTTATATATGAGAAAATTCATGTTTTGAATGAACAGCCATGATAACACCTGCAAAGGATTCCTGATCAACCAGGCTGTGACTCATACGTCAGGCTACGAGCAGCCGCGTCCAACAGCCTGATTGGCCAGTCCTGCAACGAAGAGGCCTGGTCGAGGACCGGGCCGCGGGGAGGCTAAGCCCCGAAACGAACACAAGGTAACCACAAGGTAAGGTAACATGGTAACAATTGGGCAGTGTTCGCCCCTATGCACTCAGCAGTAATTAGGAACCTGACTGTAAAACCACTGATGGATCGTGCTTTAAGGAAAACATGCCGCTGAAAAAACCTGAACTGTTCCAAGACCCTCGTTCCAAAACTAAATCTTGAAATGTTTACAATCATGATAATGGCGTGTGGGATTGGTAGGATGACAGTCAGTACGTGATGAACGAGTGTGTGCAACAGTATTAGCTCTTGCTGACACATTCCCTTAATTCTTGCCATGACCTCGTCCCAGACACACGCGCAGTCCATCCTCACACACTATAAACTGTGTTTGTCCAAGTGATGAAACTGGATTTTTTTACCGGGAACAAAATGTAGCGGGAAGGCGGGTGGTTGAGACAGCCATGTGTGTGTGTGTGTGTGTGTGTGTGTGTGTGTGTGTGTGTGTGTGTGTGTGTGTGTGTGTGTGTATGTGTGTGTGTGTGTGTGTGTGTGTGTGTGTGTGTGTGTGTGTGTGTGTGTGTGTGTGTGTGTGTGTGTGTGTGTGTGTGTGTGTGTGTGTGTGTGTGTGTGTGTGTGTGTGTGTGTGTGTGTGTGTGTGTGTGTGTGTGTGTGTGTGTGTGTGTGTGTGTGTGTGTGTGTGTGTGTGTGTGTGTGTGTGTGTGTGTGTGTGTGTGTGTGTGTGTGTGTGTGTGTGTGTGTGTGTGTGTGTGTGTGTGTGTGTGTGTGTGTGTGTGTGTGTGTGTGTGTGTGTGTGTGTGTGTGTGTGTGTGTGTGTGTGTGTGTGTGTGTGTGTGTGTGTCAGCGAGAGAAGGGAATGTTGGTACTCCTCGCTAAACTAAAATAAACTGTTTGTGTGGTAACCTGTTTAGACGTGTAGACCTGCAACTTGACTCGTTGCAGGTCACGTTTAATGAGACCTGCCAATATTGCGTTGTCTTCACACTACAACTCTCTATTGGGTATACAAAAAACTATTCTCCAGCCTTGGTCACGTATGCATGATATGCTAATTCCACTCTTAAGGTTTTAACACTGATATAAGCAAGCATCGTGATACAAAACAAGTCCCTACTACAAGGAATCACTATAAAAACACACACTAGCACTCAAATATAGCGGATGCCGTAGAAAAAGACCCCGTTATTATCAGAGAACTACACACAACAGTACTGTTCAGAAAGGGATCCTTATCAAAGAGGTAAATGCTGTCACAGATAAGAGAAAAGGTCTTGCAGAGCTCCAAGACTGTAGGTCCAACACTTCAGGAGGTGGTATGAAAATGTTTGCTTAATAGCAGGAAGGAAAATGATAAAAAACGGTAAAGAGAAAGAGGAGAGTGTGAGGGGGGACTTACGCAAGTATGCTAACAATAACACGAGGAGCAATGAGACCAGGAGTCAGTTACCTGCCCAGAGTTAACGGGGAAACTTTAAACTAATATTTGGTTACTGACTCTGCAAGACATCCCTGTCATCCTCTGTGTATCTGTCTGTCTCTGTCGTTGTGTTTGAGTGACAAGTGAGTGTGGCGTTCAGCATCGAGTATATAATTGTTACCCCTTTGTGCAACAGTCTGGCGGGAAGCGATTGTTGCCCCTTTGTTAGGTGTAAGTGCACCATTTTATCACCCAATATTTACCTTCCGCTGATTTCGTTGCATTTTTACAACTGGTTTGTTGGTCATGCTAGCGACAAATGTAATGTTGCGATTTCTCTAGTCTGGTATCATTAATGTTTGTGTCTATTTTCGCGATAATACTCATTGGTGAAGACTGTTGAGTATATATATTTAACTGGATGAGGTACCCAGAAGTGCCCAAGACCATCTGCCTCTCCCTCTCCCTACATCTCCCCACTTAACCCATATTCCCTCCCCTCTTACTCTCCCTTCCTCTTCCTCGCCTCTCTTCCCTCCCATCTCCCCCAATGTCCCCCCCTTCTCCCCATATCCCTATACCCCCTTCTCCCCCCCCCCACAATCACACCCCCAACCTAATGGGGGGAGGCACATGAAAACTCAATTGGAAACACACCAAATATTTCACACCTGACCATGTAAATTTCTATAAATTAAAATATATAACTCAGGCCGACCCCAAAGAGCCTATGTCAATCCTAGACCCCAGACCATTCCCACTGCAAAGTTAGGTGAGGTTAGCTCCAAGCACCTGGTCTCCATTTTCAAGTAAATTATAACAAAGTGCGGGTAAATGGCAGGAATAAACTCTACAGAAAAAACATTTGTAGTTTCATTTCAGACTGAAAAATCGCTCGGAGGAAGGGGGGGGGGGGTAGAGTTAAGGGCTAATATTTCTTAAAGTATTAAATTTAGACCGACCCCTGACGAGCCTATGTTTGTCGTATACCGCATACTATTCCCACTGCAAAGCTGAGTGAGACTAGGGCCCTCTCAGTGTCTGACCCACATCCTTGAACAGACAGAAAGACAGACACAAACATATAGATACGTTTACAATATATATATAGATACGTTTACAATATAGAAAACCCATAAATTTGAAAATAAAGTACCGACGTATCGGTCGCATTATCAACTCTCGTGAAAATTTTCCAGAACGGAGTGAAACGTCTTCACTTCCTATATTTTCAGGTTTGTGGGTTATCTAATTCTCAGTCAAGTTACTGAAACTTACTTTCTAGGAGAATGTGAATGTAACAGTATACACAAAATAATCTCATTTGAGGAACAAGTTCCCCGGAGCCACGAGAGGCTAGAAGCGAGTCTCAGACCAGTAATGGCGCCGTAAGAACAATGCCAGAGGGAGGAGGTGGACGTGTCCACACGCTCCGCCCTCGTCCTCGACTTCAACGTTCGTTTTTACTTCTCATTTATTATTATTCATTATAATTATTATTATTATTTGCTTCACCATGTGGTGGGGTTAGATTTGTTTGCGGTGTTAGGCTTGTCAATTCAAAATTCACAGGCAATGCCTTATTCATAGTTTTTATCTAGAAGGTGAAGGGACGACGACGTTTCGGTCCGTCCTGGACCATTCTCAAGTCGATTGTGAATTGTCCAGTCGTTCACAATCGACTTGAGAATGGTCCAGGACGGACCGAAACGTCGTCGTCCCTTCACCTTCTAGTGTGTGGTCTGGTCAACATACTTCAGCCACGTTATTGTGACTCCTCGCCTGTTTATTTTCATATTTTTGGGTTGGGAGTCCAATTTTCAGGGTCGGTATTGTGACTTACTGTCTGAATATCCTCACCATCTACCATCATGAAGGTGTTGGCATGTTGCAAGCATGGTGAATGTTGCTAGCATGTAGGCAGACGGAGTCTCGAATTATATTCCTGTAGCTAATTATATTTTCAGCCAACAGCGACGGTACTGGAAGGGAATCTTACCTCACATATTCGAAACTACCCATTATATATCAAATCAAAATGCTTATTCAGGTAAACGTACATACATAGGAAGATGAGTTACAAACAAAATGGTGGATTTATAGATAGAGCTATAGTACTTACAATACGCTAAAGCCATACGCAGTGTTTCGGACAAAAATATAAAAAAATATCTCGCTTGGTTTAACCGGCAACTCAGATCCAACTGAGAAAAAATTAAAAGTTATAATTATTATGTTTATAAAATATAGATAATGGCTTTTAAAGAGCCTTGAAAAATCTCCTTTTCATTTAATCAATAAAACATTACAGCATGTTCAATATAAAACTAAATAATTAGAAAATCTCGCCGGAATATTTTCAAAATTATCCATAAGTTTGTCCTAATTTTGAGAATATTTAATTCAAAATTATCCTTATGAACAATTTTCTTTTAACCACAGTGTCAAGAGGGATATGTTACCCAAGGAAATGTGCACCTGTCAAGCACAGAGATGACCATGACCTTAAGTAGGTGTGGAGGTCATGACCCTCACGTCCCTGAGAGCCTAGCCTCCCTACCCCGTTCTCACGATTTGACATTGTAAAAAAAAAATCCATATATTTTGCCTACCTGAAACGTTCGAATTCTAAGCCAGCCTCGTACCATACCTCTCGTGGGGCTAGATTCACGAAGCAGTTACGCAATTACTTACGAACGTGTACATCTTTCCTCAATCTTTGACGGCTTTGGTTACATTTATTAAACAGTTTACAAGCATGAAAACTTGCCAATCAACTGTTGTTATTGTTATAAACAGCCTCCTGGTGCTTCGGAGCTCATTAACTGTTTAATAATTGTAAACAAAGCCGCCTAAGATTGAGAAAAAATACACAGATTCGTGTGTGCGTAACTGCTTCATGAATCTAGCCCCCAGAAAACACTAATAAGGTTAATTCCTCTGTAGCCTATCCTCAGTGTACCGTTTAACCCCCCAATTGTACCGTCCCATCCCTGCTGTACCCTCCCTTCCCTAATCACCCTAATGTACCGTCACACTCCCTCAGTACCATCCATTCCCTGTAACCCAGTCAGTGACTACAGTTAAGATGCCAGTCTCCAATCGTATTACAAGTTAATTGTGATATGTTTACACAGGTGGGGAACGGTAGTAGACATATGGCTTCTTTTGCTAAGATAATACCCAGCTGGCTACAAGACAATACCGGGCCGGCCTTAAGGTGGATAATATCCCAGCCAGCCACATGACAATATCCCAGCCAGCCACATGACATATCCCAGCCGGCCACATATCCCAGCCGGCCACATGACAATATCCCAGCCGGCCACATGACAATATCCCAGCCGGCCACATGACAATATCCCAGCCGGCCACATGACAATATCCCAGCCGGCCACATGACAATATCCCAGCCGGCCACATGACAATATCCCAGCCGGCCACATGACAATATCCCAGCCGGCCACATGACAATATCCCAGCCGGCCACATGACAATATCCCAGCCGGCCACATGACAATATCCCAGCCGGCCACATGACAATATCCCAGCCGGCCACATGACAATATCCCAGCCGGCCACATGACAATATCCCAGCCAGCCACATGACAATATCCCAGCCAGCCACATGACAATATCCCAGCCAGCCACATGACAATATCCCAGCCAGCCACATGACAATATCCCAGCCGGCCACATGACAATACCCCAGCCGGCCACATGACAATATCCCAGCCAGTCACATGACAATACCCCAGCCAGCCACATGACAATATCCCAGCCAGCCACATGACAATAACCCAGCCAGCCACATGACAATACCCCAGCCAGCCACATGACAATACCCCAGCCGGCCACATGACAATACCCCAGCCAGCCACATGACAATACCCCAGCCAGCCACATGACAATACCCCAGCCAGCCACATGACAATACCCCAGCCGGCCACATGACAAATAATATCCCAGCCGGCCACAAAAATCAGCTACATTACAAAATAATAATAATCTTTGTTGGAGATTTAATATATTTCATGAAATCGTGTAAGATGAACCTCGCAGCTGAGTAGACAGCGTTCGGGGGTCATAGTCGTAAGAGCCCTCGTAGTCCCAGACGAGGCAGAAACAATTATTGAGCAGCGTTTCTTTCACCCTGGTGCTCCTGTTCACCTAGCAGTAAATTAGGAACCTGGGAGTCAGACAACTGCTACGGGCTGCGTCCTGGGGATGTGTGTGTTAGAGAGAAACATATGTATATATACATATGTAGTATGTAGAAACATATGTAGTAGATATATATTTCTACTATCCGGGGACGCAATATGGGAAGCGCCCGGATAGCTCAGTCGGTAGAGCATTAGGCTTTTAACCTAAGGGTCCAGGGTTCGAGTCCCTGTTCGGGCTAAATATTTTTTTGGGGGGGGCCCTGGTGGCTGAGTGGACAGCGCTTGGTATTCGTAATCCTAGGGGACTGGAGAATCGATCCCCGGCGATGACGGAAACAAATAGGCAGTTTCTTTCACCCTGATGCGCCTGTTCACCTAGCAGCAAATGGGTACTTGGGAGTTAGACAGCTGTTAAGAGCTGCTTCCTGAGGGTACATGCAAAAAAAAAAAGAGTTGATTGATAGTTGAGAGGCGGGGCCAAAGAGCCAGAGCTCAACCCCCGCAAACACAACTAGGTGAATACATAATTGAGGAAAAATAGATTAGAATAGAGGCTAATAGGTCGAGTCTGCAGGCACGAATAGTAAATACATCGTACACAGACAGCTCTCCAACGGATTTTGAAACCAAATATACATTTAATATACAATGAAACCTTACCTTACACTTACCTTACCAAGTTAACCTAACCACGCCGAGCCTAACACAGCCCAAGGCTAATATACCTTAACCTAACAATATGTATGCGGGTTTAACAAACGGAAAATTAGCTTTGTCGAATCGGTTTGTGTACGATTTCGCCCTATACTCCCTATAAGATGTTGTCCTGCGGTAAGGAGTGGCGCCGCTTCCTCTGGTGACAGCCAAGCCCACGCTTCACCACCGAGTATATGCGGCAAGAATGTAAATGTTCCACCTTCCCAAGCTGAGCCTCTGACATCCTACTACTGTACTAGTAGTACTGGCTTGGCTAGTACTAGCCTAGTACAACTGGCTAGGCTAATACTAGCCTAGCCTAGTACTGGCTACGGTAGTATTAGCCTAATACAACTGGCTAATACTAGTACTAGCCTAGTAGTACTGACTAGGCTAGTACTAGCCTAGTAATACTGGCTAGGCTAGTACTAGCCTAGTAATACTGG